CCATACCTAACATGTTACCACCAGAGATCTTTCTTGGGTAGATCAAGGTTTTAGGAACTTCAAACAAGGGTTGTGTTGAGCTGAGACCTAAAATAGAACAAATATGGATATATGATGAAGTGGAGAAAAGGAATAGAGGTTATAGAAGACACAATACGTATGGTCATTGGTGTTTCACAGGGGTATACATTACAGGATAACAATGGGTCCAATTAGTCTAAGCAACTAGGTACATTTAAGCAATCCATCTTTCCGGTGGTAAACACACGTGTCAAAAAACGTGATCAAATTAAAAATTCGTGCAATCAAATGGTCGGACATAGTATTATTTTTCGTAGAAGAGGCCAATAAAATAAAAAGATTCTCTTCGGGCATTTGTAAATATTATTTTAGAAATACAGATCGAATAATTATAAAAGGCAGAAGGTGTAAGAGTGAATAAAACCATTTTCCGTCAAATCAAGGGAAAGCTTGAATATGACATGCAATATACAGGCATTAAGTTATAGAAAAATAAAAAAACATTTTTAACGTTGTCACGGATATTACGAGTGCCGTAACAAAGTGTTGATGAGTTTCATGCATTTGTCAAAACTAGCTTAAGAGACAAAAGCGTTACAAGCACCAATTTCAGAGCTCGCTCTATCACAAATTAATTGAGAATCTGAGTATGTGTTGTTAACACCACAAACTCTCCAAGCTCATGGTAACGACCAATTGGATGTACTAGTACCGATTTTGGAGTAATTAGCTCGCTCAGTCACAAGTTTTAACACAAATCATCTGCGCATGCGCAGTCTGCTTAAGCATGCGCAATCAACTTGACCAGATACCCAAGTTCATGGTCATGGCAAAGACCAACTGCATCTACTAGCACCAATTTTAAAGTAAATAGCATGCTTAGTAACAATTTAATAGAGAAATCATCTGCGCATGCGCAGTCTGCTTGAGCATGCGCAGTCAACTTGACCAGATACTCAAGTTCATGGCCATGGCAACAACAACCTGCATCTACTAGCACCAATTTTGAAGTAAATAGCATGCTTAGTAACAATTTAATAAAGAAATCATCTGCGCATGCGCAGTCTGCTTGAGCATGCGCAGTCAACTTGACCAGATACCCAAGTTCATGGTCGTGGCAAAGACCAACTGCATCTACTAGCACCAATTTTGAAGTAAATAGCATGCTTAGTAACAATTTAATAGAGAAAACATCTGCGCATGCGCTCGAGCATGCGCAGTCCACTCGAGTAGTTGTTCATAGTCATGACAACCACCAACTATACGTGTTTGCACTACATTTGTGTCAATTAACTCACTTAGTCGCAAATTATCAAAGAAATCATCTGCGCATGCGAAGTAACGATAACAATCATCCCACAACTTTCGTACGCCTTTAAATTTTGGTATATATATATAAAGCTACAACTTCATATAGTAGATGTCAACTAACAGTGGAAGCTGGGTGCAATATAGTATGCAGTGGCTTAGGGGCCCACACTTCGGTGGCGACCGCACTCTCCCTGCGTACCCTGAGCAAAGCCTATCGCCGGTGATCTCAGGGTCTGATGGGCGGAAGCTTGCTATTGACATCTCCCAAGTAGGATAGCGTGGAGGGGCCGAAATCTCCTACCGAAACGTTAACATGCGGCGTTCTAGTGCCTTGAGCTTAAGGAGGTATCGGGAAGCATGGACCGAAAACGGGGTTTTTTTGGCAATGTTTTATATACGCTTAAGTACGTAATAAATTGGACGGCTGTCTCTTAGCTTTGCGATCAAAAGAATTCCTTTGAATCTGAAAAGTGTGCTGTTTAATCACAAATTTACTCGAGAAGAGAAGAGATGTTTCAATTAACTTCTTCTGACACTGGGCCTTTTCCTGACACTTATAATTTAAGACAACCTTAAACATGTTTTGAACAATTTTTATTGGTATATATCTTTCTGATTTAACTCTCTCATTTACTGTTTCTCATATTTCACGATCAAACCATCCATGTGCTTAATGGCCGACAAGATTATCTCGTTCCCTTAATTAACATGAGACGCTGTAGTGCTCAACTGCCTCGGGGTATCGTGGGGCATGAACCGAAAATGGGATTTTCATGTTTTCAAAATATGTCTTTTTTCTTTATAAGAATTCTTCTCATAAAAGCAACTAGAGCATCCAAGGATACTGCAAAAGTTCAAAACAACTTCTGCCTTTTTTACTTATAACTCAAACCAACTCTAACCATTTTTATACGTTTTTTATTTGTTACCTTTTACAATGTAACTTTCTCATAACTCTCTCGTCATGAACGAGAGCCTCCTTATACAATGACTCTTTCATTATGAACGAATCCATGGGCTTCATGGAAAAAAGGGATTGTCTATTTTGATATAATAGTTTCTAGAAAGATAAAATTTAATAAGCCAAAATATTTGTATCGTCTAAATTGAAGCTCGTTTTGAACCATTATGTTATAAGATTTTCTTTCATTTATGATATTAAATTTCTTTTTACCTTACAATATTTCGTGATTCAATCTAGAAAGTAACTTCTCTTCTCGAGTAAATTTGTGATTAAACAGCACACTTTTCCGATTCAAAGGAATTCTTTTGATCGCAAAGCTAAGACACAGCCGTCCAATTTAATACGTACCTAAGCGTATATAAAACATTTCCAAATCTGACACAAAAATTTCCTTCGCATGACCAAATTACCATCTTTTTAAATGATGTTGTATGTAACAAAAAGTTACCTTGACTGAAGCGAACCCTCCTTTTTCCAAACTCACGGAGAATCCACCACATTCTCTGTTGGTCCTTGTAATATATCACTCGTCAATAGCATTCATTAGAGTACTCTTCTCACAATACTCCATCTGTTTAAACAAAGTTTGCGGAGTACATTTTGAATCTTCGTGCAAATCTATTGTAGTGATTGCTTCCTCTTCACTTTCGAATCAGAGTCCTTGTCCTAAAGGAAAGACGCAGGTAGTCAATTTTACATATGTTTAGCAAAATCATCAACAGTTCCCACTACTATATACCCAGAAACGGATCCAACGGACCTCGAAATATATTATAGCTGCTCAATTTTAAATTTAAATTACTTTCAGAAAAACACAATTTTTTTGAATTTCCAAGGAACATAATTTTACCACTGAACTTGTCTCTTAGGTGCTTAGAAATGTAAATACATTCCAAATTACGCTGCAGTAATTGATTTTGATGTACCATAGATCCGCTACTGTATATACGTCGTGAGCCAACGAGTTTCCAAACTCTATGTGTGGTGTGCATATTTTGCAATCAAACAACTAACAAAATTCCATATTGTGAATTGAGTTTAGGCTGTTTTGTACAGTTTAGCCCCCAATCAATAGATTAGGATCTTATCATAGTATTTTTCTTAAAATATGTAGTAGGAGTCAAGAATAGAGTTGTTTTGAAATTGAATGCATTGCTAACAATATTGTCAATACTCGAATCCTTGCGTCTTTGCACAAATTGACAAATTGTAAGCATTAAAGATAATAAGTGTGAAGGTTTCTTGTGATTGTAAGTGCTAGCTCTTGGTTTTCTTTAATTTAAGTATGCGTTGTTATAGTAAACAGGGTAATACTTTAAAACCAACATAACAGAACTGTTTTGAAAATATTTGCTTCTACCTAAAATTTTTATTGAAAGAAATTTTTGATGGCTGCATGCATTCTACATTTTAGCAATTCGCCTTTAGCCTCATATAACAAAAATCTACTTGGTTTAATTACAGTTAATCGAGGATTCACATGGGAATGATTTTATGAATTAGTTGTAATGAAGTTGAAGGCAGAAGAAGCAGAAATGAATTGAAATAACGTTTATATATCTTATGAAGATGAAGTGGAACTAATTAAAATGGACAATGAAATAAATGTGAAATTGTAAAGAGTGAAGATGAAATTTTACAAATAAGTGGTGGTCCAGCCATAGTCTCTTTGTTCATTTTTAGTCTTTCTGAACCAAGCTTTTGTCCAAATAGTTTCTTTACATAATACACAATGCTAAAATATTACACATAGTGTACAATATTATTTATAAAATTTGTTAAAATATTTTCCTTGACACAACCATTTCAACAAGATTTGCTCTCATGCAGCAATAAACAAGCATGAAAATATAGTCCAGGAGTTCAGCAGTTGGTCATGGGTCGTTCTGAATATTTTTTAATCTTGTTGTATGTTAGTTTAAATTATCTGAAAATTTCTAACCAACAATATGAAGGGCATCATATCATAGTATTTTGAATTATGTTCTTTTTGTAGCACACCAAGATATTTAAAAATTAAATGAATGCAAAATTGCAAGAATATCACTATGTTCTAAGGTCTGTTTTATACGTCGCATTTTACATAAGTCGAGTGCATTCAAAACAAAAGACAATAAGATAAAATTCGACTCATGTGAAATGCGACGTATGAAACAGGCCTAAGACATCAGCGAACATCCTAGCAAAGTTAACTCAAAATCTAATGACTACGTCTCATGCCTTCACATGTATTTTTTCTAAGACTTGTCGACTTAAGAGATGAAAATATTTGCACAAAGCTGTCAGCAAACAGTTAAGTTGTCCGTTTATGCATACGTAAACTTGAAGACATTTTTAACGGTCAATTATAAAATAAAACAATAAAACGCGTGCAGTGATTGGTCTAGAACCGTTTTTGCATTAGCCTGTGCAAAACACATCTGAGCTCAAGCAATCAAATCAATCAAAACAATCAATAAGTCAAAGAGAATTTGCAAATCGATCATAAATACATTATACAGGAAAAATTAAAATGTTTGTCTGTTTTGCATTATTGTTATTTTATAAAAGAAATAGAAGATATTTTTCGTGTTTGGACTTACTTGGATTAGATAACACAGGAGATTTTCGCGGTGTCTTATGGAGGGATGGACATGGGATGGATGGAGCCATGGATTATGGATATTGAGAACAATTTCACGGTCTGTTGGCGTGTGACGTGTAACCAATGCGTGTGACGAATCCAAACGATGAACATTAATTGCGTGCGTTTTCTGGCTCTGACCTTGGTTTTAATAAGTTTAGTTTATATTTTTTACTCGATATGTGATGCTAGAAAAGGCAGTTTCTTTAGCAATATCGTTGCACCGAAACGAGTGACTTACATTCTTGCATTTGGCGACTCACTGACACGAGGCTACGTTTCACCTTCTACAGGAAGACGTGACCATCCATATTCAAAAATTTTATCGAAAACTCTGAAGTATCTTCACTCAAAAGATGACATTTTTATTGTCGACAATTATGGGAAAGCTGGCGAGCAAGCCTTGGGTACTGCACAAGAAAGACTTACAGCTGCCTTGAGGAGAAGGTTTTACAAATGGGTTATTATTTTAACTGGAACAAACGACTTGGCAGCCTACTCAAAACATAAAGATTCCAGGAAAAGATTTCATAACGACACAGTATTCATAACAGCGTTGTTCTCAAAAATTAAGACTCTATCCAACATGGCTATGCACACCGGTGCCAGAGTTTTTCTTGGTACGATATTTTCTCGTCAGTGTGAAGAGCAATTAAAGAATAAACGCTGTGATAAGTTAGCCAACAATCGCAAAACACTGAATAATAAAATTCGTAATTATGTTCTTGATACCAAAGGTCTATTGATCCTTGTTGATTTCGATCGAGAATTTCCATATAAAGAAATGAGCCAGCAACAAAAGCAATTGTATTGGCAAGATGATGTGCATTTTACAGAAGCTGGATACGAACGCATGGCCAAATTCATTTATACAACAATGTTTCCTTACCTTCCTGAAAGACACTATATAAGACCAGAACCTTGAATTGTTCATACAAACATTTATATTTCCTGCTATGGATTTTCTAGGGAAAAGTGTTTGCTAAGGAGGAATTTGTGTTTGATGGAGCTCATTTCCAATAAATACGTATCGCCCAATCAAATTGTGTTAACTCTTTCACTGCCATGTATGTGCTACTAAAGTAGCCCACCACTTTTTGCCAAAAAAATTGCAATTTTTCACAAATCTAAAGTTTAGTTAAGGCATAACTTGGCAGTGAAGAAGTTGAAAAAATAGAACTTGACAGAAAAAGTTTAGCCTGACATGCCACTGAAATCTAATCATAACCAGAGCACATGCCCCTCTGGCCTCCCACCTTAAAAATTAGATCTGTTTGCGTAGAGTTAATGTTTTCATTCTAAAATGCCAGAAAAAACTGCCTTGAAAATAAGTGACCAGAAGAGTTACATCGTATTAGATGTTAACTAGATTAACCATGGAGTAACAAAAATACCCCGGTTCTTTATTAATGATGACAAGCCATAAATAAAGATTCTCAATTTACTATGTTTCTGACATTGAAAATTACATTGAATTCCGAAAGTTTGGGATGGTCAGTCTGTATTTCATTTAACCAAATTCTCAGAATTTCTTCAGTTTCTTTTCCTTCAATGATACACATTGCAAGTATGTTATCTGAAAAAGATAAGTGGTTTATTATTTGTTCCTATATATTACTATTAACTTCACAAGGGAAATCAAGTTTGTACCAAATAGTGAGGTAGTTAAAGCTGGAGCGCCTAATGTCTCAAGTTTCAACCTCAAATTGTTCAAAATCTTTTAAGTGTGAAAAAAACATTAGACTGGACAGTAGATGATCCAGCTATAGGCAAAATAAATTTTCATTGCTAATTTTGAATTTAAAACACCTCTATAACAAAGTCATTGGTTATAAATTTCTAAAGAATAAAAATTAACGAATCGATGTGATAAAGTAATTTATTTTGCCTATAGCTAAATCTGCCCCTGAGATTGGAGAATATAAGAAGTCAAGTTTTAATATCAGATTACTCTTGGTGATAATATTAAAGTGAATTATATAAGGAATCAAGTTTCAAATTCAGATCACTCTGATTAAGAGAGATGTAACAATTGAAGTTTCAACATCAGATCACTCCAGATAAAGATGCTAAACTGGAATATATAAGAACTTAGTTTTCAACTTAAATCACTTCTGATGAAGACATTAGACTGCAGTTTCAATGCTTACATAGTCTAGCTTAGTGTCTTAGAGCATCTTAGCATTCTGATTTCACAATCATATCAGCTACTGAAGATTTCAGACTGGAGTATATAAGAACTCTAATTTCAACATAGGAAGTAAACTGTTATGAGGATTGACTATCACCATGATCACTAATACAAAAATTAATCCATTTGTGTGAACATTGATGAGTAAAATACAACACCTTCATGACAACAGCTGTCAACAAAATCAGCATTTAATAGATAGTAGGGTACAGTTTTTTTTCTTAGCCAAACATTGTGAGGCCCTTCTAAAAAAATTTGTCTTTTCAAATCTTGTTCTTCTAGCAAATTCTCGAGGTTCCCATTCTTGGCACCAATGATTTGTTGCTGAACTCCATCATGAGTCTGGAGCAAATGAACAAAGATGAATTAAAGAGATGAATTTAGAAAGAACAAAACTTTTCTATGATTAATTGCAATGATAGATGATGGCTCACCTTATATCTAGCATCAAAGTTCACCATACTTTCGTTTATCATGCGCTCAATTGCCAACTTATGCAATTCCTCTATAGTTTCAGGCAAATCTATAGGCAATGGATCTGGATACATTTCATCAAACTTATCAAACCAAAAAACAATACGTCTCAGTTTATTCAGTGGTATGCTATTGTTTCCAAATACAGCATCCACAATGTCGTAGGTATCTATATTTGGCCGAATGTGGTTCTCTTCAAGTTTAGTGAGAACCCTCACAGCACAATCAATTTGACGCCTGTGTGGGTCCACAAGGTATCAAAAACTGTCTTGTTATGATAAACACCTTTGGGAAAACTTCCAACAACTGATTGTAAGTATGGACGTTTTTTGCCAACCGAATGCATCCATGTATGTCATTGCAGTATCGATAAAATCAATCACACGGGTCCGCTTTACATCGCGTTTCTTAAATGCCTCAACTGCATTCGTAAATCCCTGTTCATTCGGCGAGCTGGCTGCAACATTTTCAAAAAGTTGAGCTGACTTTGTTAACTGTCTCAAAGGAAAGACGGGAGGCATATCAACTTTTGATTATTACTAGGCTTTTCTGAAATGATATCAACAGAGTCTGATGTGTTAACCTCAAGTTGGAAACGATTCAGAAGAACACAAGAATTGTGGAAACTTTGGAATTTAGTCAATTTACTGCACACGTTAGAAATAACATTACGCTTTACGGATAAGGAAGCGTGCCCTTTGTGAAGCAGTAAACGTGAAAATAATCTCGAACCAATCATAAGACAGTTAGACATTTCATTTGCTCTTGAAAAATAAAGAACGTCGAATTTCCCAACTCATCAAATGGCAGCCATGTTGATCGATTTACGGATTCGGGTTTAAAAGATTCGAATGAAAAATAATGAAATTAATCTCCTTCTAAGATAATCATTTAACTCGATCTTGTTAGGCCCTGCGTTCTATATAAGGCCACCCCGCGTTTTCATGAAAGGACCACGTGCACAAAAGAATAGTCTTTTCGATTCTCCATTTTGGCTTGTTAACATAGTATGTGTTTTCAAGTATATATTCTTGTACTATTTGTGTGTTGCGAAGCTTGCATTTTTGTTAAGTACAATCCTGAATCATGTTTCTATCATGCAAAACATTTTGTCTACTTCACAGTACAGTTTGCCTTCTAAAATCATGAAATTTCAATCAAAGTTAAATAAAGAGACTAACAACTCATGCAAAGCCTAAAGATATTACTTTGTCTTTATCTTATCCGAACCTTAATCATATGTAACTTTTTTACTGTAACGAGTGTATCGTTTAAGTTGATATTTTGACTTTTCATTCTGAATATACATGCATGAAATCTCTCTTTTACGTTTTGTTTTACCCCCCTCTCCCTACCGTTTTTACCCCCTTCCCCAATGGTAGTGCCCCTCTAAAACATAATACAGTTGTACATTGTGTGTATTTTCCCTTAGTGCATTCCTTTTAAACTGTATATCACACATATAGCAACATTTAAGATAAGTTACATGTTTGTAACTTATAAATGCTGCTTATCATTTACTTTATTTATGATAAGTATTTGTTTGTTGCAAATTGAAACTCATGATTTGCAGAACAGACCCAGACTGAAAAATTTGTACCACTCACCCGAGATTAATTTTGAGAAAACTATGCTTTTCAAATTTCGAATCTTGATTGTGCAGTTTTGAGACTTTACAGTCTTGGAGTTGGCTACATTGATTGAATTCTGGGTCTGCAGTCAGCTTTAGTTGGACATACCAGTGCAATTACTTTCAAAGTTTTTAAACACCCATGCCAAATATGTGCTCGAAAAGCAAGAGTGAAAGAAAGCATTAGATTGTTTTAATATAACATTTTGGCAATGAAGGCCATCTCTATTGCTTTCTTTTGCATTTTTGCTACATCATGTAGAGCAATAGATTTGAATGCTCAGGACATTACAACATATTCTTTGTAGGTTGTCCGTCGTAACATATTTTGGTGCAACATTTACAATGTCTGGAGGACCAGCCGCCGAAGTTTTACAGTTAAAGGAAGAAGATGTTGTGAAGTTCTTGTTATCAGGAACTCATTTAGGATCAAACAATATTGATTTCCAAATGCAACCATATGTATATAAAAGAAAACCAGATGGTAAAGTGAAATTTTATTGGTTCTATTTTACAGCCATTTGCAATTGACCATGCAGCATGCATAAATTAAAAGTTTGCTATAGTTTCAATACTTGATGTTACTAATGGCTAACTCATTGTTGCTAAGGCATGCATGTTAAGTTATGGAAAATGTTGTTTTTATTTAATAAACAACTGTGACATGTCAAAATTTGGGAAGTATGGAAAGACATTTGAAAACGTTAAACTGTATCATTAGATATAAGACTTTAAATTGGTATTGGTGAGACAGTGTGTCTTTTTTGTGACTCGTAGGGCAACACTTTGTTATTAACCAATGCTAGCTCAGAGCTACGCCTTAGCAACAATCAGATAGCTGCATAGTAATGTCAAGTTTTGAAACTATGACAAACATTTAGTTTATGCATGCCTCATGGTCAATTGCAAATGGTAGCTTGAAAAAATATGTCATCTACTGGCAAATAATGAAAAAATTGCCTTTTCTATCATGTGAAAATGTTACTTTCGGCTGATTTTGGTTAGCATCTGATCTTGATTATAAAAGCGCTGGAGTTATTCCAGTTTTCTCTTTGAAATTGATGTAACAATAAAACAGTTATTGACTGATATCTCCGGAAACAGTGTCTCATGTCAGCAAAACAACATTCCTTTAGTATAATGGATAATTGTCATTTTTCGCTGCAGGTGTGTATATTTTTAATCTCAGAAAAACTTGGGAGAAGTTGATGATAGCTGCTCGTATTATTGTGGCCATTGAAAATCCTGCTGATGTTTGTGTTATTTCTGCTCGTCCTTACAGCCAGGTTTGTTAACTAAACTTTTGTTTCTAAGGTTACTATAACTAGGAGTGCTAGATACTATTACACGACTAGAAAGGAAAGGCTACTGTTGCTGTTGCTGTTGTTAATGTCCTGTTATTTTAGCGTGGTATTTTAAAGTTTGCTGCCCACACTGGTGCTAATGCTGTTGCTGGCCGTTTCACACCTGGTACATTCACCAATCAGATTCAAGCAGCTTTTCGTGAACCTCGATTGTTGATTGTCAGCGATCCGAGGATTGACCATCAGGTTGTGTTTTTGGTTTCAGTAATGTTTCATTAATGTTTTTGTTTTTGTTGTCATAATGAAATTGTATAGAGTGTTTTTATCGGTTGCCATGTTGGGGGAAAATCCCATTTAGTGACAATAATTCATGTTAATTTCATGCTTTGTCCAGCAATGAGCATCAACAATTTGATGTGACCCCCCCAACATGGCTGCTTTTATGTCATGTGCAAACACTCTGTTCGAAAAGTTTTGAAAGATTTAAATGTCGTAATGTGTCCACTAGCTACATATCCTATGAGGTTTATTCTTGCAAATTTATACATACGTATTGGTGTTTGCCTTTGGATGACCTTGACACATATGGTCATCTTATACATAAACTGTACATGTTTTGGACATACGTATTGGTGTTTGCCTTTGGATGACCTTGGCACATATGGTCATCTTATACATAAACTGTACATGTTTTGGACACTTATCAGAAAAAGCAGACAATTTTAAACAAGAAAATTTAAAATATTTCTCAACAAGATGTCTATATTCGGAATCTGTTTTATTTTATCTTATTATCAGAGGTTATGGTTATTTTAATTTTTGGTATTTTCTGAAGAAAATTTATTCTACTTAGTTATTCTAATGCTTTATTTTTGATGTATATTTTGCTAGGCTGTAACTGAAGCAAGTTATGTTAATATCCCAGTCATAGCCTTTTGCAACACTGACTCGCCTTTGCGGCATATTGATGTTGCCATTCCTTGCAACAACAAAGGTGCCTTGTCTATTGGTCTGATGTGGTGGATGTTAGCACGTGAGGTGTTGCGTATGCGAGGAACCATTAGTCGAGATAGCCCCTGGGATATCATGGTTGATCTCTACTTCTATCGTGACCCAACAGAGGTTTTACAGATTATAAAGCCATCCGTATTTCAAATATTGCTCTTATATAATTAGCATGCATTATTGTATCAGGTTGAGAAAGAAGAATCTGCAGCAGCCGTTGAGGAAGCTCCATTTCAACCACCTCCAGTTGTACCTTCAACCGATTGGACAGCCAGTCCACAGGTTGATACTGTCACCGATGGTGCTGATTGGGCTACCATGTCTGAAAGCAAGGATGTAAGTATTAGTAATGTATTAATTTTGCTATGTACTGGTACCGTTTGTATATATTGTGATGTCAGAATGTCTTGTACGTACCACAAAGACATTCTGACATCACAATATATACATAATCTGAAGACATACTTTTATTACACATATACAAAATTTCCTTCATTATGCCTACTATGTTTGCCGGAAACTGAAATTTACGTAACATGGTTATACATACACGAAAAACATGCGGCTTAGATAAGAATAGTACTCATTACATGTTTGTAAATGTAGATCGTCCAGGCTGGTATAGTCCTGAGAAGGACTGTGTTGTTGTAGACTGACATTTCGACAACCTTAGCGGTAGTCATCTTCAGAGTCAAATGAGGAGTAAACGTCAGGTTAGCTGTATTTGTTATCTGGTTCTTACGTCATTGTATTGTGTGTACAGGAAATGCGTATTGTCATTGTGTATTGTCATTGTGAAATATTTCACTTCACACTAATTCACAATGACAATACACATTTCCTGTACACACAATACAATGATGTAAGAACCAGATAACAAATACTAACTATACCAACCTGGACAATCTACATTTGCAAACATGTAATGATACTCCCGGGCTCAAACCATTTACTTTAATAGTACTCATGTAGTCACCATGTCAGATAACCATTTTTGACTCTTTCAAGATGGTTTTGAATAGAATAATCATAAGCTGTGTCCACTATTCCATCAAGGCTACTAAGACTTGACTTGTACCCAATACCTGATGGTTTGGTAGCACATAAATGGAGCTTTGGACTACAGCGATCAAATCTTATGAAAGCCATGTTTTTTTTTATGAGCATATAACAATATCAGATATCAATTTCTGAATCTCTCAGTATAATAAACTTATGAATTAACTGTTTATCAAATTAATGGTTTTGTCATAGTGGGCTGCTGAAAGCAATGTTCCTGCTGCTTCTGATACTGGATTTGGGGCACCTGTGTCTACAGATTGGGGTGCTGACACAAACACTGATTGGGGTGCCAGTGGTACTGGTGATGCTGACTGGGGAGCACCTTCAGGTGGAGAGAACTGGGGTTAATCTGCTGCATGCCTATGTTATTGAAGCATTAAAAAAATCATGAAGTGTTTGAGAGTTTGTTTTTTTCTTATAGTCTTTAAGTTGTCGTTTTTAAGAGGAGAAAGTTCTAATGGGGAGATTTTTCTTTCGGGCTCTGAGTGTGTGGTAGTAATACCATGTTTTACAATTACGCGAAATTGATCGCTTACCTTTGACATATTGGTTAGAGATTGGATTAGGGACGATTTTGTGGAAAGACCTGCAAGTTTTCTTTCTGCCATTGAAATTTCAGAAAATCATTCATTTCTTTAGAAATTATGCATTTCCCCACCCACGCCATCAAAGAGAATAACAAGAACAAGTCCCGAGCACCCACATGTCTCTGCTAGGTCCGAATCATGGAATAAAGCCAATCCACACGACAAACTATCCTGGGTGCAACTCAAATTTAAAATTAACTCATTGATTTTTAGCGTGAAATAAACACAACTAACCCAGATTTAATTTAAGTTTATTCAACTACTTGCGATCAGTGCTTGTGATGGTTTGAGTTAAACCTGCGTTAGTTGTACTTACATGCACAAAATTAACCTGGGTAAATTTGGACTCGGGTTAGTTTGTATCGTGTGAGTTGGGCTTAGGAAACGAACTAATAAGTTACTCATTGTGCCCGAATCCTAAATTCAAGACAATGAAACATTTACGTCAAACAAAAACCAAATACTGCCAATCTTGTACATTGCATGAAAGAATGTTAATATTATATCAAAATATGTACAGATTTTAAGCACTTGAGACACTTTATCGAACGTCTGTAATTAAATACTTAAGTGCATGACGCGTTTCGCCAGGTGAACGTCGAGGACCTGGAAATCGTATCAAAGACCGATCCCTGTATTGCAAATGGCGCGTTAACTGACTACATCACAAGCTAGTTAACGACCAAAATAATTTGTCATTGACCAGATTTTTGATAGAGAGTGTAAAAGGTTTTTAAGACAACGATTTTGGCCCATAACTGCTGCACCAATCAGTTGTTATGAGCAACGAAAATGGCAAATTTTGAACAACAATTCACAGATTTCAACTCAGCCTTGCAAAATGAATTTCAACGTATAGAATCTCAACGTCAAGATCTGGAGTCTCGAGAAAAACGTTTGACAGACGAGAAAACCAAGATGATGCAAATCGACAACAAAAGTGACGATGTTATTTCCTTGAATGTCGGAGGCGAATCAATGGCGTGTCTGAGATCAACATTGTGTCAAATTGACGGTTCTCTACTTGCATCAATGTTCAGCGGAAGATGGGAAGATCGTTTGACTAAAGATAAAGATGGAAACGTTTTTTTGGATTACGATCCTGAATGTTTCAAGTTTATTTTAAATTATCTTCGTGCGAAGAAAATGCAATCACCTAAACGCCGAGCGATAAAACCCAGTCCTCCTCAAGACAAAAATAATGATTACTGGATCTTAATTGATTATTTAGGATTAGAAAACGAATTTAATCAAGGGATCGTTTATGCTTGGTCATAAGTATTAGGATATCGTTTAGTATTTGGTAAGCTTTACTCTATCCATGCTACATATCTATGAAGGTTTTTAGTTTATCAGGTGAGAATTTCCTCAAAGTATAGAGCACACTGTCCCAAAGTTCATATTCGAGATTTTTGTTCTGAAGCATAGTTCTATTATTTAACTGACATTTCTAACCCTCTTCACAAGCAATTTTGCTTCGGAAGTCCTTCTTTAAAAAATGGCAACACCATTCCAGGACATTCGACATTTTATTCTTAGGCTTTTGAACCATAATTCAGTAAAACTTGTCCAGATTCTTTACTCCACGTTCACTAAGTGAAATTGAAGTCCACTGACTGTTGATGTAACCATTATAAGATGTCCTTTTGACTATTGTGGGACATTTCAACAATTACTGATGGAAACAAAAAGACCAAAACACGGCATAAACTAACCATCTTTCTTCTACTACCTCTATAGGAGACCATAATTGGGCGCGAAGACAGTTATGAAGATGAGATTGAAGTTGAAGACGATTGCAACACACCTCATCAGATTGTACGAAACTATCATGAACAAAATGAATGGGGGGTTCAGTGAGGTGGGGGAGGGGAGGGGGTTCAGTGGGTTGGGGGAGGGTCAATTAAGAGACGTTAATTTTGATTTAAGTACTGTTTGCGTTAACTCTAATTGAAAAAGTAGAAAATCATTAGTGTTCTTTTACCTCTTTGAAATACAATTTGGCGGCTACAAAAACGTTTAAAACTTTTCAGCGTCATATTCGAGTTCAAGTTTATAGGTAATTGACAATGTAAGTCTTAACCTCCTTTGTCGTCTATATCGGATGTCTAATTGTACAGGCTTGTAACGTTCACTCTTCCACAATTTCAATCCAGTCATGAACTGAGTTACATTACTAAGCCCTACCTCAAACAAACCAAGAAGATAAGAGAATTGGGCAACGTGATACCATTTTTTTCAACCCAGACCACCTTCAACAAAACTTCAGAGCTTTTACTTTTTTTAACTAAACACTGCAGTTAAGTTTCAACACGTCGATGAACACTTGATTTCAATTACAAAAGTAGTGAAATGTGAGAGGGAAGAAAAAGGAACACAAGGGGGGCACTAAACGACAGTTAGATTGCTAGAAACCTTATGGCAAATAGAAGACTTCTTCTTTGAAAAGAGAAACATGCAATAGGCAAGCTAAGAGCAGTACTTCTGGAGGGAGAGGGAGGGGGGATTTATCCAGAATGTTTCAAAATGATTTTGAATAATCTTTGAGCAAGAAAAATACACTCATCTAGAGCGTTAAAACTGCTGAAACAAAATCCTCACGTATATATTTAGCGAAAATACCTGTTCAACCATCTGTTGTTCTATTTCTTTCTCCCGGTCCAAAGTAATTCTCCACATTTTCAGTTCCTTTCTAAAATACAAGTTATTACATTACACTAGTTCATCTTGTTCAGAGGCAGACGAACGAACGTAATATAAGATCAATATAGTTCGGGAAATCACTGAGCCAAGTCATGCGGTGTCACCATAGTCACGTGACACGCATGCACCGTAAGTTGCGTGTTAATAGTTCTATTGTGCTTACGAACCTAACAATGGAGTTCTTCTCTTTAAGCCTCCGAGGTGAACTTGCTTTTTAAGTACAGTTTGATGATGTTTAAGGCTTGGTCACATATGGTACAAATCCCGTAAATGATCCAATAAACGCCCCCTATCAAATAACTACTTGTATCTACTAAACGCTGCGGGCGTCTACGATAATCCTCACATGCACACTTAATATTTTTATAGTATTAGCATAAAAAACAACGAGAAATCATTGGAAGGTTTTGTTATTCGCCTTTGTCCTGGTGTGCAAATGTGACATACAAAGGTCACGTCAATAGACAAAAAAACAATAACGAACAAATTCCTTTGGTTGTAATCATCAGAGAATACGAGATATTAGTGGCTATTGTTTATGGCAAGTTTGCACACATGAAAGGAAACTAATATTTGCTCGTGGTCGATTTCCGCAGCAATATAATGAAAATTTATTCACACTTGTGCTAAAAAAATTGGTATGAGTCTCATGACCGTGCTCTCGTTTTCGAAATCAGTTAAAACGAAATTCGTACAACATGTCTCTTAATGAGTCAGTGAGACAAGTGCTTAAAGAATGGCATGACACTATTAGCAAGACAAACAAACAACAATTTCAACCATTCTGGCAGTCACAACTAGAGAAGCTCCGCCGCTTAAAACCAAACGAGTCCAATGCAAGTGTTAGCGAGGAGGAAAGTACAACTTGGTATACGGGAGAAAACACTGACAGTCAAAGGTATATTTCACCTGTTGTAGGTGATCGCGTCACACCAAGTCTTCAAAACTGTTTGTATGCACTTCCAACGCTAATTTTGAAGAGCCAAACATAGTTATTACGCTAAAACAATAGGTTTTAAGCCATGGTGATGTTGAAATGTTTGACAAATAATACTTGCTTATGTAATGCTGAAATGGGTGTGAGTTAAAGTACACTTGTGTGCCAGCGCTTTGCCATCTGTCAATTGTTGAACTTTAGAAAGGATTCTAATATAGCATATGTCTATGTGCGTTGACAAGAATGATAAAAATAATTAATATGTTAAAAGGGAGGCAATTTACTGTTTACTGTCGTGGTTCTTATGTATATTGTTTTCGTTATGCTTCACTCTCCTTTCAAATGTAAACAATTGTGTTTCAAAGTTTTCTAAAGCCGAGCACGCCGCCTGCAAATGGTTGTGCAAACTAGTTTTCCAAAGAAAAGCATAGACTGGAGATAACTTATGTTTTCGCCTTATCGTTTACCAAAAGCATCTTGAATGCCTTATATCACTTGAATTAAATTGACATAATACTCACAGTCATCGTCATTTGCATCGCAAATTAGATGAAACATAGTGTGAAAGCCTACAAGTAAACCCTTGGATAGTACATTAGCAACGTCTTTGTTATAGTTTTCAAACTTAGAGACTGTCCCATAAAATTTACCTGTCATGAAAACAGCGCCAACATTAAGGTTTTTGTCACTTGAAGACGACTATTTGAATCGAATTATTACAGAACGAACTCCTCTGCAAAGGCATTTGGTATTTGACAGGATTATGCTTTAAAATATGTCATGATTTGTTGGTTTAAATTGATTCCTCACGCTAGATTTGAATATTGTTGCAGGCATGCAGCTTGCAAAAGGCATGTGTGTAGACACATTTATGTAAAAATTTCCCAAAAGAATTCGTTTTTTACCAAAAAATAGTTACATTTTTGAAAAGTTATACCAGGTAAGTTGATAGACGCCTTATATAAGAAATTATTCTCTTATGTTGAGTAAAATGTTGCAAAAAATTATTGAATATTCGTATGTAGTCGAATGGATTAAAAATCAAATATTTGTCAATGAGGGTGACTTTTTCTGTTATATATAATTTTGTGATGTTATTTTTGTGCCCCCCTGTAGAGCATTGCAATTGGACAATGGGTTTTTTGAAATTATTACTGATTTGGACTGGAAAAAGCAGACAATTAAGCCTCAATCACAAGCAGTAGAGGTTTGTATCAATTCATGCTTGAAATAATATTCCTGGCTATATTTGTGGCTTATATAACTTAAGTGTTTTCTCATATACCTCATAAATTTTCTTGTGTTTATGACTGGAAAATTTACATTTGCATAGCAAAGATCATTTACAATGAATCAAAAACTTCTTGAATTGCCATTATTTACTTCTTTCTACAGTTATTGGACTTTCTTTGTGATGCAAATATCATCATCTATGCATCAGATTGTAGTTTTAGGAAATTGGTAGTTTTCATGCGTACTTTTTTACTAAAATTCCCAACTTATACATCCTAAATGCACTTATTTGTCAACTCGTTTATTCAATAAAATGTAGTACTTGCAAAGAAAAAGTGTTAGCCATTTTGAGAAATATTGCTTTCACAATGTGATGTCAGAGTAATGGTATTTCCAAAATGAGCAAATTCAAATGAAACTAAGAAAGTTGACTGCCACAAGAGAATGAAGAAATTTTATATGTTCTTTTGATTCTTGAATCCAGACATTTGTGTTGTGGACACTTTTTATTGCAGGGGCTTGGGAAGCTGTGGGTGTCCAGGTGCTTGTATGTACACCCACAGTTTTTGGTGTGTGGATGCATCTTATAGGAAGGAGACCCAATTAATTTAGCTTCTTGCTTAAACATTTGTAATATATTTAATGTTAGGTACAGGTGTATTAAATTTTTCAAATAAACAAACAGACCTTTTCATCTGACATGATGCTGGAAGAAAGCCGTCTGAAAATAAATAATATCCAGCAGTTTCATATCTAGATCAAATATTGTGTGCGATGACATAGTGAGCATTTAAGTGATTTAATTTTTAACACCTGCGAATTTCAAAAGCTTCCTTAGTCCCTACTCTATTGGTCTTAAATTTATAAAGACTGAATTTGAAGCATGACCTTCAGTTTTTTAGCAATGTGTACCTGGTAATTTTTTTATAAGTTTAACCTCCAAAGGACATAATGTGTTTGTTTATCGCTCTTGATCTTGTCATAAGTAACTGTTGATTTGTTTCCATGGTAACAATTAACATGTGGCAATATTTTAGTAAAGTTATGTATAAAAATCTGTATAACCTTCTCTACAAACAACTGTTCCATTGTTGTTAACAGCTCATAACAAACATTGTCAATATATCCATTGCATCATAAAAACTTTCACAAACATTTTTGCTCCATTACAGAATTTACCATCACTGCCAGATGAAACTGAGGAAGGTTCTGGTGATGATGAAGTGTTACCTTCAGATGAGAAAGAGAAAACCCTCACAGATGAGGAGAAATGTGTTGAACTTTACAGTGAATTATTGTTCATCATAAGAAATCAGTTTGTGTCTGAACAACAAAGAAAAGATGTCCCCTCACAAGGCGAGATTTATGCCTATGGTCAAAAGGTAGCCTATAGCCTTTAAACAATGGGATGATGTAGTACTTCTGGGTACAATGATGGTGGTGGGAATGCATGATGGGAGAGATGAATCTGGGATGATTTTGTAGGGGATGTTCGAACTATTTTCAATTTTATTTTGGTAAATACTTTGTTGGTGTTTACCATGCAGCTATGCCATGGTGGACTTTATTAAAATAATGAAAACTATAATTGCTGTGTATCCAAAAACCTGCATTAATTTGCTCAAAAACATGCATATATTTGCGACTGAGGACAAATGGACAATGATATGGCATTGTAAAGTGACGAAATATTATACAAGATTTTGCAAAATGGAGCATCTTTTTTCTGACTTACCTCTTTTCTACAACCACTGTTCAATGTCAACACGTTGAAATGATAATTTTAGGTGTTTGGAATTGATCAAGAAAAACATCGGGAATTATTCTCCCGTGTGAAAGAACGCAAGGTACTTTGTCGTCAACCATTGTCGTCAACCAAATAACACCACTAACTGGCGGATTACTTCATGTAACTAAAAACGACGTTACTATAGAATGTTCTTTCTCTTTCACCCATTTCACGTAGTCTTAATGTGTAGTATTAATCGTGAATTGTTTGAACCCGGGAGTATTGTTAGATGTTTATGTAGACCGTCCAGGTTTAATGCTTTCCTGAAGAAGGACTGTTGGTGTTTGTGTTTAGCATTCGTATAGGACATCGGTGGTTTATCCACCCATTTCCTTGGCAACCTGCATACAATATTGTGACAAATGAATAGAGGACAATTAAGATGACTACCGCTAAGGAAGTCGAAACTTCAGTCAACATGAACACCAACAGTCCTTCTCAGCAATCTTCTAACCTTGACGATCAACATCCACAAACATACAGTCTATAGCTACGTAGCTCTGTAACATTGCCACAAACATCGTTGTTTGCTTAAAATGAGGCAAAACTGTGCCACTCAATTTTCTTATTTCGTTTGCAGCCTCCTACGTGTCACGTTGAAGTCAACGGTAAGTATGTAAATTTGTCATGTATAAGTATAACTGTGTTTTTTTGTTTAAGGTCGGAAACGGAAATTCCTCCCTCTACGTTCTGTTTAACCCTCCATGCTCATCCATTTTTTCTCAGCCCTTGTTTCCAATGCAGCACTTTTCATTGAACAGCCAGTCCTTAAGATTAAGGTAGTGGTTACACGTAGTTAGCGCTATCCATTGAATAGTAATTTTTTAAACTTGTGAAAAAGTTGGTTGTATTTTTTTGCGATTATGAAACTTCGTAATTCTGGAAACAGTAATGTATATTTTATTGATCGTAGATTTTTCCCTTTTAGCTAAGAGATCTTTGAAGTGCTCAAAATTATGCTATGCAATGGACAGGGCTATTTGGCCACTGTGCTGAATGAATGACTGAGAGTTTTTTAAGACAAGTCATAAACGTATCAAAGTGCACAATTTCTGATCATTTTATTGCACGCGGCATGCTACACGTATTTGACTAAGTCACAGAATAGACATCTAACATAAGGCCCACTCGGCTAAAATCGTGGCGTATTTTTCACTACGCATGCGTGAATTCTTAGGAAGATACTTTCACAAAATCGATATGGAATAGTATTGCACAAGAATGTTATTTTACTAATAATTCACATTTAAAGCTTGTTAAAAGTTTGCCGAAATTTTTTTAAAATGCTATCTTCTTGCGAAGAGGATAAGGTTCCAAGCTTTTGTTGTGCAATTTATAAAAGCATTTATATTTTCTATTACGATCTAACGGAAGTATCTTGCTGGAAGGCGTGTCTGCTTAGAATTTGCTTCAGAAAAGTGGGGGACACGAACATCAAAGGTTCCGACACGAGTAGACCTTCTGTTAAGATATCTATTCTGTGGCTTACTTAGTTATCTCGCCATTTTGCAGTAGGTCATAAGTGTAGATGATTGCTTGATTCTCCTCTTGTTCAAATATAGTTGTTGAGGCAAAAGGCGTTGAAGCAAAAGACGCTAATGGTATGTAACCTGTCTTATAGTACGTTATTTTCCATCTTAAAGTAATGTTTTGAGATTTCTGACGTTACCCAACAAAATCACCGTCCATTCACCTCTCTAGGATTTGTTGGCATATATATGTTTAACTCGAGTTATTTATTTCATTTCATAGAGAATATATTTTAAGTACGGTGGAAGAATTTGTTAATTTTCTTTGTAAGCATTGCGAACTCCACACATACATCACATTGACATATTTTAAGCAAAAAGCAAAAGCAACGAAAATTGAATAAACTAATGTAGAATGAGCTGTCTTTGCTAACTCTTTGGTAGCGATGTCACGTGATGTTCAAAGGAGCAGCTGGGCATTTTGTTTTGAAAGACTGAAAACATCCACGAATTTGTAACCCCCTTATTAGCCTAGCCCCCCTGGCTTCCCCGTATCTGAAAAACTTGCGTTTTTTTCATAGGTTTTAGTGATCCATATTGTATGCTTGGTATTGTCATTGATGACTTGTTTGATCGTAAGTTAAAGAAAAAAACAAGTAAGACAAGAACAGTTTCGGAGCAGTTGGATGAGGATATTATTAAACTCACTTCGGTTAGAAGGAAGACGTTGAATCCGAAATGGAACGAAATATTTATTTTGTAAGAGATACCAAGATGTGTAAGATTAAATGTGTGTTTGAAGCAGTTATCGTCCACATGTCAACATGAACGATGGGAAATAGCTTAAGTCTTTGGTTATTGTATCGGGGGCGGTTGCACGAAGCCCGGATAGCGTTATCCATTGGATAGCAAAAATCTTCAAACTTATAAAAAAGGTGTTTATATTTTTCTTACGACAAAGAAATTTCGTTATTTTTGAAACAATATTTTATCTCAGTGATTGTTCAGTTGGAATCTTATACTTTTTGCTATTTAAAAGGTTTTATAAAAGTTTAGAAAAACTTGCCATCCAATGGATAACGCTATCCAGGCTTCGTGCAACCGGCTCCGGTACTGTTGTATTATTACATACATGCTTGGTGATCATCTGAACCGAGATCATGTTCTAAAGTGGATTGTTTAAAGTTTGGACACGAGAGTATTGCTACATAGATTTTGATCGTCCATGTTAGTGCGTTGCTGAGAAAGACTACTGGTGTTATACTTGACTCTGAGAATGTTGTCCAAACCTCAGTCTACAACAACAGTCCTTTTCAGGACTATACCAACCTGGACAATTTACATCTACAAACACATAACGATACTCACAAGCCAAACCATTCATTTTATTACGATTTTTTGTACGACAAAGAAAAGTTCTTTCATTATATTTCAATCTTGCTACTGGACTAAATTTGCAGTCCGACTAGGCTTTATTTGCCTACTGCGTAAATAAATTCAATTTAAATTACAAAGCTCGACTAAGTATATCTCCCCACCAATGTTCAAATTGGGTCGTCGTGTCATCATTATCAACTGAAGATAGAGTTTTGATGTTTTTTTACAGGAAAGTAAATGACGTCATGAAAGAAACATTACATTTGGACATATGGTATGTTGATTTTGTCTAGGTGTATTGAATTCTTTTATTAAACCCATCCTCTCTCCCTCTTTCTTGCGTTTTTTGTTGTGTCTAGATTACAATGAAACCTTTTTAAATGATCGCCCTTTTTTAAACGGTCATGTGGTATCCCTTAAATTTTCATTGTTTTTGAAACGATATTAAACGGTTGCACTTTGATTTAATTATCTACCTTTTTGTGCTAGATTTAAGATGATTGGAATGTAAGAGAACTAATAATTTATTTCATAATCTTTGTAACGTTTTTCTGTATTATGAAATACATTAACTCAAAACACATAACTAAAAGCACGTTCACACGTGTCGTGTGAACACATGTAAAGTGAGCTTCTGACTGTTGGATCTGTCAATCTAAAAAATAGGATGGAAATAGAACTTGCTCTATTTTCATCCAGCAAGATCAAAAGAAGCCGACCCGCCAAATTACATTGATTTAAAAAAGACTTGCAAACAAGAACAAAAATACGATAAATATATCTATAAATGTACTGGATAACACAAATGTCTGTTCAGAGGACTATAGATATCAAAACAATCAATACAAATATAAATATTAACAAAATTATCGGACCGTCTGAACAAGCGACCAAAAGTCGGATCCGACTAATCGGATCGTCTGAACGTGCCTTACAGTTACATTAACAATCCTTTTCGGGACTGCACCAACACATGGATGATCTACGTTTCTGCTAATATGGACATCAATCTAACGTTAATCGAGGGGAGCCATATTCATAAATTCTGTTATGCCGGGCTGATTTCTTTTGAAAGTGAAATGTTTTTGAAAAGAAATTACCCAGCCATATAGCAGAATATTAGAATATTATTCCCCCCAATCAACGTAGGATTGACGTCAATGTGGACAACGCGAGATTGCACCCAGACACGCCTGTTTCGTGTTTCGAGATTTTCTTACACACGTGTGTCTGGACGTAATCTCGCGTGTCTTGGTGTAAAATTTGGCTTCAAAAAATTATCAGGCTTTTCTATTTCAGATAGCGTTCCATCTATTTTCGTTTATTGGTACAATGACACTCCTGGGTTAAAATAATAAACTTTATTTTTTCTTGATAAACTGTTAGTAGACATTTTCAAGTTGTAGCTAAAATTTGGGAACGACGGCAGAACATGTTTGCATTTTTCTAAGCATCCCTGCAAACTAGAGTAAAACTGATAATAAACATTTTTAAGTTGTAGCTAAAATTTGTGAACGATGACAGAACATGTTTACGTTTTTCTAAGCATCCCTGCAAACTGGAATAAAAGACAAAAACACATGATTGAGCCTAAATTCGTATCAATCTCATTTATATTTTTCTTTTTTTTTTCAGGGATCACGACGAGGATACGGCATTTCTTGATAAGGAAAACAAAATCACACAAATAAAAGGCGTCGCTGGCGTAGGACGGTACGCGAATTTTCATAATCTGTTGAAATTACTGACACAGTATCTATAAAATGACGTGGCCATCCCAAAATGCTTTGCTTGTCGATGTAGAAAGTCTATTTCATAGCATTAGCAGCTTCCTACATATATAAGTTTTTAGTTGTAACTACGCCATGTTGAAATCCAATATGAAATTTTGTACTTTACTTTTCAACTATTTAAATCGGTGTAATGACAACAAATTCTTTTCGTAAGTACAATCAGTATCGGATCCAAGGTTAGACAAAATCACTACCCGATTTTATAAACTTTCAAATATCAAAATCTTATCAATCAATGGGCTTTTTTAATATACAGTTTTACTACTACAGAATACGATTGGTCAGTTTTGAGATCATGCAAATCTAAAGAAACAGTCATAAGCTATAATGAATTTAAGTCAATCACGACGCCCAACTTAGATTTAAGTTGTTTGATGAGCAAATCCCCTTGTTTCATTTCTAGATGTTGAATAGTTTACCATCCCACGTCATCTTTATCTATAATGTCTGTACTCAGTTGTGCTTCATTGTTTAGTTTCCTAAAACAAGTTGTCCAATCAAGTAAAAAGTGTGCTGGTGGTAGCATGGATGATTTTCTAGGCTTTGTAGAAGTTCCAATCAAGGTAACAGGAACTGAATATAAAACCGTAATCTTTGCAATTTATATTTCACGTACTTATGTAGAAATTTGTGTTGCTGTAGTAATGACGTGTAGCAGTCATGTAGAAAAGTATTTCTATTTCTTGCTGCTAATTTCTAAATAAGATAAGATAGTGAAAATTTTCCATGTAAATTTTTCTTAGTAACTATTGAAAACAATCGTTTGCACAACGCACTTGGTGCTTTCCCGTAACTCCTAAATGATATTGTTCACTTTGAAGAATACAGATTAAAATATAATGTGACTTACGTTTTCAGACACCTATAATCTACATCTGTTTTATTTTTTTTGAAAAACTCCCTGCAAGATACGAAAATATTTCATGTAAAGAATAATTTCGTGGAAAACAATTTATAACAGCGGTGTTCCATGGCATTTTTCAGTCCTGTGTTTGAATACACATACACAAATGTGAACCTATGTACTGAATGACGGCATAAACAGATGCGTTATGAAATTGTTTACTGGCAACCAATCATGATGTGTGTGCACTTTTTATTTAGTGTAATAAATTATGTTAGAAAAACATGTTTGAGTTGTCCGTTGCTTAAATTGTCCAGCAAAGTGCGAAGATCATATCTTGATTTAATTTCAAACACCGCACTGCATAAAACATTCTTTAATTAAGGTGTATAGCACTCCTATGTAATTTGTAACTATATATATATATATATACTTTCAGGACATTCCATCTGGTGGCGTTGACAAATGGTTTCCATTGCAAGCAAGATCAGCGAAGTCAAAAACAAGTGGAGATTGTCATCTTGTTCTTAGACTCGTCGGTGTTCAAGTAAGACACACTTGGAACAAATGTCATTTTATTTTCCAACAAACCATTTTCATGAACGAATATGATATCTGAAATCATGTTTATGTTCTAATAAATTACCGAATGAATGTTTTTTTGGGAAGTATTTAACAGTGCAGTGGGAACCAAACCAAAAATGTCATTTGTCCGTTCACTTAATTAATCAGTAGCTATAATCTATAAGAAGGAGAAAATCTTCTGTCAAATGATGTACCCATCAAGATACAGGAAATTTGGAACGTTGAATCGATTTTTAATTAACCAATTAGAATGCCTATTTTGCAAAGTTATTCAACAATTGCTTAAAGAATGTTTGTCAAGCAAGATGCATTTGCGCGCTTTTGTTTATGTTTACATCGATAGTTTTTAAGCTTGTGACACACTGAAGTCAATTTCGTCAATACATCGTCTAATTTATCTGAAAAGTTAGCAAAATAATTGATTAAAAACTCTATTTTACATGAATGGTTACGGTTTGTCTAAGTTGAATGGACTACAACAACACAATCCGCCATTTTCTCTACCCACAAATTGGCCGTAGAGCTGTGATTACGTATCGCGCAATGCATCTTGGTTGACACACATTCTTTAATGCTATTAAATACGTTTAATATTTGATTAGAGCGATAATGGCATTCGAAAAGAATCTTCAAAGACCAGCTCATCCAGCAGTGTCAGTTACTCGGTTTTTCTGAAGTCATTTGTAGTTTATGACGGAGATCATGCTGGGGTGAGTGTCCTCGCGTATATTTTATGTACATTTATGGATATTCTTAGAGGAGGTCCTTGAGGTGCTATTCTTTGGCGATCGAGAAAATACCTTACTTTTGATTTCTTTGGTTATGAATAACAAAGAATGATAAGATCTGCTTTAAAGCAAAAAAGTGCCTTTACCATTCTGAAGAAATGTGTATCAAATGTATATTTAGCGTGTCCAACATTTGAATTGCGATTTTCCATAGTCAAGATTAAAACCGTTGTCATCATTTTACCATTACATTTCTTCCTGCATCCATTAATGTCACTCTTGTGACTTCTTGGTCTTTGGCTCCGATTATGTTGTATTTGCTTTACCGATGTGAATGATAACGTTTGCTAAAATTTTGTGTATTAAGGATGACGTGTTCGGAAGTGGAGAAATTTCCAGATTTGCTCAATGGGTATTGCATCAATATGCAATTCAAAATAACATCTCTCACTTACAAAAAGCCATAAGGTACGTAAAGTATTATAGAAATATGGGATGAGGGCGAAGTGTTCCTTTTCATGAACCAGTTAGCTAGTAACAGGATGAAACGATGAACCTTTATACGTACCTGCTAACTCTTTTACTCTGTCAATAGCATGGTAAGGGGGGGTGTGAACGTCCATTTTTTGCGGGGGGACTCCTGCACCTAACCAACACCTGCCTAACTGTTGAATTTATTGACGATATAACTTCCTTGTTGATGAGCCCGAATGAATTACTATTCAGCGGTAGCTCTGTCAAAATTTTATGCAACCGTCTCCATACCCCCAGCTTTAGACACTGACTTATAAGGAAATGTCATTTGGATTAAACCTCGCTGACAGTTTTTGACTTTTAGTGGACATATAGGCTCAGAATAATGATTATACAGAAGGGTCACTCAGGTGTGCAATGCGTTCTCATATCGGCCATTATTCCAGCCAGATGATTAGGATTTCTCAGTTGTTTCCAACCATTAAAATTACAGACGTCAATACTTAATAAGGAATTTAAGTTTCTTTTGACTTAAGAAATGACTTCGGATCATTTTAGAGGTTGGAAAAAGTCAAAAACCCTAATCATCTGGCAGGAATAATGGCGGCCACCATGGGCGGCACGACATGCGCGAGGACAAAAGCATCAAAGGTTCCGACACGAGTGACTCTTCTGTATATTCTTATTCTGTGCTATAGGTATAACCTCACCACACAGTGTCGTTATTGCCTGGTGTATCTCTATACCCCACCAGTCCGATTGTAATGGTTATTAACGATTGGTCATTTGTAATGTTTAGTGAATGGGAAGTTTACAGTTGGTATCATCAAACACGTTCATTAAAGTATTCTTTCTTGGAGAAATTGTTGTCGAGTATAAATAATAAGTGGAAATCTGGCGAATTGTCTTCAGCTGATGTAAGTGTTTTTATGATGTAACTATTGTTCATTCTGTGGGTCTGTATTTACATTCTTTGATAAGGGTTTATGATTGGTTAATGAGTATGAGTTAGTAAAACTCGAAACATGACTATTGTTCGCCGCGCGCTATTGTCTTATTCAATCAAATGGCAAACTCTTAAATAATAAGAAGATAGTAACTGCTCTCTGTAGGTTAGTTTGTCTCATTCCTCAATATCAGGGGGAAAACCTCAGACATTGAGATTGCTTTGCGCGCCATAGCTTGGTCTAATGCACGTATTCCTTGTTGGAGATTAGATTTTAAGGGTTTAAAATACGGATTTTATTTCAGGAGGAAATGTTTCATCAGTCTTTGGATTCTTTTGTTGAATTTTGTCTTCGTCTGATAAGTAATCACAGATCTCTTTATCCAGCAACTAACTCAATGAAATTACGTCGCTGTGCCAACATGTTAAAGTAAGTCCTTCATGAATGCAGGGCTTTCACGGGAGGGGAGTGTTAGTGAATGGGAAGTTTACAGTTGGTATCATCAATCACGGTCATTAACATATTCCTTCCTGGAGGAATTGTTGTCAATTTTAAATGATAAGTGGAAATCTGGCGAATTGTCTTCTACTGATGTAAATGGTTTAATCTCTTTACAATATTTTCACATATTTCAGTTGCATAAAGTCCATACAAAGCCTTCCTAACTATTGTGCAAGACGTGGTAATGATATCAGGGATGAAATATTGAATACTGTGAAGGTTTGTTACCAATGAAGCTCGCCAGTCTTCAAGTTTGGTAGTGCTAGGTTAAAGTGTTGTTAACGACACGAAATTTTATTTCAATTTTCTTTATTGTATAACAAAGAACTTATAAAATTACTTTATAACCTCTTTAATATTGATTTTTTTACTTTTGTTTAATGCTAACTGTCGACAAAAATTACTATTTGTCAATGCTGATTATGCAATGTGATGTCATAACACGATGTCATTTCAATGTTGAAGAAAAGTTACACATCTCTAAAAAGAAATAAAATAACTCAGTTCTATTAAAGAAGTTATTGAGTCATTTTAAATTTCCTTTACAATGCAATCAAAAAACATTATGGTGAAATTTCGTGTCTTGAATACTTTTGGTGTTCACTTTATGTAAAAACAATACTTTTCAAAAAAAATAACCATAATTGTGATATGAAATTTACATAGCACAGCAAACTTGAAGGTTGGAATGATTACGCCACTCTTTGTTGTAATGCGGTTTACAAATTCAATAAACATGCTAAAAAAGAAACTAAAACTGGTTTTCCTCTTTGCTGCTTTGTCTCGTTTGTTTTTTGAACAAAAAAAGCACTCGATGAACTCGTGCCCATGCTCTTTTCTCGACAAGAGTAAATAGGATTGCGTGGCTTGTCATCATAGTTCTTCTTTTCTTTTAAATATTTTTGATCATTCTTAAAGTGATCTTAGGTTGCTCAAAACTTGCATAGTACTTTTTGAAAATTTCAAAAATCCATGGGACAGTCATAAAATTTTTTGTGAAGTAAATATAAGCACCATTGTAAAGTATATTTTAAAATTTCACTGTACAATAGACACCGTTCGTGTAACCACCCCTGTTGTTGCTAGCAGGCTGTGGTCAATATTATTCTTTTTCATTGTCTTTTTTGAACAAATTTCAGGTTTCAGCTGAAAAATGGTACACTCTGCAATTCGCATGGCTAGAACCTAAAGATCAGGTGAAACTAATTTGAGATTATTGTGTACAATTTTAGTAGCACGTGAGATTAGCTTCAGGGGACTCAGTTAGAAAGATTGTAAATTTTTCTTCCTGAATGGCTTCCTTCCTGAAGCGTTATGGGACGTCTATACATACTTCATGAATGGACACCATGTTTTTTTGGTAACTAGTTTACCGACACTATGGTGGGCCATACAGTTGTGACGTCACGTATAAACGTCACGAAATAACAGCAGTAAACACAAATTCTAATAGTCATAAATTCTGTTTTCTTTATTGGTATAGCAACTAACATCTTTGATTGTAACAAGTTTTTTCCGATTTCGCTCTCAATATGCAATGAAATTTGAGACCTCGAGACTATTTTTATTCCTTTTAGACTCAAGCCAGTGCAATTTTGTCGCTCGTGTCTCTGTCCGAGGTTATTGTATGTGATTTGCTTAAAGCTATCAAGTTCTATAGTAAAATATTCAACGAGTAAGTTCACTTGTTTATATGATGTGTCCGGAGTCATATTTTTGCTGTTTTTTTGTAAATAAAAACAGCTGTAACAGATTTCTTGTTGTTTTTTTCTTACCTAGAGTTGGTGTTGATTATTTCTTAACAACATATATGTCTTTGGAAAGACTGGTATGTGTAAGTTCTCCTTGATGTAGCACGTGAACGCTTGCGCAGATTTTGTTGGTTCATGTAGTTAACATGTGATTGCATGCGCTTTGTTAACACCTGATCATCAATAAGGATATTTTCAGTTGCGGAAACTTTATGAAATATTGGGGAGGGGAGGGCTTGTCCTCAAGGCCTGAGATGTTCCAGGATGTTCCAGGTCATGCTTATAGGTATACCCCTAAATTTTATCTCAATTTAAGGATTCTTACGTATATACACATAATCTTACACACACAAGAAAATTTAATACGTCTGCTGGTACGTGTACAGTACTGAAGTCGATCAAATAGTCTTTATTTAACATCACAGTTATGTTATGTAGGAGTGATTTGAGTGATTTGGAGAAAGATTTTTAATTTTTAAATATTATTGGAAATTTCACCTTGTGTCCGCCACTGAATATTTTGTATAAAGACGCAAAACTAATGACGATTTTCTTTATTTTCTTTATTAATGTTAATTACGTTCTTTATTGAATATGTGTGATGTAATTTTAGCTTGCTTCGGACATGCGTCAATCCATTGCAAAAATGGATGTAAAAAAATTACAAGTGGAAGTTGGCGATGGAGATTTGGGAACGAAATTGTTTTCGTTGTATTTGGCGGCGAGAGAAATCATCGAATATCGAAAATATTTGACTATCAGGTAATCACAATATGAAAAAATCGTCCTTTTTTCTACATTACTGACGTATAGAGCGTTTGGGAGGGGTTTGAATGCCAGCATTGTGAAATGATTTAAGTATTTGTCTTGTAAAACACTTAACACGTGCAAACAATGCATGTTGTAGACAGGTGGTGGCTCTCCCAATTTTCTGATGGATTGCTCGCGTGAAAAAATGTATTCTGGGTTAAAATTTGGAAGGCAGGGCATAGATTGTTCACTACCTATATTACAGCGAAAATTGCCATGGAAAGAGCACACACCATTATCCCCCTTCTAGAAAGGTCTTTATCCTTGGCAGTGGACATTATGTCCTTCCAAAGCTTCTGCTCTAACCAAGTTTGCGTCTAAATAACTTTAACTATTTGGTTTATTGCAAAATGCTTGGCATGCCAAAAATGTAGCCAAGAATTCAATTATTTGTCAAAATCGTCAATTGTTTTGTTTCCTTGTTATATTTTACATTCAATAATAAAATTTTCCTCTCTGTCATTCGTCGAAAGATGGAAAGTTGCGTTTTATTTGAACATAATCTTTTGCATCAGTGAGAATAAAGAATTTGCCTTCGACAACAGTCATGTTTGGTTCAAGAAGTTCATAGATTATTGGTTTCGCGTGGCTCATCAAAAAGCTCTGGCTCGAATAACGAAAGCCGTTGAAATTGACCAGGTTTGGGCCACTTTTAATCAGCATTTAATTTGCTTAGTGATACTCAGATGTCATTAATATTGTAGACGGTCGCCATTGATTCAAGTGTACAATATTCAACTTCTGCTGTTGACGTCACTTGTTGTTTTTATCAGGTATTGGTGTGGTAATAAATCATATACACGTCTTTGATTTACAAGGTTTTGAATTTTTATATACTCCAGTCTAGTCTCTTCATCATGAGTGATCTGAATTTGAAACGTGAGTCCTTATATACCCCAGTCTAGTATCTTCATCAGTAGTGATCTAATGTTGAAATTTGAGTCCTTATATACCCCAGTCTAGTATCTTCATCAGTAGTGATCTAATGTTGAAACTTGAGTCCTTATATACCCCAGTCTAGTATCTTCATCAGGAGTGATCTAATGTTGAAACTTGAGTCCTTATATACTCCAGTCTAATGTCTTCATCAGGAGTGATCTGATGTTAAAACTTGAGTTTTTTATATACTCCAGTCTAGTATCTTCATCAGTAGTGATCTGATGTTGAAACTTGAGTCCTTATATACTCCAGTCTAGTGTCTTCATCAGCAGTTATCTGTGTTGAAACTTAAGCCTTTATATACCCCAGTCTAATGTCTTCATCAGGAGTAGTCTCATGCTAAAATTTGAGTCATTGAACGCTTCAGTCTAGTGGCTTCATCCGGAGTGAACTGAGGTTAAAACCTGAATCCAAACATACTCAAGTCTAGTATCTTCATCAGAAGTGATCTTATGTTAAACTCAGTTTCTTATACACTCCCTCTCCAAACGGGAGTCTTTTTTCACAATTTTGTGTCTTAATTCCTTTTTTTTTTTTTTTTCATCGTCATTTTGTAGCTGTGTGAATTTTGGAAGAGATTACAATGGCCTAATGCCACAGAAAGCTATCTTTTTGTTCTGAAAATAAGCGATGTAAGTTTGCTAGACTAAATCATTGTGAAAAAATATCTACCAAAGTCAACGGATGAGATTATCTTTTTTTGTCTTCAGGATATATGCGAAGCAGCTCGACATTACGCTGAAGAATTGGGAAATAAACTGAAAGCCAACAACTATTACAACGATAATCCTTCCTATTTTGGTGTAAGCGAATCTGTAAGTTTATGTTAAAGAAAAGAATACACTTTGAAGACGACTTTTTTGTATGTTGTTCATAATTGATCTCTACATTCAACTCTTGCCGTGAATTTTGACTCCCGCTATTAAGAAATTATGTAAATCCTCAACTGAAACTACTGCCAAATGTATTGAGGCTACCTTAGCTGTTTTGTAGCTACTGCAAACATTTAAAGGCGACATATTTTGCAGTAACTATCACCTAAGCTTTGAAATTAACTGAGCATTTTAAACAAAAAAACCTCAACAATACAATACAATAACATTGTACCACCAAACTTGGAATATTTTCATCAAATCTATTATAAATACTAAATTGCCGTCCCTGGAGCGTTTTCTATAACAAGAGTGAACTGTATAAACTGATAATGAATTGAACAAATGTCGAAAATATTCTAAAAAATGATGTTTATCGGGGAACTCCTTTATACTTTTGTAGTTATGCATCACATTAAATAATCTGGCCTATACTCAACAATGGCTGAAGGAGCTTGATACGCACTTAGACTGGCACAGTGTCATCAGAGACATGAGACTTGCGCATGACAATGAGACGGCAACGAAATCCGAACTCACTTTAAGACAGTTATCCGAAAACACACAAGAAGTTCTGTTCAATAAAATGGACGAAATGATTGATCATATTGTAATGAAGGTTCGAGGCGTTCTGTTTTTTTAGCATATGAATGGATGTTTTGGCGTTTGTTGTTATACTTCTCTGGGGAATTTTGAGAGCAATGGACTTCTACCTTTATATAGCTTTCACTGGCGTGGAGCATTTTGTGTACGCTCTGTTTATTTCATTTATCAGATGTCCATAGACTTGAAAAGATTTATTTCTGAACTCGTGAGCAGCAACGAAGACATTGAGATTGCCGATGTAAGTATTTATTAAAGTTTAGTTTCCAATTTGTATTGTGTGGAGCTAGTGGCGGGCACTGAGTATGAGGGTACCGACGCCCCACCCACACTTTTCATTAAGGTTTGTGAAAGACAAAAACATTACACCAAATACCACAAATTTAATGATGTCTGTACTGTTTACGTCCCAGCACACATTAAACTTTGACTTGTAGATGAGGATTGGATGTTCTTGGAAATCTCGTTCCTTTTCGATAATCCTCAAACCTCGGTACTTCATGAAGTGTTCACCATTGTGAGAAGTTTTAGAATTATTACTCAATAGATGATGTGGAGATTGTTCCTTTCTTTGCCAATTCGTGTTTTTTTTCTAAACATTTCTCATGTTCATTTTTGAATATTTGAGTCAAGTTTTGTTTAGTGGTTGACTGCTTCACTGTTTAATTGCTTCAGTTGTAGTCAAGTTTTGTTTAATGGTTGACTGGTTCACTGTTTAATTGCTTCAGTTGTAGTCAAGTTTTGTGTAGTGGTTGACTGTTTCACTGTTTAATTGCTTCAGTTATATCAACTGAGTCATTGTTGAATAGATTGCTTGTATTAGCTTGTTCATTAGTCTTGTGTCAAATTTATGAAGACAATATAATTTTCACGGATCTTTTTTAAATGCAGGCAATGGATCCGTTACTCGCATACCTTGAAAAATCATTGAAAACATTTTACGAGACTTTGGTTCGTCCTGTTTTTGACAGGCACGTGTGTTACAATGGATTTTAAACTTTTGATTTAGCTTAAAATTCTCAAGCTTCATCTTGTAGGACGTTGCCTAATCTTTGGAATGGACTCGTAACGATTGTTGTCGATACCATCAAACATGATAAAGGGGTGAGCGCTTACGATATTGAATTATGGAAAGAGTAATGGTGTTACCAGTGAACTATAATATCAACTGGAACACTAACAACACCGCCATTTTTGAAGCCGAATGTGAAGCATGTTTTTCTGAGTTTTTGCAAGTTTCATGTTAATATTTTAAAAAATCAACAACGAAATACCTAAAATAAAGTAGCACAAATTCCATGAAAAGTTTTACGAAACAAGATTTGGTAATAAACCTAAAAACTCATCATAAATGGCTTAAAAATTGCGTATAAAAGCTAGCAATGAGACTAGCATTGGAATTAACTCTCCAGATCATATTACAGCTCATTGTGTGTTATTGAAGAAGGGTGGGAATTGGCGCTTCGAGGTTTGACAGTGAAGGTGTTAATTGAGAGGTGGAGCTCAAGTCCAGTTCTTTTTTCTATATTTTATATTATATTTGTTTCCAAATTTGTCCTATTTGCTTAAAACAAGAACATTACTTGGTTGTCTGTGTGTACGATTACGTTATCCATGTATTTTCATATCTAGAGATCGCCAATTTTCTATCAACGAATGAATCAAGTCGTAAAGGTATTATTGTTGATGTAGGAAATGTTTGACTCGATAGTGAAAATAATTTAAGAGAGAAGAACCATTTCTTTTCCGCTGTTTAATGACCTGATGAAAAACATTTACTATGTTCAATATTTTCCCAGCACACACGCATACAGAATTTCTCGCGTTATTTGACGTGTTTACGATTTGGTTTTGAAAAACGAAACAGGAAGAAGTTAAAAAGGAATTAGTCTGCTTGCATCACTGAGCCCAAGATATACCTGGAACGATAACTTCGTTGCTTTTTCGAACCAAATGGCATTGGCTTGTTGAAACTCCTTGCGGAAAACATATTCTGTTTTTGATGCGCACTATAATGTAGAGAATGCGATGCGACACTAGTTTCCAGTTTTCCAGATCTCGTACAAATAAATTATTTCCATTTTCTATTTGATAACTTTTCCCACGTGTTTCTTTTCAGGTTCTCACAGATTTCTTTTGCGTCGATGGCATTGGTATACCACGGGAGAACATGATAACTGACGAATTAAAGGTTTGTTTTTCGCCGTTTGCTTTCACCCTCTATGCATTGGTTTGGTAGAATTACATGGCGCCCTGTATTTTTTTTTGGGAAGGGAAGTCTCCTGGTTGCCATTTGTCACAGTTTGACTGGAGTGTTGACAATTGCCTTTATTTTGCTGTTTTTTTCTATTCAATAAGATAGCCTCGAAGGCAGTGCGCCCTATGAAATATGGGGGTGGGGCCTAGTCCTTTAATTAACTCTACTTAACGAATGCTACGTATACGTCACTGCGTCAGTGGATCAAAGGCAGTGTGACCATACATTGAAAAAATTTCTTGCAGATTTGGTTTGATGAACTTTAACACCCCCCCTGTTCCATAGTTTGCAACTATAAAAAGCAGGTGGGAGAGTCTAAGATCATCAGACCAAATCTGGTTAAAATATTTCTTATATGGTCTCACTGATCTTTAGGTGAATTACTTTGAAAATGATGTTCACCCTTTTTTTTATATTTGTGTAGGAACTCCTTGACGATCTTGGTATTCGTCAGCTTACATCGGAGAGACTTATCGAAGAATACTATGCTGAGAAAATGATCGAAATGGTTTGTTTGGCTGATTTTTTCATGGACTTATCAATCAGTTGAAATTCTGTATATGAGAACAATAGTGCTTATTTACTCATATCCTTCTCTGTATTTTCAATGTTCGCTCACTGTGAAAGCAACCAGTAGCGTAGCCAGCCTGCAGATTTCTCCCACGATGCAAGTTCTGAAAGATTACCATTATTCATTTCTTTAGAAATCTATTGTTCTCACTATCATTAAACACAAAAATATTTCCATAGAGGGAGTAAAAATTCGGGCTGGCTACGCTACTGAAAAAAAACAGATTTCTAAATTAACACAGCTTAACCAAAACTGTGCTGTTTGAGAAAGATGTTGTGCTTTAAAATCAATTGAAAGATTGGAAATCTCATGTTTCGTATTTTGTAGTTGGAAAAACCACGTGATTTAGGAGAACTGGCGCTCAGAATGTTTTACGATTCCAGGAATGAGAAACTCCACATTGAACGTATGTTTTGTTGATTATATTTTCATCGCATAAAAGGAGAAAGTATTTGGCATTATGCTTTTTTTGTAGTGTTAAATGGTAGAAATTTACCTGCATTAGACTCAAATGGTAAAATGATTTTGAAAATTTATTTATTGTCTAATGGTTTGTTGTGGATGGTCAGCATTATTTATCCTTTTCAGGTTATAGTGACCCGTATGTTAGGTTGACTCTTGCTCCACGTCATCTCTTTCCCATGGCAACAGTGGAAAGGACTGACGTCCAATGGAAAACGCTTTTTCCATTGTTTGATGCGAAGTTTCAGTAGTAAGTTCAGAGCATTGCTTTTGACACCATTGCTGGGTAATTCTTGCGTCACGTGATCATATTCTCTCTCTCTTTCCACGCTGTCATAGCATAACTCTCTTGGAGACAGCAATTGTTGTCCATGTAAAAAATTATCATCGTATCACAAATCTCTTAGACACAATAACAAAAAGTCTTTGCGAAGTACTTGTAGTGTTTGTACGAAGAGTTCTTGTCCTGTTTTTCCACAAACGCCTAAGAATGCTTGCAAGCCTTTTCAGTATCTTTGACAAAGTTCGCATGCTGAATTTATAATTTATTCTTTTCCAAGCTCTGTGTCGGCCGAGTCATGTAAACAGCATGGCGCTCACGTCCAACTGACCGTAATTGATTATGACGTCCTGACAGATGACATTGCTGGTCAAGTGTTTGCATCACTCAATCATGTACCAGGCCTCGAGACCGAAATCCCGGCCACTTTCTCTGGTATTGAACAAGTCTTAGTACCCGTCATTCACCCCACCCCAGAAGGGAAATATTTTGAAAGTAAGTGAAGCAGGAACCTGTTGTTATTACCATGCAAATGGTTGTTATTTGACTGAGATATTTTCAATCGTTCAAAATGTTGTTGAAACCTTCGACTATCATACTATTGATGTGTTGCAACAAAAGACGGCATGTGATGAAAGACTGGTTGTAAAGTGTATGAAAATGATGGTTAATTGATTTGGAGAGTAGCTTGGGGTAGGGGGGTTCAGTGATTTTTGTGGTATCCGTACTTTTTCTGTACCTGCCAGTGTCGGCGAATACTGAGTACAGCGAATAACCTGGTGTTGGTCAGTAGATGCTGTGTATTTGTGCTGCGCCATAACATTGTGAAAAGTAGCTAAAGCCAGTAGCATTGTTCTACATCTGTCGAAACTATTTTCATGTTCTTGTTGTTGTCTAGTTCTTAAAGCAAGAAGCGACGAGTTGGCGATGAAATTCGTGAAAGAAAGACAAGATATTTACCAAAAACTTTCACCTATACGGAATAAAGCAAAAGGGAAAGGTTCTTAACTTACGAGAAAAATTGCAAGTTAAAAGTGTTCGGGCAAGAACAGTTGCAAAGGCAGCTGGACATGCTATTATGACTGGCTATCAAAAGGGAAATTGGGATACTTGCTCTTTTCCATTCATGATAAAATGTTTTGTAGAGGGTATTTACTATTTAATTTCGTCAATAAATTATTAGCTGTGGTTCTTTATTCTTAAAGTGCTACAGCAGAGAATTTTTCGACCACTTTTTTATTTGCTCAATAAATATTTCTTCTTTTAGAAGCAATTTGATATTGAAATGACTATCATACGTTCACGAAAAGTAGATTAATTTTGCCTCCAAAGCTTGTCATGATATTACCAACAGGAAATCTATCTAGCGTAAGTTGACTTCTCCATGTTTTAACTACATGCTTCCTCCACAACTACACATAGCCCAACAAACTTGGTATGGACTGTTTGATTTTGAGATTTCCATTTAAAACAGAATTTTCAAAACAGGTCATTGAGACAGCTATAGTAAATTGTAAACATTGGTCGTCGTATAGACTAGTTCCTTCATCAACATAAAAATATAACAATTATTAACTCTTCAGCCGCTGAAACAATTCCTGCCACGTCAATTGTAGGAATGGCATTGTCTTTCAAAGTTGCTTTAGTTTTGAGCGACTTTGTCAACGCATTCAATCGTCAAAGTTGGTTGAATAACAATGCGATGTAACTGGAGCTTGAAAATTTGGTCGATGTTTTCGGACAAAATTTCTCCAATTTGTTCGCCGTTCAGATCTTTTTCTTTTTTCGGAACAAGATGCAATGATATTCCTTCCGCAAATTGTGTATTGGTAGGACTTTCTAACTTTGCACAGCCAGCAACACAACTTCTAGGTCTGCGAAGGCGTTTATCACTATTAGTCAGTGAAATGTAAAATACCTGGAACGATAACTAGTATACAAAACCCAGTGATTGGATGAAGCCGTTTTGGAAAGGTTTTGCGGTTCGTGTACGTCTCGCGTGCACTGTGTTACGTGCGTGCACTGTGTTACCTGCTGCTTGTCGATGAAAGCTTCGATTGAAAACAGCATGATTTGAAAAGCGGGAAGTTTTTGATGAGAAAATATATTTGTAGCTGATGAATCAGGGCAGAAATTTGTTTGAATTTGTATTCAGAGCCACGTCAAACTTATTAATACACGTGACTTATTAATACACGTGACTTATTAATACACATGTCTTGGAGTTATTTGCCATATCGAAAAAAACATATTCATGCAAAATGGCTTCGACAAACGAATCCATTTGTCAACACAGAATTTGAAAAAACATCGCGAAAATGTATTCACTCTTCGCAAATATTCATACATGTTTGAGAGAATGATAAATACTAAAAAATATTTGAGCATGTAAATGTATAGCAGCATCGTTCATCAACTTTTTTCTCTTAACACTTTTGCTAGATGCTGTCAAACTTTATGTTCAAGAGAACAAGTTGTTGCCTCATGGTTTGCCTTTTCTCAACTTTGTTGTCTATGCAGCTTATGCTGAACATTGTGAATGATTCACTTACAATGCTTGTATACTTTCATGCACAAGAAGTGACTTTTTGTTGAAAACATTGTCTGCCCAAAATACATGTTTTAGATAGGTTTACGAGGAACTTTGTTCTTAGGCCTGGGGAGAGTAAATATCGAACAACAACATCGTTTTTGCTCTAAAAATCGCAAAAATACAGTTTTTCTACAGATTGTGTGACTTTGATACTAAAAATAGCGTATTTATGGAAAGCTGTGTATGGTTTGCGTTCATTCAAATACAAAAAGTTTCTGGTACCAGTTTCATATTAAAGTTATTTGACCTAGAAAATGTGAAAAAATCACTTTGTGATTTTTAACCTGCAAAAACATCTTAAAACCTATTTTTGTGTAAATAAACAAAGTAAATATAAAAATTCAATGTGTGTAAAAGATATTGAGCTTAAAACAGCCTTATAAAGGGGGTATTTTAAGGTCAAAAACAGAGTTTTAAAAAAGACATTTTTTCGTCACTCGGTTATCAATGGCGGCAATCATGAGCGGCTTCAAAGATGGCGGCCAAGTTATCGTTCCAGGTATTTTACAGTTCACTTGTTATCATATTATTATCCACAAACATATTAAGAGTTATCATCTTGGGAAGGAGATCGTACGAAGCTTTTGTAGTGCAAAACGATATGTTTGTAGAAACATCTATATTTTCTATTACGATCTTGCTGGAAGGCGTGTCTGCTTAGAATTTGCTTCTGAGGAGTGGGGGACACGAGCATCAAAGGTTCCGACATGAGTGGACCTTCTGTTAAGATATTTATTGCGTGGTTAAACCTGGGTTAGTTGTCCTTAAAAGCAAAAAAATAAACCTGGGTCATCTTAAACCTTGGTTAGTTCATGTCGTGTGAATTGGGCTTAGGGATATACTCAGTATTCTGTGTCCGAATCCTGAATTCAAGTGAATGAAACATTTACGTCAAACAAAAACCAGATACTGCCAATCTTGTACATTGCATGAAAGAATGTTAATATTATATATATCTTATATCAAAATATTTACAAATTTTAGGCACTCGAGACACGTTTCCAACGTATGTAAATAAATACTTGAGTAAGTAGTTAGTACATGACGCGATTCGCAAGGTTGAACGTTTAGGACCTGGAAGTTGTATCGAAGAAGATAGCTGAATAGCTAACGTATGCATTGAAACTAATTTATCGTAGCCCAGATTGTTGAAGAGAATATGAAAGTTTTTAAGAACATAATTATGGCGCATGACTGCAATATAAGATGAGTAACAAATTTCTACAATGGGAAGAGCATGATAAAGCTGATTGAGGCATTGTGAAATCGAAAAAAAATCATAAATTACTCTCAAGTTGAGCACCATGGTACCAATCCCGTAAATGATCCAATAAACGCCCCTATCAAAAAACTACTTGTATCTATTAAACGCTGCGGGCGTCTACGATAATCCTCACCTGCACACTTAATATTTTTATAGTATTAGCATTACAAACAACGAGAATTCATTGGAAGGTTATGTTATTCGCCTTTGTCTTGGTGTGAAAATGTGACATACAAAGGTCACGTCAATAGACATAAAAAAACAATAACGAACAAATTCCTTTGGTTGTAATCATCAGAGAATACGAGATATTAGTCGCTATTGTTTATGACAAGTTTGCACATGAAAGGAAACTAATAGTTGCTCGTGGTCGATCTCCGCAGCAAATAATGAAAATTTATTCACACTTGTGCCAGAAGAAGTGACAGGTGTCTCATGACCGTGCTCTCGTTTTCAAAATCAGTTAAAACGAAATTCGTACAACATGTCTTTTAATGAGTCAGTGAGAAAAATATATAAGGAATATTACGAGGCTCTTGGCCCAACAGAAAAACGAGAATTTCAACCAATTTTGCAGTCAAAACTAGAGAGGCTTCGCCTTTCAAAACCAAACGAGTCCAATGAAAGTGATAGCGAGGAGGAAAGTACAACTTGGTATACGGTAGAATACACTGGCAGTCAAAGGTATATTTAACCTGTTGTAGGTCATCGCGTTATTCGAGTCACACCCAGTCTTGAAAATCTGTTTGTTCGCACTTCCAACGTTAGTTTTGAAGAGCCAAACATAGTTATTACTCTAAAAAAAGGGTTTTAAGCCATGGTGATGTTGAAATGTTTGACAAATGATACTTGCATATGTACTGCTGAAATGGGCGTGAGTTAAATAAGTTTACCAGTGTGCCAGCAAGTTGGCCATCTGTTAATAGTTGAACTTTATAAAAGAGTCGAATACAGCATATGTGCGTAGTCAAGAATGATAAAAGTTATCGATATGTTGAAAGAGAGGCAATTTACTGTCAGAGCTTTTATATTGTTTTTTGTTATGCGTGAGTCAGCCTTACCCTCCTTTCTCGGGCTTTCAGATGTTAACAATTGTGTTTTAAAGTTTATGGTCTAAAGCCGAGCTCGCTGCCTGCAAATGGTTGTGCAAACTAGTTTTACAAAGAAAAGCATAGACTGGAGATAACTTATGTTTTCGCCTTATCTTTTACCAAAAGCCATCTTGAATGCTTTATATCACTTGAATTAAATTGACATAATACTCACAGTCATTTGCATCGCAAAACAGATGAAACAGAGTGTGAAAGCCTTAAAGTAAACACTTGGATTGTACTTTAGCGGCATCTTTGTCCACCAAGTCGTTGTTATAGTAAATAACGAAGTTATAGTTTTCAAAGTTAGAGACTGTCATATAAAAATTTAGCTGTCATGAAAACAGCGCCAACATTAAGGTTTTTGTCACTTGAAGACGACAATTTGAATCGAATTATTACAGAACAAACTATTCTGCAAAGGTATTCGATAATTGACAGCGTTATGCTTTAAACTGTATCATGATTCTGTGGTTTAAATAGGTTTCTCACGATAGATTTGAATAGTATGCAGCTTGCAAGAGGCAGGCGTGCAGACACTTTATGTAAAAATTTCGCAAAAGAATTGGTTTTAACCAAATGATAGTTTTTTTTTGAAAAGGTATACCAAGTGAATATATAGGGGGTCTTTTTAATAATTAAGTTATTCCCTGAATAAAATATTGCAAAAAGAGATTCATTGAATATTCGTATGTAGTCAAATGGGTTAAAAATTAAAGATTTGTGAATGCTCAATGACTTTTCTGTTATATAATCTTGCAATGTTATATTTTTTGGACTAGAACACTGCACTCGGGCAATGGGTTTTTTGAATGTGTTATTCAGCTGGACTGGAAATTGCAGTCTATTATATCTCCTCAATCACAAGCTGTAAAGGTTTGTATCAATTTATGTTATTTTGATAAATATGAGCATCAGATATTGCAAATACCCATATATATATACATATATATAAAGATGAGGTGGGTGTTGACTTTTAATTTGAGACTTTCACCCAATTTTGGCAAGGTTAACAGATTACCAAAAGGGTTACAAAAGTGTTGCTAATGGGAAACTATGATGAATCTTCTTGTGTATGTGGCAAGAAAATTTACAGTTGCATGGCAAAGATCATTTGCAATGAATCAAAAACATCTTCTGTTGAATTGCCTTTATTTACTTCTTTCTACAGTTATTGGAATTATATTCTTGCTTAAACTAATATTGATCAAGCAATTTTATAATTATATCAACTGTATAGATGTTGACATGGTGAGCATTTAAGTGATTTAATTTCAAATTTCAAAAGCTTCCAAAGTCCCTGCTTTAATAGATTTAAATTTATAAAGACTAAATTCAAAGCATGACCTTCATTTTTTTTAGCCATGTGTACCAGGTAATATTTTTATAAGTTTAACCTCCAAAATGCATCATGTGCTTATTTATCACTCAAGACCTTTTCATGAGTAACTATTGACTTGTTTCCATGGTAACAATAAATATGTGGCAATATTTTTGTAAAGTATGGTAAAAAATCCACACAATCTTCTCTACGAACAACTGTTCAATTTTCATTAACAGCTTGTAACAAACATTCTCAATATATCTATTGCATTATAAAACTCTTCATTAACATCTTTGCTCCTTTGTAGAAATTGCCATCACTGGCTGATGAAACTGAAGAAGGTTCTGGTGATGATGAAGTGTTACCTTCAGATGAGAAAGATAAAACCCTCACAGATGAGGAGAAATGTATTGAACTTTACAGTGAACTATTGTTCATCATAAGACATCAGTTTTTCTCTGAACAAGAAAGAAAAGATCTCCCCTCAATGGGCACCGTTTGTGCCTATGGTCAAGAGGTAGCCTATAGCCTTTAAACTGTGGGATGATGTGGTACTGGAGGGTACAATGATGGTGGTGGGAATGCATGGTGGCAGTGATGATTAAATCTAAGATGATTTTGTAGGGGATGCTCTTCAGAGAATACTTCGTTGGTGTTGCACTATATGTCATTGTAGTCATTTTTATTAAAATAATGAAATTGCTGAGAACATTTAGCATTAGCAGGACAGTAGCCTGCGGATGTTGATGATACATGGCATGGCTAAGTGACTACGTCTTAATAAGATTTTGCATAATGAACATCTTTGTGACTAACCTCTTCACTGCAACCACTGTTCAATGTCAACATGTTGAATTGAAAATTTTAGGTGTTTGGAATTGATCAAGAAAAACATCGCGAATTGTTCTCTCGTGTGAAAGAACGCAAGGTACATTGTTGTCAACCATGTTGGAAAGTAAACAATTAACTGGTGCAATACTTCATGTGATGTAAATTAATGTTGACTGACGTTTGAACGTTGCTCTGTCGTCCAAATGATCGTAATAAAGTAAATTGCTTGAACCCGGGAGTATCCTTACATGTTTGTAAATGTAGATCGTCCAGGTTGGTATAGTCCTGAGAAGGACTGTTTTTGTTGTTGTTGACTGACGCTTCGACAACCTTAGCGGTAGTCATCTTCAGAGTCATTTGACATTTGACATGTAACGATACTCCCGGGTTCAAACCATTTACTTTAGTTTGAACGTTGCGGTAGTCATCTGTAGTTAAGTAAAGAGTCACCTTTTAGGTCAAGTGAAGAACAAACATTTCTTCTATAATCTACATACAATATTGTGAAGTATGAATCACGACAACTAACGCTGCAAACCTGGCGTATAGTCTTTACTTGATTCAGAAGATGACTACCGCTAAGGTTGTCGAAACGTCAGTCAACATCAACACCAACAGTCTTCTCAGGACCCCACTAACATGGAAGATCAACGTCTATAAATATACAGTCTATAGCTACGTTGTTATTTAATGTTTACACAAACATCGATGTTGGCTTAAAATGATGCAACATTGTACTACCATATAATTTTCTCATTTCTTATTCCAGCCTCCCACGTGTCATGTTGAAGTCAACGGTAAGCTTTTGAATTTGTTTTGGGTAATTGATTTTTTTTGAAGTCAGGGGGTACGTAACTGGACTTTCCTCCCTCTACCTTCCGTTTAACTCTCTATGCTCACCCGCCCCTATCATCTCAGCCCTTGATTCCAACGATACTGTTTAAAGGTAGGAATTTTAATTGAAGAGCTAGTTCTTTAGATTTGTCCTAGGAGTGGTTACACGAAGCTAGCCTTTTTAGCGTTATCCATTGGGTGGTATTTTTTTCAAACTTGTTAAGAAGATGGTTGTATTCTATTTACGATAATAAAACTTTGTGATCGTAGAACCAATAATGGATTTTATAAACTGTCCATTTAAAATCGTATATTTTGAAGTGTTCAAAAATTATGCTATCCAATGGACAGCGCTCTTCTGCCACTGCGAGAGTTTCTTGAGACAAGACTTCAACGTATCAAAGTGATCAATTTTCGATTATTTTATTGCACACGGCAGGCAACACGTAGCACGCAGCAGGCAACCCGTTGCACGCGGCAGGCAACACGTAGCTACTGGCATTTATTGACATGGATAATGTTAACAAATGGCTTTTAGGCTATGTCTAGTGTAGTTGATTGATTGATTGTCCTCTTGTTCAAATATAGTTGTTGAAGCAAAAGGCATTGAAGCAAAAGACGCTAATGGTATGTAACCTGTCCTATTGTTGGCTATTTTCCTCTTAGTCTTAAAAAAAGGTTCTGAGATTTCTGGCGTTCCAGAACGAAGGTCAATCGCTACTCACAGTCGACTCACCTCTCTAGGATGTCAACTCTAGTTAGTTATTTCATTTCATAAAAAATACATTTTAATTACGGTGAAAGAATTTGTTTATTTTCTGTACAAGCAATGGGAGCACCGCACATCCCATTGACGCATTTTAAGCGAAAAGAAAAAGCGGCGAAAATTGAATAAACCAATGTAGAAGCTGCCTTTGCTAACTCTTTGGTAGCGATGTCATGTGATATTTTCCAGAACAGCGAAGCGTTTTATGTTATAAAATAAAAACAATAAAACATCTGAGCTCAACCAATCAAAACAATCAAACAGTCGAAGAGAATTTGCAAATCGATCATCAATACATTTTGGAGGAAAAATTGAAATGTTTGTCTTATTCCCATTATTGTTATTTTATTAAAAGAAATAAGATGTTTTTCGTGTTTGCACGGGCTTATGAAAACCTCGGAGACCTTTGTGAGAATCCTCGAGGATGTGCAACCCTCGACGTTCGGTTTCCTCGGTTTTCATTTCTTAATTAAAAGGCTGGAATCATCCAAGAATCTGCAACCGCCCTCATCCATGGTTGCAGCTCCCCTGCATGGCTTCCCCGTCCATGAAAAACTTTCGCTTTTTTTACAGGTTTTAGTGATCCATATTGTATGCTTGGTATTGTCATTGATGACTCGTTTGATCGTAAGTTAAAGAAAAAAACAAGTAAGACAAGAACAGTTTCGGAGCAGTTGGATGAGGACATTATTAAACTCACTTCAGTTAGAGAGAAGACGTTAGATCCAAAATGGAACGAAATATTTCTCATGTAAGAGAAACCAAGATGTGTAAGATTAAATGCGTGTTTGAAGCAGTTATCGTCTACATGTCAACTTGAAAGATGGGAAATAGTTTCATTCTTTGATTTTGTTTGCATGTGTGTTGTTGTTACGTTGTGTTACGCGCACGCTTCGTAATCATCTCTACAACAAAATGTTTTAAAGTGAATGGCATGATCCACGGATTATTGTTACGTAAATGCTCATCGTCCAGGTTGGTGTTGTCCTAAGAAAAACTGTTGGTTATAAAGTTGTTTTGTTGAGTCAACTTCACTCTGAAGATGACTACCGATGTTGTCAGCTAAAGGTTGTCAAAATGTCAGTCAACATTTACACCAACTGACCTTCTTGGGACTCTACTAAACTGGACGATCTACATCTACAAACATGTAACGATATCCCTAGGCTCAAACTATTTATTTTATTACGATTACTTGGACGAGAAAAAAATGTTCTGTTATTAAATTTCAATCTTGCTGCTTGACAAAATTTCTGGTCCGGATATACGCTTTATTAAAACAACTTCAATGTTAATTCCAAGGCTTAACTGAATATAACTCCCTACAAATGTTCTAGCTTCTAACCACTGCAACCGTTGTCATTAACGGAAGTAAGAATTTGCGGTGTTTTTTTCTACAGGAAGGTAAATGATGTCATGAAAGAAGCATTACACTTGGACATGTGGTATGTTGATTTTGTACTGCTTTATTGAAAGTTTTTTTGTACAGACTAAGCCCGTAAGGCGAGTTTTCGTCCATAAAAAATAAACCTTTTCAAATTGTATCGTCTGGATAGTTAAACTATTTTCCAAGTGCTTTTCCTTCGAATCACATTCGTAAATGGTTTTTGGTTTCGTTTATTTTTCGTTTTGCTGTTTGCATTACGAAGTTTGTTCACATTTGACATTAAATTACGTGTTTTGGACCGTGGTCAATTACCTGAAAATAATGGACCGGCAAAAATGTTTCTCAGCCAATCAAAGCGCGCCATTTAGCCGAAAGTGACGCTTGCCGTATAATAATTTTATTTAATCTATCCCCCGACACGTCTCTTGATGTTCTGTCCAGTATACAGTAGAGTTGAAACTCTATGAAACGACACCATATTAAGCGGTCGCCCTTTCGTAAACGGTCATGCGGCACTAAACGGCCAGACCGTCTGTTTCAGTATTTTCCTTTTTGCGCTGTTAAATTTAATGTAAGAAAACTGATAATTTATTTAATGATTATTGTGACGTTTTTTTCTATCATAAAAAATACATTAACCAACAACTGCAGTAACACTTTCTAACTGAGGACTTCACAAACCTGCACGATCATGCAACATCATCTGCAACATGTAATGTTATACTCCTGGGCTCAAACAATCAACTTCATTAATTTTCTTGATGAACTGTTGGGAAACATTTTTAGGTGGTAAAATTTGGCAGAATGATGGCAGAAACATGTTCGCAGTTTTCTGAGCTTTTTTTGCATATTGTAGTCAAATAACAAAAGAAGATGGTCGAGTCTAAAGTCGTATCTATCTCAATGATATAATGATATTTTTCAATTTTTTCAGGGATCACGATGAGGATTCGGCATTTCTTGATAAGGATAACAAAGTCACACAAATAAAAGGAGTCGCTGGTGTTGGACGGTACACGCATTTTCATATTCTTTTAAAATTGCTGGTACAATTTTTATACATTGACATAGCAATCCCAAAATCCTTTGCATGTCGATGTTCAATAACTTTCTTGTTTCTAGTCGTGACCATATTGTGGTCGATTAAGAAATGTCTTATTTTATTGTTGAACAAACCGAATCTGAGAAATACTAACAAATTCTTTTAAGCGATAAAATCTGTACCACATACAAGGTTATAAAAAATCAATACCCGCTATAATTTTAAATTGAAATCATCCCGACAACAATATTGCTGTTTATTAACTTTCAAAGGTCAAAATCTTACCAGTCGGTCAGTTTTGAGATCATGCAAATCTAATGAACCAATCATATGCTATTATAATCTTTGATAAAAGTCACGAGTTCCTATTTAGATTCATGTTGTTCGATAAGCAAATGCCCTTGTTTCCATTTCAAATTTGGAACCAGTTCCACCTCACCTTCTCTAAAACGTCTGTTGTGTCATTGTTTAGTTTCCTGAAACAAGTTGTCCAATCAAGTAAAAAGGGTGCAGGCAGTAGCATGGATGATTTTCTAGGCTTTGTAGAAGTTCCAATCAAGGTAACAGGAACTGAATATAAAACCGTAATCTTTGCAATTTATATTTCACGTACGTATGTAGATATTTGTGCTGCTGTAGTAATGACGTGTAGCAGTCATGGAGAAAAGTATTTCTATTCCTTGCTGCTAATTTCAAAATGAAATATTTCCTGCTGTGAAATATTAACTTTAAAAATTTCCTATGTAAAAATTTTCTTGAATAAGTGTTGAAAACAAGTTTTACATCTACTCTATAATTTCGAAGAAACTCCCTGTGAGATACAAAAATTTTTCCTGCAAATAGTTTTGTGAAAAAAATTCATGGTTGCAGTGCTCCTTGACATTTCCACTCCTGTGTTGGACTACGCATACAAGTGTCGATGTATTTATTGAATTAGAGCAAAGATAATTGAGTTATTAGCAACCAATCATAAAGCGTGTTTGCACTTACTCTTTAGACTAATGAATTAAACTGGAAAAACACGTTTGAGGGTTACCAAAGTAAAATTTGCTTTGAGATGTAATAAAGCAATTTCTTAGTTCATTACGACAACATGTCGATTTTGTTGTAGTGTAACGTTTTCTTGTATTTTTCATATATTTTTAGAATATCCCGTCTAGTGGTGTTGACAAATGGTTTCCATTGCAAGCCAGATCATCCAAGTCAAAAATAAGTGGAGATTGTCATCTTATCCTTAGACTCGTTGGTATTCAAGTAAGACTACATTGAACAAAGGTCATGCACGTGATTTCGTTTTTCAACACGTGATTTGATGAAAAAACACGTTGTCTGGATTGATGACTTTCTCCTAATAATTTACCATTTCAATGTTTTTTGACCACATTATGGAAGTACTTAACAGTGCAGTGGGAACCGAACCAAAAATGTCTTTTTCTTGTTCACTTAATGGCTGAGTAACTATAATCTTTGAAAAGAACAAATCTCCCGTCAGATATTGCACCGATCCAGATATGTGAAATTTGGAGCATTGTTTTAACTTCTAACTAACTAATTTGAATACTTATTTTGCAAAGTCATTCATTAATTGCTTATATATAATTACATTTAATATCCAATTAGAGCATAAGTTCCATTGCAGGAAAATTCTTTACACACCAGTTCATCCAGAAGTATCAGTTACTCGGCTTTTCTTAAGTCATTTGTTGTTTTTGACGGAGATCATGTTGAGGTGAGTGTCATCTCTTGCATTTCATGTACATTTATGGATATGCTTAGCGGAGGTCCTTGTTGTGCTATTCTTTGGCGTTCTGAAAATCGCTTACGTTTAATTTCTTTACGTATGAATACCAAGGAGTGATAAATGCTTTACAACAAAAAAGTTACTTTACCAACCAGAGGAAATGCGAATCAAATGTATATTTATGGTATCAAACATTTGAATGCTATAAACCTAAAAGCGTTTTTCCATAGAGAAGACTGAAACCGCTGTGAACATTTTATTACACATCGCCCTACATCCTTAAGGTGTCGCTCTTGTGACAATTTTTTTGATATTTGTTTTACCCCAATTTGCGTAAACTTGCCAAATTTTGTGTTTTGAGGAATTGGATGACGTGTTCGGAAGCGGAGAAATTTCCAGATTTGCTCAATGGGTATTGCATCAATATGCGCTTCAAAATAACATTTCTCACTTACAAATAGCTATCAGGTAAGATCTTATAGAAATATGAGACGAGGGATGTTGTTTTCGAACCACTGTGCTATTCATTAGATGAAGTATATAATTGATGGATATTCATACGTGTAAACCTTTTTACTCCATCGATGGCGAAAATTGGCGATAAAAAGGGAGGGGTGAATATTTTCATTTGGGAGGGGATGGCTGCTCTTACCTCCAGAACCGTCGACTGTTTAGTTTATTGACGATATAACTTCTCTGTTGATGAGCTTTAAATAGCTACTATCAAGTGACTAGCACTGTGTATATTTTATGCAACCTATGTGGGTGAAGCCTTTTTTTGATTTTCGTTGGGTAATAGGTATCACCATACACGGTCGTAATTTGCTGAGGGTATCTCTCGCGCACCCACCCCCCCAAAAAAAGTGGGTTGTAATGGTTATTAACTATCGATCATTTGAAATGTTTAGTGAATGGGAAGTTTACAGTTGGTATCATCAAACACGGTCATTAAAGTATTCCTTCCTGGAGAAATTGTTGTCGAATATAAATAATAAGTGGAAATCGGGCGAATTGTCTTCAGCTGATGTAAGCGTTTTTATGATGCAACTATTGTTCATTTTGTGGGTCTGTATTTACATTCTTTGATAAGGGTTTATGATTGGTTAATGAGTATGAGTTAGTAAAGCTCGAAACAGGATTATTGTTCGCCGCGCGTTATTGTCTAATTCAATCAACTGGCAAACTTTTTCATAATAAGAAGATAGTAACTGCTCTCTGTAGGTTAGTTTGTCTCATTTCTCAATATCAGGGGGGAGCTCAGAAATTGAGGCTCCTCAAAATCAGGTGGGGAAAACTCAGAAATCGAGACCCCTCAAAATCAGGAGAAAAGCTTCAGAAATTGAAACTCCTCGAAATCAGGAGAAAAACCTCAGATATTGAGACTCCTCAAAATCAGGGGAATAAACCTCAGACATTGAGACTCCTCAAAATCAGGAGAAAAGACTCAGACATTGAGATTGCTTTGCGCGCGCACCATAGCTTGGTCTAATGCACGTATTCGTTGTTGGAGATTAGATTTTGAGGGCTTTAAATACGGATTTTATTTCAGGAGGAAATGTTTCATCAGTCTTTGGATTCTTTTGTTGAATTTTGTCTTCGTCTGATAAGTAATCACAGATCTCTTTACCCAGTGACCAACTCAATGAAATTACGTCGCTTTGCCAACATGTTAAAGTAAGTCCTTTATGAATGCAGGGCTATAACGGGGAGTGGAGTGGATGCTGACATTCATGTGAGCGCTTTTGGCAGTAAAATGAAACTCTAGTTGGGGAGGAGAGGGAGGGAGGGTGACATTCATGTAATCGCTTTCGTAAATGTGACACTATCTTGGTAATCTCTTTACAATATTTTCCCATATTTAAGTTGCATAAAGTCCATACAAAGCCATCCTAACTATTGTGCAAGACGTGGTAATGACATCCGTGATGAAATATTGAATACCCTTAAGGTTTGTTACCAATGAAGACGACCAGTCTCCAGGTTTGGTCCTGCCATGTTGAAGTTTTGTTAATGACACGAATTTTTATCTCAGTTTTTCTTTATTGTGTTACAAAGATCTTATAAAAGGACTAAATAAGCTTTTTAATACTGATTTATTTTACTTTAGTTCAATACTAACTGTCGACAAAGATTACTATTTCTCAATGCTAATTATGCAATGTGATGTCATCACGATGTCATTGTATTGAAGAAAAGTTACATATTTCCAAAAAGACATAAATTAACGTAATTCATTAAAGAAGTAATAAAGACATTTTTAATTGCCTTTACAATGCAATCAAAAAACATTATGGTAAAATTTGGTGTCATGAACACTTTTATATTTTGGTGTTCACTTACCGTAAAAACAATGCTTTCCTAAAGAAACAACACTGTGAATAGTACTTTCTGACATAGTACTTTCTGACAATTTTAAAAATCCATGGGAAAAAAATATAAGCACCATCTTAAAGTATATTTTAAAATTTTCCTTTACAATAGACAGCGTTCGTGTAATCACCCCTGTTGTTGCTAGCAGGCTATGGTCACTATTATTCTTTTTCATTGGCTTTTTTGAACAAATTTCAGGTTTCAGCTGAAAAATGGTACGCTGTGCAATTCGCATGGCTAGAACCTAAAGATCAGGTGACACTACTTTAAGATCATTCTGAAATTTTCCCTGATTTCGTTCTCAATATGCAGTACAATTTGAGACGTTCAGACAATCTTTTTCCCCTTAAGTTTCAGTTCAGTGCAATTTTGTCGCTCGTGTCTCTGTCCGAGGTTATTGTTTGTGATTTGCTTAAAGCTGTCAGGTTCTATGGTAAAATATTCAACGAGTAAGTTCACTTGTGTGTCTGATGTGTCCGAAGTCATATTTTTGTTGCTTTTTGTAAATAAAGACAGCTGTAACTGATTTCTTGTTGTTTTTCTTACCTAGAATTGAAGTTGATTATTTCTTCACAACATATATGTCTTTGGAAAGACTGGTATGTGCAAATTCTCCTTGATGTAGCACGTGATTGCTCACGCAGATTTTATTAGTTCATGTAGTTAACATGTGATTGCATGCGCTTTGTTAACACCTTATCATCAATAAGGAATTTTTATTGGCGTACAATTTATGATATAGTATATTTGGGAGGGGGGAGGGTGGCTCTTCCTCAAGGCATGAGATTTTTAGGGAGATTCCAGGGCATTCCTATAGATATACCTCCCAAAAACTTTAATTTAAGAATTCTACGTACGTACACATAATTCCACACACACTAGAAGTTTTAATTTAATTTAAGGCTCCTACGTACGCACACATAGTTCCACACACACACTTGAAGGTTTAATTTAATTTAAGGTTCCTACGTACGTACACATAGTTCCACACACACACTTGAAGGTTTAATTTAATTTAAGGTTCCTACGTACGTACACACACACACTTGAAGGTTTAATTTAATTTAAGGTTCCTACGTACGTACACATAGTTCCACACACACACTTGGGTTTAATTTAATTCCCTACGTACGCACACATAGTTCCACACACACAGGTTTAATTTAATTTAATTCACGTACACATTCCACACACACTTGAAGGTTTAATTTAATTTAAGGTTCCTACGTTACACATAATTCCACACACACTTTAATTTAATTTAATTTACGTTCCTACATAATTCCACACACACACTTGAAGGTTTAATTTAATTTAAGGTTCCTACGTACGTACATAATTCCACACACACACTTGAAGGTTTAATTTAATTTAAGGTTCCTACGTACGTACACATAATTCCACACACACACTTGAAGGTTTAATTTAATTTAAGGTTCCTACGTACGTACACATAATTCCACACACACACTTGAAGGTTTTATTTAATTTAAGGTTCCTACGTACGTACACATAATTCCACACACACACTTGAAGGTTTAATTTAATTTAAGGTTCCTACGTACGTACACATAATTCCGCACACACACTTGAAGTCTTAAGGCGTCTACTGGTACGTGTACGGTACTGAAGTCTATCAAATAGTCTTTGTTTAACATCACGGTTATGTTATGTAGGAGTGATTTGAGTGAGTTGGAGCACGACACTGCTGTAGAAGTGGGAGGGCGCTTGGGTAAGGAGCCCCCCTTCTACCTTTAAAATGGGTAATTTCAAAAGGACACTATTGACAATAACGTCAAGAGAGCCCCCATCTGATAAATTTTAGTTCTACAGCACTGGAGCACGATCTTTATTTTTCAATATTATTGGGAGTAAATGGTTTGAACCTGGGCTTATCGATCATCGGGACATTGATCGTTACAATGACGTAAGAACCAGATAGCAAATACGGATGATCTGACGTTTACTCCTCATTTGACTCTGAAGATGACTACCGCTAAAGTTGTCAAAACGTCAGTCAACAACAACAAAAACAGTCCTTCTCAGGACTATACCAACCTGAACGATCTACATTTACAAACATGAAATTATTGGGAGGCTCACCTTGTGTTTGCCAACTGATATTTTATACAAACACAAACCTCATTCTGATTTCCTTTATTTATGAATGTTGATTATGTTCTTTATTGAACTTGTGTGATATAATTTTAGCTTGCTTCGGACATGCATCAATCCCTTGCAAATATGGATGTAAAAAAGTTACATATGGAACTTGACGATGCAGATTTCGGAACGAAATTGTTTTCGCTGTATTTCGCGGTGAAAGAAATCATCGAATATCGAAGATATTTGCCTCTCAGGTAACCACAATATGAAAAAAATCGTCCTTTTTTATGTCAAGGCCAGTTCACATGATCTGATTTTTCGGATCCGATTTTGTCGAATCAGAAAAAAACGGATCGTGTGAACACATATAAAGTGAGCTTACGTCAGTCAGAGTCGTCAGTCTGAAAAATTGGATGGAAATAGAACTTGCTCTTAACGCGTGAAAAATGTATTCTGTGTTAAAATTTTGAAGGTGGGAGATAGATTGTTGACAACCTATGTTACTGCAAAAATTGCCATGGAAAGAGCACACACCATTATCCCCCTTCTAGAAAGGTCTTCATCCTTTGCAGTGGACATTATGTCCTTCCAAAGATTCTACTCTAACAAACTTTGCGTCTAAATAACTTTAACTATTTGATTTATTGCAAAATGCTTGGCATGCCAAAAATGTAGCCAAGAATTCAATTATTTGTCAAAATCGTCAATTGTTTTGTTTCCTTAGTATATTTTACATGCGATAATAAAAGTTTCTTATTTGTTATTTGTCGAGAGGTGGAAAGTTGTTTTTTATTTGAACATTATCTTTATCATCAGGGTGAATGAAGTATTTGCCTTCGACAACAGCCATGTTTGGTTTAAGAAGTTCATAGAATATTGGTTTCGCGTGGCTCGTGAAAAAGCTCTGGCTCGAGTAACGAATGCTGTGGAAATTGATAAGGTTTGGGCCATTTTTGATCAGCATTTAATTTTGAAAATGATTTTAAAACGTCAATAATATTTTAGATGGTTGCCGTGGATTCAAGTGTACAGTATTCAAATTCTGCTGTTACCGTCACTTCTTGTTTTCATAAGGTACAGTTGGAGTCCTTATATGCTCCAGTCTAGTATCTTCATCATGAGCTATCTGATGTTGAAACTTGAGTCGTTATATACTCCAGTCTTCATTAGGAGTGATCTGATGTTGAAAATTCAGTCTTTATATACTCCAATCTAGTGTCTTCATCTGGAGTGATCTTTTATGGAAACTTGAGTTCTCATGCTAAAACTTGTGTCATTGAACGCTTTAATCTAATGGCTTCTTCTGAGGTGAACTGAGGTTGAAGCCTGAATCCTCACATACTCAAGTCTAGTGTCTTCATCAGCAGTGATCTTATGTTAAAATTGGGTTCAATTTTTTGTCTTAATGACTTGTTTTTTCTCTTCATCGTCATTTTGTAGCTGTGTGAAATTTGGAAGAGATTACAATGGCCTGATGGCAAAGAAAGGTATCTTTTTGTCATGAAAATAAGCGAAGTAAGTTAACTAGATTAAATCATTGTGAAAAAATATCTACCAAAGTCAACAGATGAGATTATGTTTTTGTCTTCAGGATATATGCGAAGCAGCTCGACATTACGCTGAGGAATTGGGAAATAAATTGAAAGCCAACAACTATTACAGCGATTATCCTTCCTATTTTGGTGTAAGCAAATCGGTAAGTTTTGGTTAAAGGAAAGAATACACTTTGAAGACGACTTTTTTGTATGTTGTTCATAATTGATCTCTACATTCAACTTTTGCCGTGAATGTGGACCTACGCTATGAAGAACATTATGTAAATCCTCAACTGAAACTACTGCCAAATGTATTAAGGCTACCTTAGCTGTTTTGTAGCTACTGCAAACATTTAAAGGCGACATATTTCACAGTAAATGCCATCTAAACGTTGAAATCTCCAGCTATTATTAACGCCAAATCACTTTCCCTGAGTGAACTGTATAAACTGAAAATTAATTTAACTAGTGTCGAAAATATTCTGAAAAATGATGTTGATAAATTCAAGCAATGATGTATATTGGGGAACTCTTTTATATTTTTGTAGTTATGCATCACAATAAATAATGTGCCCTACACTCAAAAATGGCTGACAGAGCTTGATAGGCACTTAAACTGGCACAGTGTCATCAGAGACATGAGACTTGCGCATGACAATGAGACGGCAACGGAATCCGAACTCACTTTGATACAGTTATCCGAAAACACACAAGAAGTTCTGTTCAATAAAATGGACGAAATGATTGATCATATTGTAATGAAGGTTCGAGGCGTTCTGTTTTTTTAGCATATGAAAGGATGTTTTGGCGTTTGTTGTTATACTTCTCTGGGGAATTTTGAGAGCAATGGACTTCTACCTTTATATAGCTTTCACTGGCGTGGAGCATTTTGTGTACGCTCTGTTTATTTCATTTATCAGATGTCCATAGACTTGAAAAGATTTATTTCCGAACTCGTGAGCAGCAACGAAGACATTGAGATTGCCGATGTAAGTATTTATTAAAGTTTAGTTTCCAATTTGTATTGTGTGGAGTTAGTGGCGGGCACTAATGCTGTGCACCGGAGTTCCGGAGGCCTGAGGCCGGAGCTCCGGCTATTTTCCACTGTTTAATTGCTTCAGTTGTAGTCAAGTTTTGTTTAGTGGTTGACTGGTTCACTGTTCAAATGCTTCAGTTGTAGTCAAGTTTTGTGTGGTGGTTGACTGGTTCACTGTTTAATTGCTTCAGTTATATCAACTGAGTCATTGTTGAATAGATTGCTTATAATTTACAAGGATCTTTTTTAAATGCAGGCAATGGATCCGTTACTCGCATACCTTGAAAAATCATTGAGAACATTTTACGAGACTTTTGTTCGTCCTGTTTTTGAAAGGCACGTGTATTGCAATGACTTATAAATCTTTTGATTTAGCTTAAATCTTTAAGCAACTGCTTCATCTTGCAGGACGTTGCTTAATCTTTGGAATGGACTCGTAACGATTGTTGTCAATACCATCAAAAATGATAAAGGGGTGAGCGCTTAAGATATTGAATTATGGAAAGAGCAATGGTGTTACTATCATTAATGGAAGGGTGGGAAGTGGCGCTTCGAGGTTTGACAGTGAGGGTGTTAATTGAGAGGTGAAGCTCAAGTCCAGTTCTTTTTTTCTATATTTTATATTATCTTTGTTTCCAAATTTGTCCAATTTGCTTAAAACAAGAACATTACTTGGTTGTCTGTGTGTACGATTACGTTATCAATGTATTTTCATATCTAGAGATCGCCAAATTTCTATCAACGAACGAAAAAAGTCATAAAGGTATTATTGTTTTGTAGAAAATGTTCGACTCGAGAGTAAAAAATCTTATTTTCTTCAAAAAAATCGCATTCCTTGCGACATTACCAAATATAATAACCTTTGAGCGAAGTAAACAATAATAATTTTAAAATAGAAGAACTATTTCTTTTCTGCTGTTTTATGACCTAAATGAAAAAACATGTACGATGTTCAATACTTTTCCCAGCACTCACGCATACAGAATTTCTCACGTCAACTGACGTGTTTACGATTTGGTTTTGAAAAACGAAACAGGAAGAAGATAGAAAGGAATTAGTCATTGAGTTGTATAAAGAACTGGGGCCGGTTGCACGAAGCCTGGATAGCGTTATCCATTGGATAGCAAAAATTTTCAAAGTTATATATTTATAAGTTTGAAACTTATATTTTTATAAGTTTTATAAATGCAAACACCTTTTTAGGTGTTTGTATTTTTCATACGACAAAGAAATTTTGTAACCTTCAAAACAATATTTTAATTCAGTGATTTATCAATTCAAATCTTATATTTTTTGCTTGTTAAAGGGTTTTATAAAAGTTTTAAAAAATTGCTATCCAATGGATAACGCTATCCAGGCTTGGTACAACCTGCCCCTGAAGGTAGAAATGTCTTAATACAACTCAGTGGAATTAGTCTGCTTGCATCACTGAGTCCAAGATACAGCTGGAACGATAACTTCGTTGCTTTTTTTGAACAAAAATAAAATTTGCTTGTTGAAACTACTCACAAAAGACTTATTTTGTTTTGCTGCATACTGTAATGTAGAGAATGTGACAGTACGTAGTTTCTAGTTTTCCAGATCTCGTACAAATAAATTATTTTCATTTTCTATTTGATAACTTTTTTACATATTTGTTTTTCAGGTTCTAACTAATTTTTTTGGCGTCGATGGCTTCGGTATACCAAGTGAGAACATGATAAATGACGAATTACAGGTGTTGCTTTTTCGCTGTTTGCTTTCGTTTTGCCTTCTATGCAGTTGCTCAGCGGAATAACACGGCGCCCCTTAGGCATATTTGGTGGGGAAGTCTCCAGGTTGACTGTTTTCACAGCTTGACTGGAGTTCTGACAATTGACTTTATTTTACTTTTTTTTTATGTATTCGATAAAACACCTTAGTGGCTTAGTTCTTTAATTAACTGTACTTAATGAGTGCTACATTCCTGCATCAGTGGATCATAGGTAGTGTGACCATATAGGGAAAATTTTTTAGCAGATTAGATCGAATGAGCTTAAACACTTCCCCTGTTCAGAATTTTGCAACTATATAAAGTAGGTGGGAGAGTGTATGCTCATCTGACAAAATCTAGTAAAATAATATTACGTTCACTGGGCAAATTTATTTTGAAAATGATGTTTACCCTTATTTTATTTTTGTGCAGGAACTCCTTGACGATCTTGGTATTCGTCAGTTTACATCGGAGAGACTCATAGAAGAATACTATGCTGAGAAAATGATCGAAATGGTTTGTTTGGCTGATTTTTTGATGCACTTATCAATCAGTTGAAATTCTGTATATGAGAAACATAGTGCTTATATACTCATATCCTTCTCTTAAATTTTCTCTGTTCGCTCACTGCGAAAACAACAGATTTCTAAATTTACACAGCTTGACCAAAACTGGGCTGTTTGAGGAACATGTTGTGGTTTAAAATCAGTTGAAAGACTGGAAATCTCATGTTTCGTGTTTTGTAGTTGGAAAAACCGCGTGATTTAGGAGAACTGGCGCTGAAAATGTTTTACGATTCTAGAAATGAAAATCTCCACATTGAACGTATGTTTTGTTGATTATATTTTCATCGCATAAAAGGAGAAAGTATTTGGCATTATGTGCTTTTTTTGTAGTGTTGAATGGTAGAAATTTACCTGCATTAGACTCAAATGGTAAAATGATTTTGAAAATTTATTTATTGTTAAGTGGTTTGTTGTGGATGGTCAGCATTATATACCCTTTTCAGGTTTCAGTGATCCGTATGTTAGGTTGACACTTGCTCCACGTCATCTCTTTCCCATGGCAACAGTGGAAAGGACTGCCGTACAATGGAAAACGCTTTTTCCACTGTTTGATGCGAAGTTTCAATAGTAAGTTCAGAACATTGCTTTTGACACCATTGCTGGGGGTAATTCCTGCATCACGTGATCATATTCTCTATCCCTTCCGCGCTCTCATATCACATTTTCCTTAGACACAATAACAAATAGTCTTTACGATGTACTTGTAGTGTTTGTGCTAAAACTTCTTGTCCTTTTTTTTCAAAAACACCTAAAAATGCTGGCAAGCCTCTTCAATAGCTTGGACAAAATTGACATACTCAATTTATGATGTATTCTTTTACCAGCTCCGTTTCGGCTGAGTCATGTAAGCAGCATGGTGCCCACGTTCAATTGACCGTAATTAATAATAACGTTCTGACAGATGACGTGGCTGGTCAGGTGTTTGCATCACTCAATGATGTCCCAGGCCTCGAGACCAAAATCCCGAACACTTTCGCTGCTTTTGAACAAGTCTTATTGCCCGTCATTCACCCCACCCTGAAGGGAAATATTTTGAAAGTAAGTGAAACAGGGACTTGTTGTTATCACCAATGGCTGCTATTTAGCGATATTCGCCAGATTGTGATAATTTTCATCGCTCAAAATGTTGTTGAAACCACCTTCGACTATCTTACAGCATAGGCAGCCCATAACTACGGGTTTTTCTTAATAAATGTGAAATAATTAACCTTTCTTACTCCTAAGTAACTTGATGCTGTAATTATTAAACTGATAACACTACACGTCACACTAACGTTGCGTGAGGCTGATCGATCAATGCGAGACAAATTGTTGAAGTCATCAAGTTACCCAGGAGAAAGATACGAATATTATTTCATCTTTATTAAGAAAATCCATAGTTATGGGCTGCCTATGTGTACGGTTGATGTGTTGAACCAAAAGACGGCATGTGTAGAAAGACTGATTGTAAAATGTATGAAAATAATAGTTAATTGATCTGGAGTGTAGCTTGGGGTAGAGGGGTTAGTGATTTTTGTTGTATTCGCACTTTTTCTGTACCTGTCAGTGCCGGCGAATACTGAATACAGCGAATAACCTGTTTGTTGATCGGTACATGCTGTGTATTTTGTTGAGCTACGCCATAGCATTGTAAAAAATAGGTTAAGCCAGTAGCATTGTTCTATACCTGTCAAAACTATTTTCATGTTCTTTTCGTCTAGTTTTGGAAGCAAGAAGCGACGAATTGGCGATGAAATTCGTGAAAGAAAGACAAGATATTTACCAAAAACTTTTACTCGTACGGAATAAAGCAAAAGGGAAAACTCCTTAACTTGCGTGTAACTTGCAAACTGGAAAAATGTTCAGACAAGAACAGTTGAAAGGGCAGACTGTCGAAATGAATGTTGGGATACTTCTGGGCTCTTTTTTTTTCATTCATAACGTAAATGTTTTGCTGAAAATTTACTTCCGTCCATAATTTATTGTAGGTAGTTCTATTTTTTTCGTATTGCTCTTTTGTGATTAGTTTCCTTCATTCTGTAGCATCCATCAGAATGATATTGGTGGAAGTTATAAAAAAATAGCCATTGTTGTAAATAATTTAATGAAGTCACTTAATTTAAAGGACGATGTCTTTATCTACATGTGCTAAGTGGTTGTGTAAAAATTTTTGCTAATTTATTTATTGTTAATAAAATACTATTCTACGCATTCACTTCCTAAGTTTATCGATAATTGTTGCCAATGAAGTGCCTGGCGAGAAACGGATTCTCAATATAAATATTAGAGCCCAACAAATAATTTTGAACATAGCCATAAACAATTTGGTTGTGTGAAATTTATTAAAATAGTGACGTTTCGTCTTGACTCAAGACCTCTTCAGACTAATAAAGAAGTTAACAAGAATTATAGGCGAGCACCTTGTATATACACTTTGTATATAGGAAATTTAAATTTGATGATTCTCCCGTATAAAACAGTGCTCGATGCCCGAGAGCAGAGCGCAAATCCCCCGAAGAGTGAACAATCACGAAACAGGCTTGTCGGGATTTATCGGTAAACTTCGTGATTTTTTTTCAGCATCACTACATACATATATACATTTTGTAATCAAATTAGTGTGAACTATATATATATATATATATAAAAGATAAAAGTTTCTCCGCATTTTAAATGATTTTTATTGAGCTCAGCTTTATAAGCCCTGAGGAGATTAAATCCAAGAGTCACCATTGCACTATGGTGATAGCCGGGGAGAGCACATTGTATATACACTTTGTACATAAATATATATATAGCTCAATAAAAAGTCATTTAAAATCCGGAGAAACTTTTATCTTTTATGTATTAAATGCCAGGATTACCAATTTTCAAACTTATATATATATATATAGTTCACACTAACAATACATCACATCACATTTACACATCCACAATAATCTGATACCTCTAACTATGTAGTAATGTTGGAAAAAATCACGAAAACTACAGAGATTTCTACTAGTTTTCGTGATTTTTTCAACATCACTACATATATTTACGCTCTGCTCTCGGGCATCGAGCACTGTTAACTATTTATGTTAAATATGTTCCACATCATTTCAGTCGATGGGAATGAGTAATGTGTATGATAGTGGACGCCATTTTGAATTTATGCTTCTACTTCAAATTCAAATCTGTTGTCACATATTTTTTTAATTTAACCAAAAAATCACATAAGCACGTCTTGTGCATGGTTTATTATCTGGTTTGGGCCTAGAGGATAATAAAAACATGGGTCGTCGATCTGTGAATACCACAAAAAGTGGTAAATTTATGAATCCTACAGACCAAGCCAGTAAGTTCATTATTTCTGAAATTTGCACAATTTGATAAAGTCAGCTCGGCTAACAATTAAATGTTTCATAGGAAAGGAAGCAAGAAAGAAAGAACTTAAAAAGGTTAGAACTTCCTTAATGGCTACATCATCACACAAAAAATGCAACTCTTAAGTTATCAATATAGCCATTTAATTGAATTTAGTATAAAAGGAAGGCAAATTTCTACATAATGTTTGTAGCCCAGACTAGAAAATTTGTGAACTGCGCACACGAGATTCGAAATGCGTGCATTAAAGTGTTGTTTTCTCAAAGTTGTGCACTCAAGATCTCTGGTGCACACTACAAACTATCCAGTCTGGTTCGTTAAATTCAGCAGTAGTTTACACATGTCACATATCCTGTTATTATATTCCTATTGTTGTAGGTTTGTATCACAAAAATAGACAAAAAGAATATTCTGCTACAATTTGCAAATTTTTTAATAATTTGCATTCTTGTCATATAATTATTGAGTTTCCCTTGGAAATTTAGCTTGTCTCCATGTAATTTTTATTTTTGGCAATCCTAACTCAGGACGCTAGCTATTGTAATTCTATTTATTTGAATATCAGAACAAGAAACAACGAAAGATGGTCCGAGAACATGTTTTAAAGGGAAAAGACCCAAATCAGATTTTGGAGGAAATTGAAAAACTTGATGAACTAGGTCAGTGAATAAAATTTTCCAATGTTTTACTCTAGTGTGAGTGTGATGGTAAATTGGTAGTATCAGATTATTAGTTAAAGTGTCAGCACTCTATACCATTGATTGGTCACTCAGCCAGGGGGAGAAACAAAGGTAATTTGTCCACCCTACGTTTAAAATGCCCAATAAAGATTAATTCCAATAAAAATCTATCCATGAGGGAGTAACCTTAGTATATTGCACTTGGTGTGTGCTGAGTTAATGGCATATATCTTATGTATGTATGTCTGCAATGTACGAATTAACGGTGTGCAATGTGCAATTTGCACATCGTTTTAGCTAAAATGAAAACAATTGCACATCACTTTTTCAAACGATGTGCAAAAATCAGTGACGAAAAATACTGTCATAAATCATATGAATTTGTTCACGTTTAAAAATATTAATTTAGCAATTAGCGCTATATAATAAATAACGTAATATCGATTTGATTATATCTCTAAAGAAACACTTTTGTCAAAAAAATTGCTCATTGTTTTTTGAGACTAAATTCACAAGCTATTGTAGTTATACTATCGAATATTAGGTTTGACAAATAACTCTCAACAGGTATCAAGTTAAAATATGGTGTATTTTTGATTTGATAGCATAACAACAAATTTATCAATTAATATCAACTGTTTCATTATGTAACTTAAAAGATAACTAGTGATTTGTTTTTCACTTAGAAATTCAGAATGGTCCTGTTCCTTTGCCAAATGATAAAGCAATCAAAGAGAAGAAAAGGAAATTAAGAGAAACACTTGATCGGTTGTTGTCTGTCTATGTAAGTAATCTGTTGTCTGTCTATGTAAGTAATCTGTTGTCTGTCGATGTAAGTAATCTGTTGTCTGTTGATGTAAGTAATCTGTTGTCTGTCTATATAAGTAATCTGTTGTCTGTCGATGTAAGTAATCTGTTGTCTGTCGATGTAAGTAATCTGTTGTCTGTCTATGTAAGTAATCTGTTGTCTGTCTATGTAAGTAATCTGTTGTCTGTCTATGTAAGTAATCTGTTGTCTGTCGATGTAAGTAATCTGTTATCTGTCGATGTAAGTAATCTGTTGTCTGTCTATGTAAGTAATCTGTTGTCTGTCGATGTAAGTAATCTGTTGTCTGTCTATGTAAGTAATCTGTTGTCTGTCGATGTAAGTAATCTGTTGTCTGTCTATGTAAGTAATCTGTTGTCTGTCGATGTAAGTAATCTGTTATATGTCGATGTAAGTAATCTGTTGTCTGTCGATGTAAGTAATCTGTTGTCTGTTGATGTAAGTAATCTGTTGTCTGTCTATATAAGTAATCTGTTGTCTGTCGTGTAAGTAATCTGTTGTCTGTTGATGGGTAATCTGTTGTCTGTCTATATAAGTAATCTGTTGTCTGTCTATGTAAGTAATCTGTTGTCTGTCTATGTAAGTAATCTGTTGTCTGTCGATGTAAGTAATCTGTTATCTGTCAAGTAATCTGTTGTCTGTCTATGTAAGTAATCTGTCGATGTAAGTAATCTGTTGTCTGTGATCTGTAAGTAATCTGTTGTCTGTATGTAAGTAATCTGTTGTCTGTCGTGAGTAATCTGTTATCTGTCGATGTAAGTAATCTGTTGTCTGTCGATGTAAGGAATCTGTTGTTGGTCTATGTAAGTAATCTGTTGTCTGTCTATGTAAGTAATTTGTTGTCTGTCTATGTAAGTAATCTGTTGTCTGTCTATGTAAGTAATCTGTTGTCTGTCGATGTAAGTAATCTGTTGTCTGTCGATGGTAATCTGTTATCTGTCGGTAAGTAATCTGTTGTCTGTCGATGTAAGTAATCTGTTGTCTGTCGATGTAATCTGTTGTCTGTCTATGTAAGTAATCTGTTGATGTAAGTAATCTGTTGTCTGTCTATGTAAGTAATCTGTTGTTGTAAGTAATTTGTTGTCTGTCATGATGTAAATCTGTTGTCTGTCTATGTAAGTAATCTGTTGTCTGTCTATGTAAGTAATCTGTTGATGTAAGTAATCTGTTGTCTGTAAATAATCTGTTGTCTGTCGATGTAAGTAATCTGTTGTCTGTCGATGTAAGTAATCTGTTGTCTGTCTATGTAAGTAGTCTGTTGTCTGTCTATGTAAGTAATCTGTTGTCTGTCTATGTAAGTAATCTGTTGTCTGTCTATGTAAGTAATCTGTTGTCTGTCGATGTAAGTAATCTGTTGTCTGTCGATGTAAGTAATGTGTTGTCTGTCTATGTAAGTAGTCTGTTGTCTCTCTATGTAAGTAATCTGTTGTCTGTCTATGTAAGTAATCTGTTGTCTGTCTATGTAAGTAATTGATTTGAAAAATACGTTTTATAGTTTCAAGTTATCAAGACTTTGAAATATTTTATTGTTGTCTCTCCTTTATAATGTAAATTTTGATCATGTTTTCTTTAGGAACGAGATGATCCTGCTCGAGTTATTGAAATAAAAAGGTTCACATCTTTATACAATATTTTTATGTTCTGTGCCATTGATAGCCCGGGAGGGGCTTCAGCATGGTCTGAAATTTTAAGTTTTTTCAAGTATCTACTTGGATACCAAGGTTTTAGAATTTTTTATCCTTCTCTATCATCTAGCATCCCAAGTTTTTCTTGTTTATTTTTTAATGATGTATTACATGTTGTTTTCATAGAGTTCTAGCTGAATCAGAGAAAAGACGTGCTAAGCTAATGATAAATGCTTATGGTAAGAATGTAATATATTTGGCAGGATTCACTTCGTTTGTTTTGATCAAAAATTTAGATTTTATTTTTCCAAAATTTCATGTCTCAATAAACAAAGATCTGGGGAAGTGTTGGATCCGTTTAAGGACTGGGTGATTTACCTGTTTTTCCGTTTTTCTCCGTTTTGTTTGAAAGCGACGTTTATCGGTTTGCCGTTTACAAAAACAGGAAAAACCTTCATTATTTAATTCATCTATCAAACGTTGTGCTCCCTCAATTTTGCAACATTACTATGAATATTGTTGTTAGTTAAGGTAAGAACTCCTTCAGCTGGATTTTTGTCGTTGTTGAAATTTTGAAAACGACATACGGAGTGAGCCCAAAGTATTCCTTAAACAACTATAGGAAAAATTAACGTTGAAAATCGGTTTTACCGTTTTAGAATTTGACGGTTTTGGGGTTTTGACAAAACTTTCCTAGGCTAAATGCCGTGTGTATTAGATTTGATGACGAGTAGAAATTAGGATTTGCAGATATTTTACCAGATGTTTGATTTTTGGGTTTAACTTCTGCTGTGTTTAATGACAACGAGATATTTCGTGTTTCACGCGAGGAAAAAAATTAAATCCTCATACCCTGTCACCTTTTGCTCAACTTTACCACCAATTACGAGTAATTGTATGTATTAACACTTTATGGTTTTACTCTGTGACAAATCTGTTGACTTTTGTTTTTGTTGTATTGCTTAATAGCTACTTCACTTTATCTTTATTTTATTATATTCTGAAAAACTCGTCATTCCTGAATGCTTATGAAGTATGGATAAATTGTGTCGTCTTGACAAATTTTATTTTTATTTTAACTGGCGTGTGGTCGTTTAGTGACTGTCCTTTTGTCAAGAAAAGAAAGCATTAAAAGGCCATCTTGCTCAGAATTACATGACTGACACATGTTGAGACAAGTGTACACATCGATCGCCCTCCACCTCCACCTTCCCCTCCCTCCCTCCCTCCCTCCCTCCCTCCCTCCCTCACCTTTTTAACTGATAGTTAACATTTTTTGTCTCATTCTAGAAGATAACCTTAAAAGTTCTACCAAGGTGCTTCTGATTTTCATTTATCACTGATATTTTTCTTTATTTGCCTTCTTTAATGTATCGATCCTTCATTTCAGAGTGATGGTTTTGCCATAGCAGACATACCTATGCCAGAGGCCATTCCTACACCTGTTGGTAAGAGCAAAATCTCTTTCAACTTATGAAGTTGCTTAATTTTGTAGAAGTATTTTATAAATGTCTTCACTATCATCCAAGGAAGTTCTTATACGTATATATTTTGTATTGACGTGTTGACCACTCCCTACATGACGTCACAAAAATAAGTTGTTCCAGGCTTTCAGTCTGATACTGTACAAGATCCATCAAAAAGAGCATTTTTTGCCCACTTCAAATCGCTATAAAAATGCATTTATTTGACCAAATTAAAAACTTTTTTCACTGCTACGTCAGACATCACACCTAAATTCAACATCGCGAATAATGTTTTTGCTTGAAGAGGTGCTCTGATATAGTTTTATCATGTGCGAATATGTAGATACATCCTAAGGCTAATGAAAGAAAAACATCCCTGACAGTTATCTAGTTTTACTGTACCCTTGTCTCCCATTAACGAACAATCAAAATGAAACTATAACAGATCTTAGTTAGTGTTGGGCTACGTATGTATTTATTTATCATTCAATGTTAAATATATTTTTCCATTTCCTAAGGTGCGCTCTCTCCAGGAAATATACCATTACCTGGAACACAACCATATGGAGGGTGAGTTGGTGCAACGTTGTACATAGGATTCGTACAAGACTTGAATGCTTTTAAATTAAAATTGAAAAATTCAAGGCCTTACTGGAATTTATTGAAATTTGCTCGAATTCAATTGTTTTTGATCGACTTTTGTGATTATATCATCTTACTACGTACGTTCCTTTGAAAAATAGAGTTGACATTGTATCTTAATCCAATATTGCAAAAAAAAGTGAGTCGTGTACAGGAAGGAGTAATGTCAGAATTTTGAAGTGACATGTCAACATAGCAGCTTACATGCCATAGAAAACACGCTCTCGATTCATTAGAAAATTTTTTTGTGTTGATTTTGATGTTTTAATGTTTTCTTACTTTACATAGTTGTGCTTTGTGTGCAATTCAAGTGTTTTAATTTCATCACCTTAGCATTGTGCGAATCCTGAGTACAATGAGGAACAACGATGTATCGAGTGACATTTATAGTTTCCTTTAAACTTTGTGTGACAGCCATAAACGTTTGTCTGCGATAGATTATCTTTTCACAGCCTTTGAACTCTCAAATTATCAGCGTTTTACGCTTTTGTCTCTTCTACCGTCTGAATTATTTTCCTTATTGGTATAGATTCCAGATAATACCACCAGGTCCCCCTTCCACCCTCCCCCCAAACCTTGCACCTCCTGGTCCCCCTCCCGGTCCACCACCAAAAGAGGCGTTCCGTTTCAACAATGTCAAATACATTCCTGCTGATGGAAAGCAGCAAGTTGGTCAGGGTAAGCGAGTTATTGCTCTTTTGATGGATGGAAAAGAGTATATAAGATTAACAACAAAATATAACATTGCGTCCGTGTGATTATATATGCAACATTTTTTAGCAGATTTGGTGATATGATGATCTTAGACTCTCCCACCTGATTTTTATAGTTACAAAGTTTGGGACAGAGGGAGTGTTTAAGTTGATTCATCCAAATCTGGTAAAAAAATGTTAGTATGAGTAAAGTTACACAGCACTGAGTAAGCAAAGCAATTCCTGCGCAATAACATTGAACTAAATATACAACTGAAATTCTTCCTTTGAGGAACATACCAGTTTTTGCATGAAGCCAAATTTTATCCCCAAGCACGCGTGTCCAGCGTTTAACATCCTGCATCTTAGCTTGTTATCGAAGTGAAATTTCTTTGAGCCGTGCGTTGGAGGTTTGGGACTAGTTAAATTGCTGAGTTCAAATTTTAGTGACAGGTAGCCTTTCAGTTAGTTTAATACTATAAATATGTACATGTATACAAAATTACCGTTTATATAATGCTCTAGAAAAAGGTGTGGCTTCCACTCCCCCTTGATAGACATAAAGTTTCTATTTATTCCGGGTGATGGCTACTGAAAGTTTGCGCCAAACTATTGCACATAATGGTAATGCTACAATCTCTGTTGTTTGATCGATTTTAGCTTCGACACAAGACGATGATGATGCAAGCACAGGAGAAAGCGAAGGTATGGACACTGATGAAGAATATCTTGCACCCCCCGGTGAAGAGGAAAAGGAAGAAAAAACAATTGAAGGTATTTAAGTGACGATGCTTTATTTTCGTTATTATGTTTGTATTTTAAACAACTCGTGATTGGCTTTAAACATTCATGTGACTGCGCACGTGATTGGATATTTACTGTTTGACATTCAAATCTTTAGGAAAAAGTGAAAGACATGTACGGTTTGACAGTGAGAAAGATGATAACGTTGGCGGGGAAAATAGGAAGGAGGCAAAGTCTCTTCAAGATCGATTGTTGATGTTGGCTGGACAAGCAAAGAACGACGAACAAGTGGGTGAACAATGTTTTGGTGCTTGCGTATTTAGTGCATCATGTTTGGGTACTTTTTAGCTGTTTTAGTCCTATACTAGTGTCCTTCAGAACCCATTCTACTAGATGTCAAAATACCGTGCCCAGGTGAGACAAGGACGCCATCTTGAAAGGTGGCAAATAGCAAAACTCAAAATCGAATTAGAGCTAAACGAAAGTTTAAAAAACCAATCCTATAAAACATTCTATAAATCAAACCTAGACTATCAACTATGCAGCTGTATATCAACTCAGGAAAAGCAGATATTAGTCGTAAATATTGTCAGTTTTGCCACCTTTCAAGATGGCGGCTTGACTCACTCGTGACTATAGAATTTCGGCAGAGTCAGATATCTAGTAGTTTGGGCTCTCGGTTATTGGTTCTTTTTAGCTGTTTTGTCGTTTATCTAGTGCGCCATATTTAGATACTTTCTAGGTGTTTTGGTGCTTTATCAACGCACTATCTTTGGATCCTTATTGTTGTGTTAGCGCTGCTACAGTGCACAATTTTGGCATTTTTTCTTCACATCTTCTTCATACAGGAACTAGAAGAAAAAAGTCAAGAAAGACCTTCAAATCCACCTGCACCACCACAATCAGGTATGGTTCCCCCCGGTCCTCCTCCCGGTTTACCAAGACAACCTCGTCCAGCTCATTTGATGAACTTCAACCAACGACCTATGATGAGAATGATGCCACCTGGACCACCACCTGGTCGACCCCCGGGAATGCCATCTGGTATGTAATTTTATAAAGGAGGGGTACAATGGTACAATATTTTGTCACCCTGATGTTTTTATTAAGGTATGCCACCACGTGGAATGCCCCCTCGTCCTCCTCCTGGCTTACCCCCTGGTGTGCGTGGACCTATGCCTCCTGGGCAACGCCCTATGATGCCTCTGCCCCCTAGGCACCCTCCTCCAGGTCTTATGAACCTACCTCCTACCAGACCTCCGATGCCACCTCCTGGTGCTGTTCTTTCAGCTCCGCCTTCCGTGATAAAACCAGCAGCTTCAAGTTCAGAAACAAGTTAGTAAATTGTTACATCACTTCAATGAGTTTTTGAAGCACGGAGATGAAGTCTTTACCACGATATAGAGGATAAAGGATGTTTCTTACAGTAGTGTGTGTAGGTAGTGATGAATGAACAGAGAACAAGAACAGTCTTTACACTAACTAAAATATATAAGAAATAAGATAACGTGTATCAGTGTAGGTAGTGATGAATGAACAACAGAGGACAAGTACAGTCTTTACACTAACTAAAATATATAAGAAATTAGATAACGTGTGTCAGTGTAGGTAGTGATGAATGAACTACAGAGAACGAGAACCGTCTTTACACTATCTAAAATATATAAGAAGTAAGATAACGTGTGTCAGTATAGGTAGTGATGAATGAACAACAGAGAACAAGAACAGTCTTTACACTAACTAAAATATATAAGAAATAAGATAACGCGTGTCAGTGTAGGTAGTGATGAATGAACAACAGAGAATCGACGATTAATTGAGACATGTTAAAAATACAGAGTATAAATGATGTTCGTGCTTGTTATCACATTAAAAAAGACTTTCTGCTGTATTAACATTGTTTTCATGTAGATGATCCAAAAGGAGAAGCTATCATAAGCGCGAAGCCTCAACTACGAAATACTCAAGCTGAACTAACCCGACTGGTTCCGGTTACGTTACGAGTAAAACGCGAGCAACCGAAGACTAATAAACAGAAAGTCAAGACTGCAATTGCCGAAGAAACATTTCGAACTCCTTCAACAACCGGAGCGTCGGTTCCTCTTGGTCAAGTGGTTCATGCACCCACTAAAGACGATGCGTACGCACAATTTATGAAAGAAATGGAAGTCTTGTTGTAAATAGTCCGTCTTATTAGAATAAAATTTTATAAACATTTTGCTGCAAACTTTACTTTGGGACTAAAACTGCTCTTCTGTGTCTTCTCTAAATTTTAACATTTTTCGTGGAGCACACGCGTGGTTTTATTTGAGCTAAATAGACTGGTAACTAATGACATTTCCTCTTGCATTTTGTCAACGAAGGTAAGAGAACGTAAATGTGTTTATGTGGTTTTGAAATCTCTCCAATCTGAGAAATCCTAACATTTTATAGTTTTCTTTAATATCCCAGCGAAAAATATGATCCTTTCCTACTTTTTCATATCAATATTGCATTGTTTTTCGAGAAAACAGATAATTTATATATTGGTTAAAATTCGTAAACCTGACAACGCAATATTTATACTCTTTACAATGAGTTGACGATAAATTTTCATTTGTTTTAGGACAGCAGCATGGGTCGCCGACCTGCTAGATGGTATGCTTGAAGAAACCTTTGTTTTGTCAATTGTAATCTTAGTTTTGGGAGACTTGTTCTGTGGTTATATTATCAGTGTATATCTACTTTTAGTTACCGTTATTGTAAAAACAAGCCTTACCCAAAATCCCGGTTCTGCCGTGGTGTTCCCGATCCAAAAATCAGGATTTATGATTTGGGTCGTAAGAAAGCTGGAGTTGATGATTTTCCCCTCTGTGTTCACATGGTCTCTGATGAGTATGAACAGTTGTCTGGAGAGGCATTAGAGGCAGCTCGTATCTGTGCCAACAAGTACATGGTGAAAAATGTTGGCAAGGATTCCTTCCATATTCGAATTCGTCTGCATCCATTCCATGTGCTTCGTATCAACAAAATGTTGTCATGTGCTGGGGCTGATAGGTAATTCATTAGCAAAGCATACGTTGATGGTTTTTACAGAAAGAGATTGATGTACTTTCAGGGAAAGCTTTAAGCTTGTTACTAACAAATGAGCTTGGTATTTGATGACATAAGAGGGGTATGGTAACAATTTTTTAAAGCTGTTCCTCTTGCAGAGATATTTTGGTATGTGTTGTAACTGTAAGAGGTCATGTGACCATTTCTATGGGTCATTCATTCGCTTTCAACTTATGCTATTGTATGACCTTATTCATAAGACTGTGTGGTATTAATATGTGGGAATTCATGTATGTTAGAGATCTTATCATACAAAAAAAGACATCTTGACTATTTCAGTAGGTGATTTTCTTATTGAAAATGAGGTTCTAGGGTAGTTAACAAATATAACCGTTGGATCATGTAATTCTTCTCTAGAATAGAAAATTGGTTAACTGCTCAACTTAGATCTTCAAAAAAAATTGCTTTGTCTGTTTTATTTTTTGTGCAATGTTGCATGTTTTTTCTTACCCATATCAAGAAATGTTGGTGCAATAATTAAAACCCATTGTTTGTCCCAACCTTAAATATTTATACTCCAACAATACTTTGCCTGTAACTTTCAAAACTTACTGGTTTTTATGTGCATTTTTATACATAGTTGGTCTAGATATAAGTTATGAAGTGCAAACTAACCTGTTTTACAATTGAATGATACAATGTCTTGCCAAAAATGTATTTGTACCTAATTTAGACTCCATCTTCTTTTTTTTGCCAGTGAATCTTACTAACAATTTCATTTGGTATTTTTTTCTTACTTAAGGCTCCAGACTGGAATGCGAGGTGCATTTGGTAAACCTCTTGGAACTGTTGCACGAGTGAACATCGGTCAAACAATTTTGTCAATTCGATCCAAGCCTCAGCACAAGGCAGCTTGTATAGAGGCTTTTCGACGTGCTAAGATGAAGTTTCCTGGACGACAAAAGGTTTGTTTAATCAATTGATTGCTCTGTTAAAAGACAAGGTTATATAATTATTCTTTTTTGTTTAAATAAACTAATACAAAAATACTTAAAATGGTCATATGGTTTTATAATGGGTATGTGTGAAACAAGAAATCGAAACGGGGCTTGTACAAAACTTGATGTACTCTCTTCAATAAATTACAATAATGCTAAACTTAGTACACAAGTTTCCTATTTCAAAGTTGAGATGAAATTTTATTTTTGATGTTGAAACTTTGAAGTAACCTAACTCTTATGGTGCCTTTGCCATCAGTGTCATACATGTGTTCTTGATTCATGAATTTAAGTTTTTTATTTTAATTTTGATAATGTCAGATTTTATCCCCCTAAATCAGTTGAAATGATTTTTTCTGGGAATTGTTTCAACTTGTTACACTCAATGATGGATCAATGCTCTTTTGACAAGAAGGGTGCAGATTTTCCAAGTAGGTTGCATCTGTGTCCTGGCTAAAGTTGCAAGGAATGTCAATTTTAATTTTTCAATGAAAACATGAAAACATGAATTCAATTCCAATGGTGGTTGTATAAATTACGTAATTGCCTTTGAAATGAGAAATTCTACCTAACTTAGTCTTATTGTACAATTTCATAGCCTCTAATACTGTTATATTAAGCGTCCACAGTACATAATACCATTTTAGAATTTTTCTTGAGTAGTTGCTAGAGAATTTTGGGGGTGCATACCCACTGCATCGCTGAGAAAATGCCCTGGTTCCACTTCTCTTGGTGGCTAGAATTCTAGACTGCCCCCAAAATCCAGACCCCTAGTTTGTCTTACATGACTTCCTTCACCAGCTTATCACTCTAAAGGTTGTAGTACCACCCTTGTAAAAAATATAAAAATCTGTCCATGCCTGCAACAAAGATCTTATCCCTCAGTATGACCGTGAAATGTTTTTGAATTTATTTACTTCCGCATCATATGAACCCTGAAGAAGTTTAAAGAAATTTTCCATACATCTGACGTCTCTTGTTTTCTATAACTTACAATCATGAGTTACACGATAATTTTGTTGCAAGTAAAATTGTTGAATGTTTATAATCAGTTTTTATTTGTTATAGATTTTTGTGTCTAAAAAATGGGGTTTCACCAAGTTTGACAAGGCAGAATATGAGAAAGGTCGTTCTGACGGGTCAATCATACCATCTGGTGTTCATGCCCAATACATTCCTAATCATGGTCCTTTGATTGCTTGGAAGAAACGTGTTGCTGCTGCAAATTGAGGCAATTTGTTACAATTTATAATATTGTGTGACAATAAAAATCAATTACACATGGCCAATTCTGTATTGTTTATTTCATTTCTTTGCTTCAATTTCTGACATTTCATTCTATATTCGTAAAAAAACTAGTTTTACGTATCTGTGAAGGGGTCTGCCTGGTGCCTAACTAACTTCTGGTCTCTGTATTTAAATTAACGTGAATTTTTTTAAATATTATGCATCGTTGATATCCGACCGCGGTTCAACCTAAAAGCAACACCTTACCAACACAAGATTGTAACTAAACATAAGAGAAAAATCGAAGCTGTTTCTTTTGCAAATGTATTTCGGTCAAGCTCATTCCAAGGGGCGTCTAACTTGACTTAGATAGGCGTTGGTGGGATAATGTAGGATAATTTAGGTAGTTCAAAAATTATGATTATTTTTATCAATTTCTGTGGTGAGATACGAAACTGACTATGTGTGTTTTGTTATGAATAAACGAGAAGTTGGAGTTTGACCTGACGTGTCGTTGTTTTGCATTGCTAATTATATTGCCATTGTGAGAAGCGTTTAAAATTACTGATTTAAATGGTTCAAGTATGACATCAGTCGTTGTGTAATGCATAGTCTGTCGTTTTTGTGTTGGCGTAAATATTCAAGTTTATCTTCGTCACTGTTTTGTTGAGAGCTATGGACAGGTTAGTAAATCAATAATAGTCGTTTATGTTAACTAGAAATGAAATCATAGACGTTTTAAAACGGTTATGTTCATGTCCTGTACAATTTATATAATAAAGACAACACTTCGTTATTTGGACAACATTTACACGCGTAGACACGACCAAAAAGTTTTGCATTGATTGAGAAGTTGTAAAAGCCTAAAAGGCAGCAATCTCACTTTGCAATGTTCGTTAAAATAGTTATGTCGGGCATTTAAATCCCGCTATTTTCAATGTTTTGATAACATATGGGTAGGAACTCATCTCGTTCTGCTTGGCTAGACTAGGTATTTAGCGTCATGTAGGTTTAGTCGAACTTTCGATCTCTTTGTGCAATTATTTTATTTGTTACTCAATCGATAAAGCTTTCTTATGCTTACTGAAAAATGTCCAGCGCGCGATGTATCACTAATTTCGGAATTATTTGAACACAACCTCAATTCCTTCACCCGGGTAGTGTTTAGCCCAAGAATCCTAGAGTGTTCAAGAAACAAAATGCCCAGTATTGTCGCAAGATAGATAGAACTAATCTATTTAAGATATCGACTGAAGATGTATTACTGCTTCTCAAAATTATTTGACACAGCCGTTCGCTACGTACGTGGCAAGCTACGTGTGGAAGTACTTGAATACTATTAATAATTCCGTCTGGAGAGTGATTAGCCACAATATTTTGAAATTATAGAATGTATGACGTTACATAAATGGCCGACAATTGTTAATATAATTTTTCATCGTTAAAATTAAAAAAACCTTTATAACAGTGAAAAACTTCGAAAACTATAGTAAATATATTTATTTAATCTTCATGCATCTTGGCCCTCTTAGCGTTCACAGACGACCCGGGCATTCTACGGCATTGTCATGCATTCTCCGGCACTCCGGCGGCTTTTGGTAACCGTAGCAACGTACTTGCATCGATTAACAATTTTTAGATTTTAAATTCCAGCAAACACTGAGGATATGGAAACTATTGAAAATTATAATTGAATCTATCAATAATCTTACCCTTTTAGTGTTGGATCAAAACAAGAGATGGAAAATAGGAACGCAGCCAAAGGTACACATATTAAGTCAGCATGTAAATGATGTGTAAAAGGTATTTTTACTGCTTGAAAATTATACAAACACTACGTATGAAAAATAGGATTTTGTAGAATGCAAGGCTGTTGGGAGATTGATAATTAGGGAGGGGTATTGTTCATAAATACATGTTTTGTAAGAAAAAAAGATATTAACTGTGTTTGCACATGCAAAACAAGTGAGAAACTAAGGAGATTCTCAATATAAATATTAGAGCCCAACAAATAATTTTGAACATAGACATAAACAATTTGGTTTTATGAAATTTATGACTATGTTCAAAATAATTTGTTGGGCTCTAATATTTATATTGAGAATCCATTTCCCGTCTGGCACTTCATTGGCAATTAAGGAGATGTTTCAGAGAACTCAAGAGCAGATCAATCAAGTACTATGATTAATTTAGAAATTCTTTTTATTAATTGACCAAGCTCAGATTGATTTCCTACATTTGCGCTAGCTATGTAACACAAACTCAGCTATGCAGTTTAATCAAACCACACATTGTGTTGTTATTTCATAAATGGTTATAATCCATAGAAAACAATGAATATACAAACCTACCCAGTTATTGATCTTGGGTAGGGTCATATTTTTTTGTAGCATTGACTTGACATTCATTTTTAGCACAAGGGAAATGTTATGACTTAACCCAAATGAAAGAAAAACTATTGGAAACAGAGAAGCCATCTATTTCTGCATTTCAAGCTAGTTTGCTTGCTGATGCAGATGTTGCTAAAAAAGTAGCAAATGCTCTTCATACAAAGAATACTGCTAACTTTGTTACCTTAATTCAAAATTGTTCTGGTGTTGTGTTGACGTCTGGCATAGGTATTGTAAAATTTGTTTTTTTCAACCATAGTGTGAATGATCTAAAGTTGAAACTGATTAGATGCTGAAATTTGCATTCTTTTTCTCCTGTCTAGTGTTTTCATCAGAATTGATCTGATATTGAAACTCGAGTTCTTTTATTATAGTTTCTTCATCAGGAGTGATCTGATGTTAAAACTTGAGTTGTTACGTTTATACTCTAGACTAATGTCTTCATCAGGAGTGATCTGATGTGGAAACTTTAGTCCATATATACTCCAGTTAAGTTTCTTCATCAGGAGTGATCTGATGTTGAAACTTGAGTCTTTATATACTCCAGTTAAGTTTCTTCATCAGGAGTGATCTGATGTTGAAACTTGAGTCTTTATATACTCCAGTTAAGTTTCTTCATCAGGAGTGATCTGATGTTGAAACTTGAGTCTTTATATACTCCAGTTAAGTTTCTTCATCAGGAGTGATCTGATGTTGAAACTTGAGTCTTTATATACTCCAGTCTAATGTCTTCATCAGGAGTGATCTGATGTTGAAACTTGAGTTCGTATATACTTCTGTTTATTGTCTTTGACCATCAGAAGTGATGAGATGTTATGGCAGTTCTTTTCAGTCTAGTATCTTCACCATAAATGATCTGATGTTAAAGCTTGAGTTGTTATGTATTACACTTATACTGTCTTTTTCACTCTCAAGAATAATCTGATGTTGAAATTTAAATATCTTTCGATTAAAGGAAATCAGGCATTGTTGCTGAGCGATTGTCCGCCTCATTGGCCTCAACAGGAACTCCTTCCCATTATGTCCATGCTGCGGAATGGACCCATGGAGACCTGGGGAGAGTTTGTAATGGTGACATTGTTGTGTTTCTATCACACAGTGGTAACACAAAGGAATGTGTTGCTGCAGCAGAGCTCATGAAAGATCGTGGAATTCCTGTTTTGTCTATTGTTGGAAAATATGGTGGGTATTTTTTCATTAACCCATAAAATATAGTTGTAAGTACAATAATGTCTACATTTTTTTTGTTTTTAGATTGTGGTCTCCGAGCATGGTCGGATGCATTGATTAATTATGAAGTAGCTGGACCAATTCAAGATTCCACTGGGGGTGCACCAACTAGGAGTATTGTGGTACAGGTGAGGAATGTTAGTTATTGAACTTGAGGTTTCACAGAGGGCACCAACAAGGAGTGTTGAGGCACAGCAGGGGAATTGTTTATCATTGTCATCAATTATTTAGTCATTGCTTTTTACTCTGACACTCATCCATTATTTCATATGTATTTTAGTTAGTGTGAAGACTGTTCTCATTCTCTGTTGTTCATTCATCACTACCTACACTGACATACATTATCTTATTTCCTATATATTTTAGTCAGTGTAAAGACTGTTCTTGTTCTCTGTTGTTCATTCATCACTACCTACAATGACACACGTTATCTTATTTCTTATATATTTTAGATAGTGTAAAGACTGTTCTCATTCGCTGTTGTTCATTCATCACTACCTACAATGACACACGTTATCTTATTTCTTATATATTTTAGATAGTGTAAAGACTGTTCTCATTCGCTGTTGTTCATTCATCACTACCTACAATGACACACGTTATCTTATTTCTTATATATTTTAGTTAGTGTAAAGACTGCTCTCATTCTCTGTTGTTCATTCATCACTACGTTCACTGACATACGTTATCTTATTTCTTATATATTTTAGTCAGTGTAAAGACTGTTCTTGTTCTCTGTTGTTCATTCATCACTACCTACACTGACACACGTTATCTTCTTTCTTATATATTTTTCTCCCCATCTCAAATAAACCATCTCCCTACAACTGAAATATGTCTCTGTAAAATTTATTTTTTTGAGTAGTTTTTTTTCAATATTTTACTCTATAATTTCTAATTTATCCAGACTTGCAAGTTTTGTATACTTAAAAGGTATATGCAAACTGATAATTTTTCATAGGAAATGATTGTTAATGCTATTGAATGCGAGCTGATGGAGCGAAGAAATTTCACAAAAGCAGACTTTTTGCATAATCATCCAGGTGGCTCTCTTGGAAAGAAGTTAATGCGTGAACAAATCCAAAAAGAATGAACATTGACTGTAAATTATGTAGTAATGCATGTAGCAGTGTTGTGAATGCTGTTTATAACGTATATATATATATATATCCTGTAGTTTCTTTCCATCTTTCAGAATTATATTTTGTTTATGTTGCAGTTTTATCATTGACATTCAATGTCCATGTCTGATGTTGCCTTGAACTTTCCCCTTTTGTGTTCTTCCCATTGCTGTAGAACTAAATTTATCAGAATTTGACGTTTTTGTCAATAGTGCCCTTTTAAAATTACCCATTTCAAAGGTAGAAGGGGGGCTCCTCTCTCAAGCCAAGTGTCCCCCACCACACTTATACAGCACTGGTTCTTCCCCACTTGATTACATATGTAAATTGTTTAGTTAAAGAATGAAATGAAACCTTTTTATAGCAAATTTCACTGCATCTTTAGGACATTTTTTGAGTCTTGCAAGCACTTGAAATTGTCCACTTGCATTTAAATGTGCACAGTCTGGTGATAGCAATATTCTGTTTGTTGGTTTTTCATTTGTGTACACAATAGAAATTAAAATTGAGAAATTTAGAGATGTTGCACATGGTTGGAACCAACTGGAACTTATGAAAATATTGAGGAAATTTATGTCTATGAAATGCCCTGGCCTCTACATCAATCATTTCTTACCAAATTTGTTGCTCTTCATCTTGGTGTTAACTGTCAAGGATGTTGCTTTGTAACAAGTTCTTCTTGCTTTCCATTATTTGAAGCTGGCTCTCCAAGTCACCGACTGTTTGTAAACATTATCCGCCATACATTTTTATAGTAATTTGTATCTCTAGTGGGTAACCGGAAGTGAATTTTGCATATATTGGGCTTCACTTCACATTAGGCTTCACTTTTGATACCTATAGAAGCTATATGCAGTCTATTATCAGTTCAGTGCATAAATTATGTTTGATAAAAATTATTTTGTTATTTTCTCATTTTCTTTGATACATATAGTAATTTTTTACCTAGCTTCATAAGCCTATGACCATATTCCAAGTTCTTATAATTTCCACGGGGTATCCCTTTCATACCATACATACTACCCCACCATGCTGCAGCCAATATTCCTGTATTGGGCTTCACTTCACATTAGGCTTCACTTTTGATACCTATAGAAGCTATATGCAGTCTATTATCAGTTCAGTGCATAAATTATGTTGGATAAAAATTATTTTGTTATTTTCTCATTTTCTTTGATACATATAGTAATTTTTTACCTAGCTTCATAAGCCTATGACCATATTCCAAGTTCTTATAATTTCCACGGGGTATCCCTTTCATACCATACATACTACCCCACCATGCTGCAGCCAATATTCCTGTACTGTCACTATCTCCACCATGAAACATAGAACAAGAACACAATTGAAACCGGGAATCTTTAGCCATCATCAAAGCATCGTAAGCAATCATTGGTGCATCATGACCACTGGACCCACCCCAACCTGCATAACTCACAGATTTATAAAAAGCATCACGTTCAAGTATGTTATATGTCACTGGAAACTTTGGTTCACTGGTTCCATTGGTTAATCCCCGTAGTTCAAGATATGACTCCCAACTGTCTTTAAAGTGTTCCAAAGATTCCTTGGTTTCTTCTACATCTCAATCAACCTTCTCAATGAATAAAAAACTTTGGGTAAAACACTTGTGGTGAAGCAAATAATGGTAGAGTCCTGCATCCATCTACTGTCAAGATTTTTAAGCTAATCCTTTGACTCATATTTAGAGTTGGAGAAGAAGAATGGGCTCTAATGGACCGACACGACTTCAAGGATGAAGAATGGAAGGCAAATTTTAGTTAAGAATTTTTGACGTTCAGGTTTTTATAGTTAAATTGAAGAAAGTTTTTATTTTTTCTGCCTTTTTTAGCAATAACTTATGAAGAAATAGAACACTTGAAATATAGAGTCATGAATTATCAGTATAAAAAAATTGAGCTATTAGGAAAAGTCGCTAAATCTATCAGCGCCCAAGATTTGCAAAAACTTTCGGGAGAAACAGGTAGTTAGACTTCCAATTATTTATCTGACAGTAAACTTGCTGCAAATAAGAGACAACTTTAGGATAAGAATTTTGTCACCAAGAAGCACTTTAGAAATAGCTTGCGCACGAAAATCACACAGCTAAAAGCATATGGAACACATAGGGCTAAAATATGGCATATGCTAGTTAAGCAAAATTTCAGGAAATTTGGTTTTACCTTCCAAAATATTAGTCATTATGAACAATTTGCTTTTAAATGCTTTCTTTTTATAATTCTTAACAATATGTGGCTTTGATGGCTTTAAAAAATGGGATTTAAAAAGGAAAAGCTCAAAATAATTTGCAATTTCGCTGCCAAGCAAGAAACCCGATGTAGTGTTCATCGCAGAAACATAGCTTACATGATACTTGTAATCTTGAGATATCTGAGTATAACATTGTTTATAAAAACAGAGCTTTTGGACCACATGGCGGTGGTGTATATGTCTATATATAAGAAAATCTATTCAGTGTACAGTTCTTGACTAATTTAGTTCGACCACGTTTGAGGCTTTTTGGGTTTAAATTACGCCAATCATTTAGTTATAAACTAATTAAACAATTCAATTACAGCAGTGGACATTTTTATATTCTAGGTGTTAAGTCGTTTTGAATTGTGCTTTTAATCGACTTAACTTTTGCCATCTAACGGATCAATTCTGAATACAAGAAACAGCTTCAATTCAAATATACCTAAGTGATACAACCAAACATCGGACATGATCTTAACAAATCTTTATAGTTTCTACAATAAGAATTCTATATCAGCTTTCCTTCATTTAATTTATCAGAATATAATGTAATGTTATCTTATCAAGGCGTGAGATTTACTTTTCCCAACATTTATGCGAACAAACACCTAGTTTTTCTTATTCAACTTAAACAAGCAAATGAAAGAAAAAGTTCCACAATCTGATATTGTAAATTTTCATGTACAAGACCAACTCTTAATTATGGAGCTAAGGTTTTTTTTAACAAACTCCCAAAATACCTAGGAAACAAAAATTCAAACATGTTAATAAAAACAATAAAAATCATAAAGCCGTATCTTTGCTTTACATAACAATAAACTTTTAATGTTTTAAATTAAGTTGCACAAAATAATTTGCCACGTATTAACTCAAAGGAACGCAACCATTTGACGCTTAACTTTTCAAAACGTTAAGTGATTTGAAAGATCGAATGTTCAAAGTTTGGAGCCATCAACTAATAAAAGGTTTGTAAGACTAAAGATAAAGACTTATCGTGTGTGTTAACGATCTGTAAATGAAATCTTAAAGAAAAATTGCTCGTCATCTTTAATTGATAAACTTTTGATAAATATTGGTCACACCCAAGTACTATAAAATATACATCATAGATACCCGTAGTACTTTGCAATCCTGTAATTGTACACCAATCAAACCAAGTTACAAATACAAACATATAAACTGCTTACCAAAAAAATCACTGCCATTCATCTAAAATAAGGCGTGTTTATCATGATGTGTTTAATTGTAATTTAATTCATGTTTATAAAAAGTGGTTTTCGCCTTTTACCAACGTTATTATTTAGGAAATGTAGCTTTTTTAAATGTTATCAATAAACCATTTATACTACAGATTTCAATAAGCACAATTTAGACGTTCATGACGTATAATTGTGCAATGATATTGTGTTATTCAAGGGGTAAGAGTACCACTAGTATAAAAATAAAACTGACATATCAAGCTGTAGATTTTTACTAATCGCTCTCAAAGTACCTTAAAAATGATACAATGCAATATAATTTACACTTCTCATTTCTATTGATGAATTCGATCCAACTTAAATTCAAACTTATAAAGAAAAACAATAAAAATCATAAGACCGTATCTTTGCATTTACATAACAATTAACTTTTAATGTTTTAAATTCAGTTGCACAAAATAATTTGCCACGTATCAACTCAACGGACGAAGCCATTTGACGCTTAACTTATCAGAATGTTAAGAAATCTGAAAGATCGAATGTTCAAAGCCTCAATCGTCGACCAGTAAAAGGTTTGTAAGACAAAAGACAAAGAATTATCGTGTGTGTTAACGATGTATAAATGAGATCTTACATAAAAGTTGTTTGTCAAATATAATTAATACACTTTAAATGAATATTAGTCTCGACCTAGTACTACCCATATTACATCATAGATCCCCGTAGCAACTTGTGATCCTGTAGTTGTACAGCAATTAAACAAAGTTACAAATACAAACAATTTGCTTACCAAAAAATCACTGTCATCTGAAGGAAGGCGTGTTTATCATAATGTGCTTGCTTGTTAAGGAATTTAAATTGCTAGTTAGCATGCAATTATATTTATCTTTGGGTCCGGACGGTATATTTATAAAATATGTGTTATTTCATTATACTTGTTATGATATGAAATGACATTTATGAATCAGGAAGAAAATTTAGTTTGAAATTGCAAATGGACTCATGCATGCCATCATTGAATATTTTAAATATTTAGTCGTTTTGTGACGTTGCAATTATCTTTCGTCAAGCTGTTAACGCTAAGGTGATACATGAAAATTCATAGCATTAAATAAAAAAAACTGAAAATCTTTGATTTCTGATTTGAAAAAACAGACCTTTTGGACCAAATTGTGGTGTACAGCAGAAATTATTATATAATTATGCCACGTTTGAAGCTCTTCTCGTTAAAATTAGAACGATTAACTAATTATAAACTAATTATTGAATTCAATTACAGCAATAACATTTTTGTATTCTGAGTGTGGAATCGTTTTGACTTGTGATTTTGATAAACTTAACTTTTGCCACCTTACGAATCAATTCAGATTACCAGAAACAGCTTGTACTTAAATATACCTAAAAGATACAAGCAAACATTGAACTTGATGCTAACAAATCATTAGAATTTGTACAAGACTACAACAAAAATTCTCTATCAACTTCCCTTCATTTGATTTATCAGAATATAATAAAATGTCACTTTATCCAACTGTGAGATTTACTTTTCCCAACATTTAAGCCAACGAACGCCTGGTTTGTCTTATTCAACTTAAACAAGCAAATGAAACAAAAGTTCCACAGTCTGATATTGTAAATTTTCATGTATAAGATGAACTCTTAAATGTGGAGCTAAGGTTTTTTTTAACAAACTCCCAAAATACCAAGGAAACGGTAATAAAATTCAAACATGTTAATAAAAACAATAAAAATCATAAGGCCGTATCTTTGCTTTACATAACAATAAGCTTTTAATGCTTTAAATTCAGTTGCACAAAATAATTTGCCACGTATCAACTCAAAGGACGCAACCATTTGACGATTATCTTTTCAGAACGTTAAGTGATTTGAAAGATCGAATGTTCAAAGTTTGGAGCCATCAACTTGTAAAAGGTTTGTAAGACTTAAGATAAAGAATTATCGTGTGTGTTAAAGATCTGTAAATGAGATCTTAAATAAAAATTTCTCGTCATATTTAATTGATAAACTTTTGATAAATATTGGTCACACCCAAGTACTATAAAATATACATCATAGATACCCGTAGCACTTGTGATCCTGTAGTTGTACACCAATCAAACCAAGTTACAAATACAAACATATTAACTGCTTATCAAAAAAATTACTGCCATTCATCTAAAATAAGGCGTGTTTATCATGATGCGTTTGATTGTAATTTAATTTATGTTTATATAAAGTGGTTTTCGCCTTTTAGCAACGTTATTATTTGGGAAAATGTAGCTTTTTTAAATGTTTATCAATAAACCATTTATACTACAGATTTCAATAAGCACAATTTAGACGTTCATGACGTATAATTGTGAAATGATAGTGTGTTATTCAAGAAGCAAGAATACCACTAGTATAAAAATAAAACTGACATGTCGAGCTGTAGTTTTTTACCAATCGCTCACAAAGTACCTTAAAAATGCTATTTCTATTGATGAATTCGGTCCAAATTAAATTCAAACTTATAAAGAAAAACAATAAAGATCATAAGGCCGTATCTTTGCTTTTACATAACAATTATCTTTCAATGTTTTAAATTCAGTTGCACAAAATAATTTGCCACGTATCAACTCAACGGACGAAGCCATTTGACGCTTAACTTATCAGAACGCTAAGAAATCTGAAAGATCGAATGTTCAAAGCCTCAATCGTCGACCAGTAAAAGGTTTGTAAGACAAAAGACAAAGAATTATCGTGTGTGTTAACGATGTATAAATGAGATCTTACATAAAAGTTGTTTGTCAAATATAATTAATACACTTTAAATGAATATTAGTCTCAACCTAGTACTACTCATATTACATCATAGATCCCCGTAGCAACTTGTGATCCTGTAGTTGTACAGCAATTAAACAAAGTTACAAATACAAACAATTTGCTTACCAAAAAATCAGTGTAGTCTAAAGGAAGGCATGTTTATCATAATGTGCTTGCTTGTTAAGGAATTTAAATTGCTAGTTAGCATGCAATTATATTTATCTTTGGGTCCGGACGGTATATTTATAAAATATGTGTTATTTCATTATACTTGTTATGATATGAAATGACATTTATGAATCAGGAAGAAAATTTAGTTTGAAATTGCAAATGGACTCATGCATGCCATCATTGAATATTTTAAATATTTAGTCGTTTTGTAACGTTGCAATTATCTTTCATCGAGCTGTTAACGCTAAGGTGATACATGAAAATTCATAGCATTAAATAAAAAAAACTGAAAATCTTTGATTTCTGATTTGTAAAAACAGAGCTTTTGGACCACATGGTGGTGTACAGCAGAAATTCTAATTTAATTCTGCTCCGTTTGAGGCTCTTTTGGTTAAAATTAGACCGATTAACTAATGATAAACTAATTGTTCAATTCAATTACAGAAATGAGCATTTTTGTATTCTGGGTGTGGAATCGTGTTGACTTGTGATTTTGATAAACTTAACTTTTGCTACCTTACGAGTCAATTCAGATTACCAGAAACAACTTGTAGTTAAATATACCTAAAAGATACAACCAAACAATGAACTTGATGCCAACAAATCTTTATAATTTCTACAAGACTACAACAACAATTCTCTATCACCTTCCCTTCATTTGATTTGTCAGAATATAATGAAATGTCACCTTATCCAACTGTAAGATTTACTTTTCCTAACATTAGAGCAAACAAACGCATATTTTTTCTACTTCAACTTAAGCAAGCAAAAGTTCCACAATCTGATATTGTGAATTTTTATACCACCTCATCTGTATAAGACCAATTTTTAAGTATGAAGCTGAAGTTTTTACCATATAGTCCCAATTATCTTGAAAACCGTAAAATTTAGTAAAATTTATACTTCTCATTTCTATTAACAATTTGATCCAAATTATATTCAATTTTATGAACATAAACAATAAAAATCATAAACCCATATCTTTGCTTTACATAATCTATTCTTAAGATGGCTTAAATTCCGTGGCAAAAATAATTTTCCACGTATCAATTCAAAGGAAGAATATATAGCACTTAACTTGTTAAAACGTTAAATCTGTCTAAAAGCTCAACTGTTCAAGGCTTCATGCTTTCAAAAAAAAAAAAGAATTTTAATGCTTGATTACGACGTATAAATGTGACCAATGGAAACTTGTAAATTCTGTAATTGTAGATAAATCAAACGAAGTTACAATTCCAAACAAGAACAACATGCTTACCATAAGTAAATCATTGTCATCTTAACCAAGGTAAGGCTTTTTTTAAAGTATATTTAATTAGTTATGATTCACCAAAAAGTACATTTACTTTAAATCGCAAATCGACACATACATGTCATCATTCAATAGTTTAGGTATATAAGTCGTTTTAGAATTAGAAATATTAATCAACAAGTGTGTTTATCTTTGTCATAAACTGTAGTATCGCTTGTTCAATTTAGTAAGTCCTCATTTTAAATGAAGCTAAAGAATTTTGCTTATCTTTGTGACGTTGCAATTGTCTTCCGTCGATGCTAAGTTGTTGACTCTAAAGTTGATTTGTGCAAATTCATCGTATTAAAAAATAACAAGTTAGGCAATCTGGAAATTACGAAAAAGCTATAGAGTTTCACAAAAAAGATATGGAAATTCAAGTACAATCGTCAGAATCAAATTATGTTGATGATGCTCAGTCTTTGAACAATCTTGGTAATTTGTTTTATGAAAGTGGAAACTACGACAAAGCTATAGAGTTTTACGAAAAAGCTCTAGAAATTCAAAAACAATCGTTAGGTCCAAATCATGTTGATGTTGCTGATTCTTTAAACAGTCTTGGTTTGGTGTTATATAAAACTGGAAAATACGTCAAAGCTATAGATGTTCAAGAAAAAGCTCTGGAAATTAGAAAACAATCGTTAGGTCCAAATCATATTTGTGTTGCTGGGTGTTTAAACAATCTTGGTATGGTGTTTGATGAAACTGGAAATTACGACAAAGCTATAGAGGCTCACGAGAAAGCTCTAGAAATTCGAAAACAATCGTTAGGTCCAAATCATGTTTATGTTGCTCATTCTTTAAACAATCTTGGTGCGTTGTTTAAAAAAACTGGAAACTACGACAAAGCTAAAGAGGTTCACGGAAAAGCTCTAGAAATTCTAAAACAATCGTTAGGTCCAAATCATGTTTATGTCGCTTTGTGTTTAAACAATCTTGGTGATGTGTTTTATGAAACTGGAAACTACGACAAAGCTATAGAGTTTTACAAAAAAGCTCTAGAAATTCAAAAACAATCGTTAGGTCCAAATCATGTTCTTGTCGCTTCGTCTTTAAACAATCTTGGTTTGGTGTTTTATAAAACTGCAAACTACGACAAAGCTAAAGAGGTTCACGGAAAAGCTCTAGAAATTCGAGAACAATCGTTAGGTCCAAATCATGTTGATGTCGCTCAGTCTTTAAACAATCTTGGTAATGTGTTTTATGAAATTGGAAACTACGACAAAGCTATAGAGGTTCACGGAAAAGCTCTAGAAATTCGAGAACAATCGTTAGGTCCAAATCATGTTGATGTCGCTGCGTCTTTAAACAATCTTGGTATTGTGTTTGAAAAAACTGGAAGCTACGACAAAGCTATAGAAGTTCACGAAAAAGCTCTTGAAATTCGAAAACAATCGTTAGGTCCAAATCATGTTGATGTCGCTATGTCTTTAAACAATCTTGGTTTGGTGTTTGAAAAAACTAGAAACTACGACAAAGCTATAGAGTTTTACGAAAAAGCTCTTGAAATTCGAAAACAATCGTTAGGTCCAAATCATGTTGATGTCGCTATGTCTTTAAACAATCTTGGTTTGGTGTTTGAAAAAACTAGAAACTACGACAAAGCTATAGAGTTTTACGAAAAAGCTCTGGAAATTCGAAAACAATCGTTAGGTCCAAATCATGTTGATGTCGCTGCGTCTTTAAACAGTCTTGGTATTCTGTTTTATAAAATTGGAAACTACGACAAAGCTAAAGAGATTCACGAAAAAGCTCTTGAAATTCGAAAACAATCGCTAGGTCCAAATCATGTTGATGTTGCTGATTCTTTAAGCAATCTTGGTTTGGTGTTTGAAAAAACTGGAAACTACGACAAAGCTTTAGAGTTTTGCGAAAAAGCTCTGGAAATTCGAAAACAATCGTTAGGTCCAAATCATGTTGATGTCGCATCGTCTTTGAACAATCTTGGTGTGTTGTTTGATATAACTGGGCAACACGACAAAGAGAAAAATTATAATGAAGAAGCTCTAGGAGTTCGAGATTTGAAGTTGCTAGGTGAGGACCAAACTATTGTTACTGTGTCTTTGAGCAAGTTTGGTGCAATGTACGAAGAAAGTTAAAATACTGATAAAACGAAAAAATTCTGAAAATTCTATAAAAGCTCAAAGTAAATTTCTAGGTCCAAGTCATGCTCATATTTTGTCGTCTTCAAAATATTTTGGTAAGTTTGCTTAGGTATTACACAATATAATGTGGGTTGCTCAATTGCGATGAGGAACTAAGGACGTAAATATATTTTTTCCTGTAAGCAAGGCTTTGGCAAAATATTTTTCCATCACAAAATTATTTGGATTTATTTTTTAGCATTTTGTTCGCGCAAATGTGAAAATTTTCCACCAACTAAAATATTACAAAAATTTTTCATTTTCAATTTTTCATATTAACATTTTCTTGAAATATATTTACTCATACCCTATATTACTCGCCTTTTTAAAGCCGTCTTTCTCAAAATCAAATTCATATACCTTCATGGTCACGTTTTTCATTGTGCTTACATGTTAGCAATAAAAGATAAAATAATTCCAGACTTTTCTTGTAGCTAAATCCATCAGTAACTAAACAACAAGGCTAAAAAATATGTTTGCTTACAATTTTCGTTGTTGACCAGTTTGCATAAAATTACATAAAGTTGTAGCTTCCTCCTCCTCTAAACGGACAGTCAGCATCAATGAACTCTATAAAGTTTTTCTTTATAAGATACCTTCCCAACGGAGACTAGCGAGAACTAATTGCTAACATTTATCTATGTCTGAATTGATTAATTTAATTTAAAACACCAGAATTGTCAATAATGAGATGCAATAATGAAAATTCAACGTTCTTCAACCAACATTAGGAAAAGAAGGATTGATTTGCTAAAAGTTCAGACCATTTCACGAAGAAAGTAGTGCTAAAATTCGCCTTAATTGGAACCATAAAACACATATTATGCAGAAAGTATTTGTACCTGTACGTACTTTAAGTTACGTTTAAACACACTCAAAACCCAACATTCGCTCAGCTTTTGTTGACTCAACATGTTGAGAGCTTTTACACACCCTGTTCAGTGGTTTTGAGAGGTGTTGAGCGTTTTAAAGTGAAGTTAGAACTTGTTTAAACTTTTGACTCAACAGTGCTCAACATTTTCTCTGTTCAGCGCTCACCGATGCAAGCCTAATCATTGCTTCACTTAACAATGTTGAACTAAGGCATGTGCACTGCGCAGCGTATGTTATTGTAAAAATGGCACTATTTCTATGCATTGTGGAATATTTCATGTCATAGCTCAACATGTTGAGAGCGTTTACACATATCGCTCAACATCTCTCAAGACCATGTTGAGCGCATGTTAAGTGAATGTATTAAGTGCATTTGTACGTAGCTTAAAGCAGCCATACAGACAATATATCAAATTATGTAGGATCATTTGACCTGAAACGAAGCTTTTTTTTTCTCGTCCTTGATGTTTTGTAAGGACCAAATTTTTTACTCGTAGCTATAGTTTTTGTTAGCAGAAATGATATTGTTTGAAATTGTATCGTCTAGATAATAAAACCCACTTTCCGAATGTTCTTTTTCGACTTACATTCATATCATGGTTTTTTGGGTTTTTTTTCAATTTACAATACATTTAGTGTTTGCTTCATGAAGATTGTTTAGCTCCTTTTTATGTGAAATAACGCCTGATGAAAACTGGTGCATTTTTCAAAATAAGGGGCGCTCACAAGGGGAGCACTATTAACAAACTGCCCCCTCAATATTCCCATACTAAGTTATTTATATACATGACTGGAAATGTCAGTCATCCAAAACAGTGCGTAATATATGTATATGAAAATTTTGAGCTAATGGGCAAAACGAAATGAAATATATAGTTTTAAAAAGCTACTATCCAAAACTTTCCAATTTATTTGTGTTATTTCTTTTCGAGCGCTAGCTGTAAACTCATTTTTTTACTTGTTGTCAAAATAGAAATACACAGCTTGTGTGGATAATGCTTTTTAAAATATTATTCGTAGAAATCACAAGTGGTGACGATGCTAATTCTAAAGATGTCGGAAATTCTCCTGGTGTTGAAAATACAAAACAAGGTATGCCTTTTTATTCTATTTTGTTTTATATATATTGCATAACCTAAGAATATTTGTTTTGTGATTTACTTCGGAATTCAAGCCAATTGATTGGCATTTATGAGTTTTTATGAAGATTTATTTTATTTAAAATATGATATATACAGTCCAAACGTTCGTTTAATACGTATAATCAATACGGTAAGGAACGAGCAGGCGAGGTTAATAAAAGGTTTATTTTATGGCTTTATTTGAACTGAAAGTTTTTTTTTCTTTTCTCGTCTTTGCTGCTTTGCATGGACTGGCTTTCACTCCTGTAGTTTTTGCCAGCTGAAAATATATAGCTTGAAATCGTGTCGTCTACATAAAAGAAAACCCAGTGTTCTTTTTTTGACCTACATTCGTATCATGGTTTTTTGTTTTGTTTTTTTTTTCGTTTTAAAAAACGTTTGGTGTTTCCTTCATGAAGTTTGTTTAGATACATTTATTTGTAAAATTACGCCTGATGAAAGCTGGTCCATTACATGAAAATAATAGGCACTTAAAAGGGGGTAAACCACCTCTCAATATTTCCATAGACTTGAAAAATATCAGTTATATAAAACTGTGTGTAATATATGTATATGAAATTTTGAAGGTGCAAGATTTTGCTCTCCCAATTAAATCCGTTCGGCGCGCTACTATACTTTAATGAGCAAAACGAGATAAAAGATATAGTTTTTAAAAGCTACTAACCGAAACTTTTCAGTTTACTTGTGTTATTTCTTTTTGAGTGCTTGCTGTAATTTTTTTTTATTTAATGACGGAATAGAAATACACATGCAGATTGTGTGGATAAAATTTTTAAATATATTTTTCTTAGAAACCACAACTGGTGATGATTTTATTGCCGAAGATGTTGTAATTTCTCCTGGTGTTGAAAAGACAAAACAAGGTATGTCTTTGAATTCTATTTTATTTTATATATATTGCAAAACCTAATCATATTTTTTTCTTATTGTATGACAAATCAAGTCATTTGATTGGTATATATGTGTTTTTATGAAGCTTTATTTTTAATAATCTGGGGCTGGTTTTTCAAAAGCTGGTTAACGCTGACCCAGGGTTAAACATGCCTAACCCAAGGTTAATTTTTAACTCTGGAATAGTTTGAATTTCTCGAAACTAGGTTATCTTAAACCTTCGGTTAAAACAAGGGTTAACTTTAACCCTCTTCGCTAGGTGGGTTAAATTACTTAACCCTAGGTTAGCATATTATTTTCCTAATTAAAACAACTGATGACAGAATTTGCTCTTCATTTCCCATGTAAATTATCCCATTTGCAAAAGACGATATTGTCTATGTAGACAAAATACTAAAGGTTTTTACGACAGTGAGCTAAAGGCAAGAAATAAAATTTGGCAGAAACGAAATAAATTGTATAACAAATCTAATTCTTCAAGCTTTATTTAGATAAGCAGCAAAGCTGTGCAATTTATCTACAACAAGTCGTAATTGCTTTGAGGTTCTTTGCTTTGGACAGTTTCGTAGAAGATGTATAAGATGTACAAGATAATCGAATTGTTGATAAATCTGCAATGGTGCTAACATTACAACTGCATTGAATAGACCTAGGAATCACTTTAAAACTGGCCACCTTCAATGGTTGAAAACTACGTAATCGATAAAATCAAAATAACTTTTTTGCAAGCTGGCTTTGCTATTGATTGTGTTGATTGAACTCACATAGTTAATTGACCTTGTTTGGATTTGCCTGCTTTTTAACCCAAGTTTAGATAACCCAGCGCTTCATCCTGCTTTGAACAACGCAATTTTAACCCAGGGTTAGCCAACTTTAGGTTAACGAACTGAACGTAGTTTAGGTGTTAACTCTAGGTTAAGTTTATTGGCTTTTGAACAACCGGCCCAAGTTGTATACATGTTGAATTTTCGGACTCCAAATGATCGTTTATTACGTATGTTCAATACTGTATCAAAGACTTAAATTTTGCTTTTGCTAACGACAAATAATTTAAATGTACTTTGTACCAGACGGCAATGCTCAGCACAACTTAACAAGTCCTTGTTTATCTCAATAAATACTGCGTAGCAGCAAAGTGACGTAAATCTTTTTTATAAAGTGCTCAAATTGACTACATTACAAATGTCAGTCATCTAAAACAGTGCGTAATATATGTATATGAAATTTTGGAGCTAATGGGCAAAACGAAATGAAATATATAGTTTTAAAAAGCTACTATCCAAAACTTTCCAATTTATTTGTGTTATTTCTTTTCGAGCGCTAGCTGTAAATTCATTTTTTTACTTGTTGTCAAAATAGAAATACTCAGCTTGTGTGGATAACGCTTTTTAAAATATTATTCGTAGAAATCACAAGTGGTGACAATGCTAATTCTAAAGATGTCGGAAATTCTCCTGGTGTTGAAAATACAAAACAAGGTATGCCTTTTTATTCTATTTTGTTTTATATATATTGCATAACCTAAGAATATTTGTTTTGTGATTTACTTCGGAATTCAAGCCATTTGATTGGCATTTATGAGTTTTTATGAAGATTTATTTTATTTAGAATATGATATATACAGTCCAAACGTTCGTTTAATACGTATAATCAATACGGTATCAAGGATATAAATTTTGCTTTTGCTAACGACGTTCAAATAATTTAAATATTAATGTCCACTAGACGGCAGTGCTCAGCTTAACTTGAGAAGTTTTTGTTCACCTCAATAAATCCTGCGTATAACTTTTTCCCTATAGTTACTTAGGTACCTTCTCAACAGGGATTAACGTCAACGGTTATGTAACATTTATCAATGTCTGAAATCATTAATAAGCTCTTAATAACCGAGTGTGTGATTGAAGTTTTTCGTGCAGACTGAGCCCCTTAAGGCAAGGTTTGTACTAAAAAACAGAGGTCCGAGATTTCTCAGTAAAGAACGAGCAGGCGAGGTTAATAAAAGGTTTATTATATGGCTTTATTTGAACTGAAAGTTTTTTTCTTTTCTCGTCTTTGCTGCTTTGCATGGACTGGCTTTTACTCCTGTAGTTTTTGCCAGCTGAAAATATATAGCATGAAATCATGTCGTCTACATAAAAGAAAACCCAGTGTTCTTTTTTTGACCTACGTTCGTACCATGGTTTTTGTTTTGTTTTTTTTTCGTTTTAAAAAACGTTTGGTGTTTCCTTCATGAAGTTTGTTTAGATACATTTATTTGTAATATTACGCCTGATGAAAGCTGGTCCATTACATGAAAATAATGGGCACTTACAAGGGGGGAAACCACCTCTCAATTTTTCCGTAGACTTGAAAAATATCAGTTACATAAAACTGTGTGTAATATATGTATATGAAATTTTGAAGGTGCAAGATTTTGCTCTCCCAATTTATTTCGTTCGGCGCGCTACTATACTATAATGAGCAAAGTGAGATAAAAGATAAAAGATAAAAGTTTTTAAAAGCTACTAACGGAAACTTTTCAATTTACTTGTCTTATTTCGTTTTGAGTGCTTGCTGTAATTTTTTTATTAAATGGCAGAATAGAAATACACATGCAGATTGTGTGGATAAAATTTTTTAATATATTTTTCTTAGAAACCACAACTGGTGATGATTTTATTGCCGAAGATGTTGTAATTTCTCATGGTGTTGAAAAGACAAAACAAGGTACGTCTTTCAATTCTATTTTATTTTATATGTATTGCATAATCTAATCATATTTGTTTCGTATTGTATGACAAATCAAGTCATTTGATTGGTATATATGTGTTTTTATGAAGATTTATTTTTAATAATCTGGGGCTGGTTTTTCAAAAGCTTGTTAAAGTAAACCCAGGGTTAAACATGCCTAAACCAGGGTTAATTTTTAACTCTGGAATAGTTTGCATTTCTCGAAACTAGGTTATCTTAAACCTTCGGTTAAAACAAGGGTTAACTTTAGCCCTCTTCGCTTGGTGGGTTAAATTACTTAACCCTAGGTTAGCATATTATTTTCCTAATTAAAACAACTGATGACAGAATTTACTCTTCATTTCCCATGTAAATTATCCTCGTTGCAAAAGATGATATTGTCTATGTAGACAAAATACTAAAGGTTTTTACGACAGTGAGCTAAAGGCAAGAAATAAAATTCGGCAGAAACGAAATAAATTGTATAACAAATCTAATTCTTCAAGCTTTATTTAGATAAGCAGCAAAGCTGTGCAATTTATCTACAACAAGTCGTAATTGCTTTGAGGTTCTTTGCTTCGGACAGTTTCGTAGAAGATGTATAAGATGTACAAGATAATCGAATTGTTGATAAATCTGCAATGGTGCTAACATTACAACTGCATTGAATAGACCTAGGAATCACTTTAAAACTGGCCACCTTCAATGGTTGAAAACTACGTAATCGATAAAATCAAAATAACTTTTTTGCAAGCTGGCTTTGCTGTGGATTGTGTTGAATGAACTCACATAGTTAATTGACCTTATTTGGATTTGCCTGCTTTTTAACCAAATGTTAGTTATTCCAGCGCTTCATCCTGCTTTGAACAACGCAATTTTAACCCAGGGTTAGCCAACTTTAGGTTAACGAATTGAACCTAGTTTAGTTGCTAACTGTAGGTTAAGTTTATTGGCTTTTGAACAACCGGCCCAAGTTGTATACATGTTGAATTTTCAGACTCCAAATGATCGTTTATTACGTATATTCAATACTTTATCAAAGACTTAAATTTTGCTTTTGCTAACGACAAATAATTTAAATGTACTTTGTACCAGACGGCAATGCTCAGCACAACTTAACAAGTCCTTGTTTATCTCAATAAATACTGCGTAGCAGCAAAGTGACGTAAATCTTTTATAAACTGCTCAAATTGACTACATTTCATCAATTGCATTGAAGAAAAAGTATTATGATAAATAGACTAAAACGTCTTAAAATAAATCTTGATATAATGCACACCATAGAGATCGGACTCTGCATTTTAGAATTGTTCAGGTTAGACAATCTGTTTTAAAGTGCTTTAATCTGTTTTAACCATGGCAGTAAAATTTTGTCACTTAGCAATTTGTACTTGAAGCACATTATCAGTCAGTTAAAATTAAAATGAGACATGAGGTGATAAGGACATCATGCAATCTATTTGTTTTTAAGTAACTTTTATTTGTATTCTGCTTGTTTAATCATAAAAAGTTCTCAACAAACTATCCTTTGGATATACTGTCATACTTCACGTTTGCACCACCATGCATACATTACCTAGCTAATGACATTGAAAACTATGCAAAGAACGGCCACCATCAAATCGACTTGCTCAATATACTTCAATAAATAAGAATTCCTGTTCATTGTAAGTAAAATACCTCAAAATCATATGGAAAATAAGCCAATTTGACGATGTGAATTCTCAAAGTACCACAATAAAAAGAAGGCTATATAGAATTTTCCTTATGACAAATGCAGCATTAAATTGCACATTTATTGAACAAACTTCTAAATTCTAAATTTACAGAAAATTACAAGTTTTTTTGAGATCTCTCCTTGCTAAGTATACTGGAGATTACATCTTCAGTGTAACATCATTCAAATGTTCACAAAGGTAATTTTCTAGCTTAGAATGGCATTTTGAAGGTTGCCTAGAGAGTAAAAGTTGCTGTATTAGTTTTTTCTACTAGAAAATTTCCCAAAATAGATAAGCAAAAAGCGTTACTAATCGCAAAACATAAAAACAACGACTTTATTCATTAATTTCAATAAATATCTCCAATGATCTCAAAATAGATAAATGTAATTATTTGGACTATATTAGAAGAGGAAGCGAGTCCAAAGATCCCATTTATGATCTAAAGTGCGTCTTAATTCGTGATTGGTTAACTGAGTTCATAACCTCAATTAAAAAGTGCACGTGAATCAGTTCAAGGCACTTAAGACGTAAGTCAAAAGATTGAGCAAGAATAACCCTGCTGAAATATCGCTTACGAAACTCAACGGCTGTATCATGTTTTTCAGATATTATAGCACAGACCACTGTATACAGGGCCGAAATTATAAGTTTTAGTAGGGTAGGGGAGTGGGTGTTTAATAACGCTGCTGATGAAATATTGCTTACAAAACTCATTGGCTGTGCAATGTTTGCTCCGATAATGTAGCACGGACCACTGTATAGAGGACCGAAACTATAACTTTTAGCGGGGTGGGGGAGAAAGTGCTTAATAACGCTGCTGCTGAAATATTGCTTACAAAATTCAATGACTGTATCATGTTTTTTTAGATATTGTATCAGTGACCACTATATAGAGGACCGTAAATATAACGTTTTGTGGGGTGAGGAAAGGGATGTTTAATAACGCTGCTGATTAAATATCAATTACAGAAATCAACGGCTGTATCATGTTTTCTCAAATATTGTAGCGTGGACTTCTATATGGAGAACGAAAACTATATATCTTAGAGGGGTGGGGGAGGGGGTATTTACTAAGGCTGCTGATGAAATGTCACTTACAGAACTCAATGACCATATCATGTTTTCTCAGGTATTGTATCACGGACTACTGTATAAAGGACGAAAACTATAACTTTTAGTGGGGTGGGTGAGGGGGTGTTTCCTAAGGCTGCTCCTGAAAATAGTTTATGCGTATCTCTTATCTCTCACAAGATATTGAAGCTTTTATTATGTTCGATTCATATAACTAGTGACGTCACATTGCATAATGAGAACTAGTATTATTCGGTACATTTGCTAATACTTTACTTCCACTTTGCAGAGTTTCTTTCTTTGTGATGTGTTAATGATATAAAATACTGCCTACTATTATCAACGTAAAGTTGTCAGAAAAATGAAGTGTATTTAAAACATGACAGCGACTCATTTTGCATGCAATATGATGTCACAAGTTAGATAAATTGCTAATAGCAAGGACTTCACTTCAGTATTTTTTGAATGAAAGTATCATAAATAAAAGATTTTAGAAAGCATTCATTTCAAAAGTTCTGGTCAATGTAAATATAATTTAACTAGCAAAGTTTTCGTTTCATTGGCACTTTAATGGTGTTCAAACAAGGTTTGAGAGAATAATTGTTTAGTTTTAGTTGCTCATCGAACTTCAATGTTTATATTTGGCATGAAACATTTGATAGTCTATCTAAATAATGAGTGTCGAGAATGAAATGAAAAATTAAATGAAGCTATTTTGTTATTTTCTACTATAAAAATTTTTGGACTCTAAAAAATATGCTCTATAAATTTAAATTTAATATTTTCGAAAAACGTAAGATTATTTCTTAAAAATAATATATGAAATTACTGCAGAAAGAAGTTTTTGTGATTAATTGTATGGTATAAGCTAACCTCAAATGTTGCCAGATTTGATTGTACAATTAAAGAACTTATGATTTGTCTAATGGTTGCTGATAAGTTTTTTCAAAAATGAGCCGGAGCTAATATCCTTTCCTGATTGGGAAAGTTTAACCTATTTTGACGTATTAATTTCGTTTCTTTCACCATTGAATGTAATATTTTATCTAATTTTTTTAGACTTGATTTTGCAAGAGTGGAAATACATTGATGAATCAACGAAACATCGAGAATTGTTTTTAAAATTGATTGAATATGGACGCAATTCCAGTGTTAATGTCAAAGTGGTGGGCAATGTGCGAGTAATTTTCTCAGAAGAGTTTCGCATTGGCAAAGGAAGTGATGCAACCCGTGTTTTTCTTGGACTGGGTAAGGATGGTTACGGTAAAGCAGTGAAACGAATACATCGAGATAGCTACATCCAGCTTGCGCTGCACGAAAAAGAAATTTTGAATAAATTCAACGCAAGAAAGTCAAAATATGTTGTGAATTATACTTTCCTAGAGGAAGAGACTGGAACTGAATATGTATATTTGATATTAGACTTATGTGAAGAATCATTGGAGAATTTCATAGAATCTTCTACTTTACATGATCTTCAAAAAGCTCTTCCCGAAATTCTTAGACAAATTTTGCAAGGATTAGCAGATCTTCATAGCGGCCCAAATCCTATTCTTCATCGTGATTTAAAGCCCTCCAATGTTCTCCGAGACTCACAAGACAACTTTCTCATAGCTGATTTTGGCATTAGTCGAATGTTGAATAATGATTGTACGACACATGAAAGCAAGCCTAACATGGGAACTGAGTATTGGATTGCTCCTGAATCATATTGTGAAGATAAAGATACTGTCGATAAAGGACGGTACAAGAAAGAGTCTGACGTATATGTAAGTGTAGGAATATGACCATTTGCACAACATGCATTTATAAAGTCAATTTGTAACATTACATTGTCAATCTTTTTAGAATGCAGGAATGGTAACTTATTATATTGCAACAAAAGGAAAACACCCGTTTGGAACTAAACCGTATAGACTGATGAACATGTTGAATGGAAACCTTGTTGGCTTGGACGAAATCAAGGATGAAGCACTGAAAGACCTTTTGTTGTGGATGTTAAACCGAGAACCCGAAGACAGGCCATCGGCTAACGAGGCGTTAACACATCCATTTCTTATGTCGGATGAGGAGAAATTTGACTTATTATGTAAAGTTGGAAATCTTCAGCAGATTAAGACAAATGATCCCCTGTGTAGTGTCGTTCAACAATTGAATAGTGAATCCTCAGATTGGAAAAGTAAAATAGACAGTGATGTTTATGATTATTTTAGAACGGACGTGGTTACTGGAAATATTTTTACATATGACTCTTCATGGACAGAATGTTTACGACTTATTCGAAACATTAACCAACATTGGAACGATCGACCACGGCCAAAACCTCAACCAGAACCATTTTATAAGATTGGCAATCACAAGGCGTATATTCTCAAAAAATTCCCTAATCTCCCTGTTCGAGTGCATGCTACTGTGAGGTCCAATGAAGAATTGAAAAACAATCCAGAACTCAAGAACTTTTTCAATTTCAGTGAAAGGAGACCACATCAAGAATAAACAGTTTTTAAACAGTAAAAACAGTTTGTGAAAAGGCAAGTGAACATGAAATATACCGTGTAAAATAACATTTACTCAGATTGGAAAAGACAAATAAATTTTTTACGGATATCACTATTTTGATTGTTGGCTTTCATTGACAGATCGATTGATTGCGACCAGCACTAAAACCATCCATTTTATAAAGTCGATGATCCTAAAGAGTTCTTTTTGAAATCCCAGTTCGGGTACGTGCGGCTGTCTGGTCAAATGGCGAATTGAAAAACATTCCAGAACTTAAAAACTTTTTCAGTTTTTAATGAAAGCGAACCACAATGAAAAGTTTACTGTCAGGAAAACAAATAAGAAATCAACGATACGGTTGTTAAAGGATTTATTTTATAGATGTAAAGTAGCAAAACACTTTTCACGACGTATTTGGATGATGTATAATCACATTTCTGCATCTAGCTTACATTATTGAATGATATAATATCTGATTATTTAAATTTTATTCTCAATTGCTTTTGTTGAAGACGCATGACATTTAAAAGTCAACTTTATAAAATACATAATAAAACTCTTATACGATAGTAAATGGTATTTCTGGAGTTTCAATATTACCAAGATCCCGTTTATTAAAGTATTAAAAGGCAGTGATAATGGTTAATGCCAACAGCACAATTAAATGGACTTTCCTTTGTCTTCAATAGGTCTTGCTCGCTAGATCCAGTCTTCTATGGTCTTCTTACAGATGCTATTTGCATCCTCTACGCTAAGGTACAATTTGTACCCATTAACGACAAGTAGAAGTTGTCTTCCTTTGGCCAAACTTCACTTGCATTTCTGATCTAAGCTACATATTGTCCTATCTATCCTTCTGCGAGGCAACGTCCGCGGCAAGCATGCGTAGCTTCTTAATGCCATATATTCACACAGAGGCTTCCGAAGATAAATCGAGTAGAACCGACACAAATGCATGTCAATAACAGGCTAATAACCGCTGATACAACTTCACGTTTACTAATTAAGACACAAATTTTACTAATGAGCACCGAACACAAATAATTTTTCGAATTAAACTGAAAACTTTCAAAACCTCTTAATGAAGGATATTCTTGAAATGCAGAGAAAAAAGTACTATGAAAATGTGTATTTAAAAGCATAATGCAAACCAACGGTTTTCGAGGAATCCGTTGCCATGCTTAAGCAAAGGACGATGAATCTTTCTTTCCTTTATTACCATGAAGTGAACGGATGCTGAGCACGTGAAATCATTCAGAACCAAAAAACAATTTTTGACGTTGATGGTACATCCATCGTATCAACTTTCTTGCTACCTGACAAACATCCCCGGTTTCGTCTCGACGACGGCAAGCACAGAAGCAAGATTGGCCATTTCTTACAACTGTGCATGTCGTCTACGGCATGAAAGTGGAAACATCGACAGATGGACTTTTGATCAAAAATTAGGACTTTTGGTTTTGTTTTGCATGCTGAAAAAATTCCATGTTTTTATTAGGAAAATTTTCTAATTAATTAATGTAGAAATTTGGCTGGTCGATGGTGGCGTGGTTTTAATCATCTGCAAAGCAAGAAAAACTATTGATAGTGACTTTGAGGATTTGCGGGATTTTTTGCTGTTGTAAATAGTTTAAGATAATTAGTCGTACCATGATATTATTGATGTATCGTCGTTTATAGTTCGCTTGTCTTTAGGATTGGCGGATTAACCAGTGAGAATCATATCTTAGTTAGATATAATACCAAGAATAGTAACGTTTTGAACTGCCATAGTCCAATAGTCCAATAACCTTGGTCATATTCCTATAGGACAGGGACTTGCTGGTGGACATAAAAGTTGAGCTGATGGAAGCATTGCTTAAGAGCAACATGTTTTATTTGCAATTTTAGTATGTGATATAGACAGATTGATGGACAAAAGATGTCTCGTGTTTTCTAACATCATTAAAGTATATACTGTCCCATCCTTGATCATTGTTGGGAGGACTTGATCGCCCATTCTTGTTAATTGTTCGGAGGACTTTATTCAAGTATATTGTCCATTCTTGATCATTTGTCCGAGGACTTTATTCAAGTATATTATTTATTCTTGATAAGAATTTCTATACAATAAGATAATAAAAGATAATGTCAGCTTACAATATACTGCCGGCAAAATTAATGACAAAAATTAATAACGTAAAAAATACTTACTTTGAGAAATGGAGAATACCAATGAAGTATTGTATTCCATTCTTTTTACTCCAATGCTAGCATGTAAGTCATTGCAATTCTAATGTATGATCTTGTGCGTATACAAATTATGGTTTTTGCAGTCTTTTAGAGGAATTTTATCTCATTTTCATTTGTCTTTAATGCATTCGGCGCATATAAAGTTTAACATTTGAAAATGTCAATGAAATAGTCACTAATAAGTTGATTATGTATTAAAGTTCATTTTGTAAAAATAAGCATGAACGGCAAAACTTTTTTCCGTTTACTAAGACTAATTAAGGATTGGAAATTTAATCTTTTTTTTTTCTCTTTCTGTATATTTATGTCTTATTTTACATCGTTCGTTCACTTTGGTGACTTTATTTTTTAATCTTTTGTCAACGCTTTGTTTTATTTGACACCTGCTGAGCTGAGCGTTTCAATTTAAACTAAAGCTGTTTTTTGTAGGATTTCCTGTTTCTCACGCATGAGTTTGGGGACGTAAGATTAAAGATGGGGGTGCATGCATGGGGATAAAACATTCGTATTCGGCAAGATCGAATGCCTAAACTATGTTTATAATACTATACTAAATTTTCACTTGTAACATAGCATAAATATATTGTCTAATTTATCATATAGCTAGTTCCTGTAATTAGTATAGTGTAGAACACAAGTTTTTAGCCTGTGTTTTTACCATTTTTAGCCTGCTACAGCTACCACAACCCTCGAAAAATTCTCTCCAATTTACAAACACCTACAAAATACTAACTGAAAATTCCAACACTCACTTTGTGTTTGACAATCTTAGACGATGAAAATACATTAGCACAAGTTAGCTATCTACACAATAAACGCAAACACAACTAGACCTGAACAAATTGTAAATAATTTACTCCTTTTACGGTTATAATGCATGCAGGGAGGTATAAAGTTTACAATTGGAAACAATATGCAACAAAGGGTTGCATCAAAGCAAATTTATGGGTAAAACTGTCATTATTTTATTATGATACATGCTAAAGACATGGGCTTAGAGAGTTTGATAATCAAAAGGTGGGTATGATTTTCACATATTCATGTCATATAATTCGTTAAAAACAATGAATTTCAAAAGAATTCAAGACAACAAATCATGCATATATGAATATGAACCGCCCAATATACAATTTTCCCAACTTTTGCTTTTCTGTAAAATATCCTTAACATATGATTTCTAAGAACAATCAAAAATTACAATTTCTAAGAATAATAAAAAATTAGAATTTCGAAGAGCAATCAAAAATTACTATTTAATGATTACATTATACACAAAAGCATACTTGTATAAGATAATTGTCCAAAGAAAACTATTTTATTAAAAATCATTATGTGAGAGCCATTGCTGTCTCCATCATTTGAATAATGATAATTTATACGTTGTATTTACAGTTACACTTAATCTCAGGTAAGGTCAATTATCATTTAGTTCAGCAATCACTTATTTGTTCTATGTTAACAGAACGTTTCCCAATCATTGCTTCCGTTGGCGATATCTGCAAAATTCAAAAAACGTTAATGAGACTTGTTGAAGAATCAAGGTCATTTCAACTATATAAATGTAGTTTCGTTCAGTAGAGGACGGTTGCAACAGTTACAGCAGTTATATCTCTATTTTAAAATACTTTGCAGTTAACCCTATTTGAGCTATTTTGGTTAATTCTTATTTTATATTCTGTGTTATCTTTACGATTATCTAGGTGTAGGAACGTATCTTTTTCACTACGGCTTATGATTGATTCCAAATACAATGGAGTACAATACGCAATAGAAATAATAAAGATCGAGTAGCTTATTGTTATCGCCAGTACACAATCGGAGAATACACTCATATTATATTATATAGTTACCACGATATTTAGGGGCTGCAAGTACAATACTTCAAAACACAACAAATGTTATTTTCAGTAATATCTGCAGGGAATTTGTTAGCTGGAATTCAAATGATAAACACCAATAGCACACATGTGTCAAGCTTACGTACGTTACGTATTGTAAATTATTAATCGATTATAGAATGTTCTTCACCTTTCTAAATTTCGCCCATTTCATTTGTTTCCTCGTGGTATTCATCAGTTACTCTCATAACTGCCTCCCCCCAAAGATTACCATTAAGAGTAAATGTGCGACCAGTGGCTTTCTCGTATCGGAAGATATGAGGTGTATACGGTTTCGACCAGGTATTTGTAAAACGGTCGTACTTCATAACGTCGCCCCAAAATGGACGCATAACTTTAAATCTCACTTCGACATTTGTTGCGCTTGCAGAAATATTCACTCTCTCTCCATCACCACTACTTCGTGACTTTTCTTTCGTTTAAATAATAGGTTACAATCATCTTTGAGATCCACGGACCTTTGGAGTAATATTGAATGGTTTTTCTGGTCAACTGCTTTTGGCTTATATCGTCGAGAATTGAGTGTTGTTGGGTTTTGACGCAAAATTTTTATTATTTGAGCAGGTTGTATTTCTTTGAGGGCAATAAATTTCGTCAGTTGATAAAAAACCCATTTCTTTTGTTTCTCCATACTCATTACTGACTCCCATAACTGCCTCCCAACGAAGATTACCACTAAGAGTAAATGTGCGATTTTTGCTTTTGGTATCGGAAGATGTGGTGTATATGGTTTTAAACCAGGTCTTGTTAAAACGGTCGTACGTCATGACATCACCCCAAAATGGACGCATAACTTTAAATCTCACTTCGACATTTGTTGCGCTTGCAGAAATATTCACTCTCTCCATTACCACTTACTTCTTCTGTGACTTTTCTTTTGTTTAAATAATAAGTTACGATCATCTTTGAGATCCATGATCCTTCGGAGTAATATTGAATAGATTTTTTGGTCAATTGTTCTTGGCTTGTTTTATCAGCAATTGA